AGCAGAAAGCCACAAATTTCAGTCACCCGTCAAATCCAACAGTGATAGAACCGGCTAATTGCTGTATGACTCGTGGAGCATATTGCTTCTTGAATTACGAGGGGCGTTTGTTTTTGTCTCTGTCCTTTCTTTTGTGTTCTATTTTCAGTGTACCTCTTACGGATTTATGGCTAATGTCGATTTATTAATTGATGATAACCTCGTTTATTTCTCTGCATCTTTTTTTGCTAAAACGGCTGTCTGGTTGACATGTTGTTTTATGGCTTAGTTATTGCATCTCCGTTAGGGGAGTGTAAAGTTTGCGTTCGTTTGTTTTCTGATTGTGAAGAAGATGAAAGCGACATTATTTTTAATGGAGACAGAACGGAGGAAATGTATTTGATTGAATCAGTTGATGAGTTAAAAGATTACCCAGGCGTAGAGTGCCGCTCGTAAAATACGCCATTAGTTAAAAAAAAATTCGTATTGTTGAAAAGGTGTTGTGGGGTGGGTGTTTGGGCGGAAGTAGGATGCTGGGTGGGGGTTGAACTTTGAATGGAAGAGGGTGCTTAGTGGAAGTGGATGTGAAGAGGATGTGGAAGTGTGATAAGTGGGGTCGGGTCTGGAGTGGATGTGGAAGTGTGATCAGTCGTGGAGCGGAAACAGATGTGAAGTGAGTGTGGAAAGGGGAACGGGTGTGGAAGTGGGAGAAGGTGTGAAAATTGGAGAGGAATCGGGTGTGGAAGTGGGATGTGTATGGAAATGGGCGTGGAAGTGGGTGTGGAAATGGGAGAGGAATCGGGTGTGGAAGTGGATGTGGAAATGGGAGAGGAATCGGGTGTGGAAATGGGTGTGGAAATGGGAGTGGAAGTGGGAGTGGAAATGGGACAGGAATCGGGTGTGGAAATGGGAGAGGAATCGGTAGTGGGTGTGGAAATAGGAGAGGAATCGGGCTGGAAGTGGGAGTGGGTGTGGAAATGGGACAGGAATCGGGTGTGGAAGTGGGATTCTGGTGGAAATGGGAGTGGGTGTGAAATGGGATGTGTGTGAATATTGGTGTGAATGTGGGATCGGGTGTGGAAATGGGAGAGGAATCGGGTGTGGAAGTGGGATGTGGGTGGAAATGGGAATGGGTGTGGAAAATGGGATGTGGGTGAATGTGGGTGTGGAGTGGGAACGGGTGTGGAAAGAGGAGAGGAATCGGTGTGTGGAGAATGGGGAGGGATGTGGAAGTGGGATTGGTCGTCGAAGTGTGTGTGTGTGGAGCGGTAGTGGAAATAGTTACGTAGTGGGTGTGGAATTGGAAGAGGGTGTGGAAGTGAGAGTGGATATGGAAGTGGGGTCGGGTGTATAAGGCGAATCAGGTGTGGAAGTGTCGAGCGGAAATGATGGTCGGGGGGAGAAGGAGCAAAATATAAGACCCGAAACTGATATCTCGCATTGTCATCTCTTTGAAATGTTAATCCACAGAGAAATTAATCCGTGATTATTGTGATTACGATAATGATTTATTTGATTATATGTCAATCTTGTCGTTAAATGATTTAGATCTTCATACCAGTGATGAGCTCACAGTATTGTCTCAGAATTTGTTTCTTTGATATGGCATGTTTCTGGATTGCACGTGCGACCCACACGTGACGTACACGTGCACTACCACTTGACCTCCGCACGACAGCAGTTAAACTGCCCTATATACGGGTTAACGGGAATGCTACTTCTGCGAGCTTGCTGTTCTTAAAACGGTTAAGCTGTAGATATGTAAGCCATCACTCCAGATTTAATAAAAGTACAGTTCGATGAACTTTTTAACCTTTATCAGCCCCTTTATAGATAAGATCATACACATATCTCGGAAGGCACCGTGTGGGTATGGGTTTGCGTATGTGTGTGTTCAAAGCTAGGAGCTGTACAACCATATGCCCGCCGAGGGAGATCTGGAACCCACATGACGCGAGCCTACTGGGGCAAGCACAGTTTTGATAAAAACGTTGATTGTGATATAGATGGGTGAAGGATATTTATCACTTTGAAATAATCAATTAATTCTGTTGCTTTTTTATGAATCGATCGTCTTGGAGGTCCAGTCGACAGAACCTACCCGGACAGCAGGGGTCGATGGTTCGATTCCTGGTCGCGTAAAGCCGAAAGACGCTAAAACATAGTTCTTGTCGTAACCTTGCCTGGCGCTCGGTACAAGGGATTCAGTAACCCATGTTTGTCGTAAGAGGCGACTAACGGGATCGGGTGGTCGGTTGGTTAATCGAGTGATAGGTTAAACTTCAAACAAACCAAGGGATTCAGTAACCCATGCTTGTCGTGAGAGGCGACTAACGGGATCGGGTGATCGGTTGGTTAATCGAGTGATAGGTTAAACTTCAAACAAACCAAGGCCTCGGTGGCAGAATGTTGTGCCTGAGTAGGATATCCTTGCTAAAATGTGACATTTTATCTCCGTGTTTGTGATTGTTGGAAAAGAGTTCTTGGTGATGTAGTGTGATGGGGAAAATGGTGCTTGGTGATGTAATGTGATTGGAAAAATGGTCTTGGTGATGTAATGTAATGGGAAAAATGGTTCTGGGTGATGTGATGGGAAAAATGGTTCTTGGTGATGTAATGTGATGGGAAAAATGGTTCTTGGTGATGTGATGGGAAAATGTAATGTGATGGGAAAAATGGTTCTTGGTGATGTGATGGGAAAAATGGTTCTTGGTGATGTAATGTAATGGGAAAAATGGTTCTTGGTGATGTAATGTGATGGGAAAAATGGTTCTTGGTGATGTGATGTGATGGGAAAAATGGTTCTTGGTGATGTAATGTGATGGGAAAAATGGTTCTTGAGTGTTGTAATGTGATGGGAAAAATGGTTCTTGATGATGTGATGGGAAAAATGGTTCTTGATGATGTAATGTGATGGGGAAAATGGTTCTTGATTATTTGATGGGAAAAATGGTTCTTGGTGATGTAATGTAATGGGAAAAATGTTTTTTGGTGATGTAATGTAATGGGAAAAATAGTTCTTGATGATGTGATGGGAACAATGGTTCTTGATGATGTAATGTGATAGGAAAAATGGTTTTTGGTGATTTAATGTGATGGGAAAAGTTGTTCTTGATTATGTAAGGGGAAAAATGGTTCACTACAAACTACTTTCACTACAAAGCTAACCGACCTCCGAACTTCAACGAGTGAGTGAGTTGGTTTTTACGCCGATTTTAGCAACATTCCAGCAATATCACGGCGGGGGACACCAGAAATGGGCTCCACACATTGTACCCATGTGGGGAATCGAACCTGGGCTTTCGGCGTGACAAGCGAACGCTTTATCCACTAGGCTAATCCACCGCCCCATCCCACATCAGTACAAAATGGAACATTTGTTTTGGTCAAGAAACAAATCTGTTTCGCAGATCTATTTACAAAAGGCAATCATTTGCATGAAAACCCGTTTCACGATGTATTCGTGTTTTAGTGATGTTACATGGTGCATGCTTAACCAAACATGCCCCATATAAACAAGCGAAACAGTATGCCTTACAGGCATATGGCTCACATAATATCTGTGATGTTAGTGAACTTCATAGGCATCACACATTTGTTTTCTTTTATTTGACATTTGCGCACAAGTAGAATATCCATGTGGCTGGCCTCTAAAAGTGCTGATGCAACATTCTTGGAGCCGATTCCAATTAATCCACACGCAGCGGGCACACCTGTCAATCAAACGGTGATACTGGCACCAGGAAGCACACGATGACAGCAGCAGTGAAGACCACTTCCTGTGTTATCTAATTAGATCATCAAGTGGAGCCAGGATGTTCTGTACTAATTTTCACAGTGTGCGAAAAATTATGATTTGCGCTAGTTTCATTAAAAGTCTAGACGGGACCTGGTTCAGGAAGTGGCGCGCTTATTAATCCCGGTGTGACTCAGCGTTTTATTGGTGAAGGGAAAGTTTGGAAAAGAATGAACGTGTAACGTGTAACATTTAAATTAATTCATGAATTAAGGAATTTTTCACACCGGGCATTTCTTTCTATGCATATTTATAATACACTTTCAAATTGCGAATACTTCAAAACCCTATAGATCCAATATTTGATCAGCCAAGAATTAAAAAAAAACAAAATCCTTTCAATAATTGGAGTTCTTGCGTCATGACACTACGGATTTAAAACGATCAAGTCAACACCATGCTGGTAAAGAACAATAAAGAAATATAATTTCAACCAAAGACCATATACCGGTATATGGTCTCTGTTTCAACCAAAGAGGGTGTGAATATTTTCTTTACTTTTTTCTTTTTAGTTTTGTACAAAAAAGTAATATTCATTGACATAATATTAAATGCATGCTGTCCAATTTCATTAGGATACACTTACAATATATCAAACCAGAGACCATATAATATTGAGTCAACGATCCAATAGATTACAAATTTCCTATTTTCTGTTTGCAGTGAAAACGTACCGATGACTTTCACCAATAATAGCGATTTGAAACTATGATCGTTTGTTAAACAACTTTTGTCCTAAGTTGAATAAAATTCTGAGATTTTAATGTTCAATTGGCAAGGTAAAATCATGACGATTCGCAATCTTAATTTCACTTTATGTGATTTACTTTTTTGTTTAAAGTGAAATTCATCGGTACGTTTTCACCGCAAACAGACTATAGGTCCTTATACAGTGTTTACATCCCAAATGCATCGCTTGACATACCACAGATTTTCCATCCATTCTATACCACTGCCTAGTCACACAGCATGACCACACAGACGTCCGACAAAAACCACAAGCGTACATATTGTGGCCACTCTTGCAACCTCTTGAAAGTGGGACAGATTTCTTGGTATGTGTGCCGCGTGTGTGAAATCCGAGTGGAGGTGTAGGGATCAGATTGAGTCTGGGGATCCCGTTACAAGTGCTTGGCCACACGAAACACATGTCCAGGCGCAGTTAATTACATATCCCAACACCTTCCTTGAGGAGAGGGAAATAGCAGTGAGGACATACGGAACACCAGAGCCGTGCCTACCATCTTTGCCGTACCGGTTCCGCTGTTATTCAACCCGAAGCTGCTTATCGGGGCTTGTTTATATCAGCGTTTTTCTTGAGAACCTCTTTCATTCTGGAAGACGAACTCCCACCGTCAGCTGTTGGTCATTGCCTGACACGAGCTGTGCAGCTTTCTGTTGGATGTGTTGATGTTCTCAATATGTGTTAAACAGTCGACTTACAATGATACTGGATATTCGACTCGGGCCGACATTGCTACACCTAGTAACTCTAGGATATCTTCTACACACAGGCTCCTCGGCTTATTACGGAGGGGATTATTACAACTCCTTGTTCAGACCACTCAGCGCGGATTTTAAAACTAAAGTGGAGACGTTAGGAGCGGTTTTGAAACGCCATGTTCAGCGTCTCAGGGCAACAGAGAATGGTCAAGTGGAACTTGTGTTTTTAGTGGATAGTTCATCAAGTGTAGGGGCAGATAACTTCTTCGAGGAACTCCGGTTCGTACGCAAATTGTTGGCTGATTTTACAGTGGATGTGAACAAGACCAGAGTGTCGGTCATTACGTTTTCGTCACGAGGGAAGGTCATCAGACATGTTGACCATCTGACCCAGCCAAATGCAGACAAACATAAGTGCCGCTTACTTGGAGACGAGCTGCCAAGGGTTAATTACATTGGAGGGGGTACATATACCCTTGGGGCCTTCCTTGAAGCAAAGGTAACATTATGTAATATAGTTAACCCCTTAAGTGTTGACATGTGTTATAATGGTGAGTAAAGTCTACACCTTGTTTAATTAGTATGGAACATAGATAAATATTGTGAGGTTTAGTAAAATACAGTTTTCGTCAGACGCGTTTTCTCGAAGACATTACTTTACGCAAAGTTCTCAAAGTACATTTATATCTGTTATGTTTATAGTTTAAAAGTGCATCAGTAAGCATATATTGTTTGTCGCTTTTAACACAATTCGTAAACGTGAAGACATCTTTACGAACAAAATCCATTGTCGCATATTTCTTTTATCAGAGAGGTTTTGCGAAATTCGTTTTAATCACATTTACGTAAGATAAACAGCATTTAGAAATTCTTAAAAATGGATATGTCATTGACAATAAAGCACAGTGTTGTGTTCATTTTGGTCGAGTTGCATATAACGATGATGATTACATTGGAGAATTAAATCAACAAGGTTTGCTTAGCTCTTCTGTTGCGTCGACGTCGTTACAGTAAAACATGTCCGGAATGCAGTTTCTGTTGTCACAGAGGACGGCGACAATGCGACAGGAAACTAGGTCACCCACTCTTGTTTTCTGTACATTGGGAGGCGGAGGAATGGAAATGAGAAACATTTCAATAGACCGAATGCCCCGAGAGCACTGACCTAATAAAGAATTTATTTAGAACTTTTTTCACACAAAAGATTAGATGGAAGAATCGTTTGTTCTAGTCGGTACGATTGTGGCATATACTCATGCCAATAATGGTTGTCACCCCTTCAATTTTTTAATTGGAGAGGGATTGGGGGCGTGTTTGGGGTTGGGGAGGGGTGACAGCCATTATTGGCATGAGTATATATTCAAGTTATTACATACAATGTGTATATGTAACATATGTAATCATATTATATACAGCTGGGTATATTATGGTAATCAGAAATATTGGGGGAGTTGTATTCTGCCGTGACAGATTCGTGTGCCATGAATACATTTGTAAGTGACGTGTACTTATGTAAGAGACATGAATACATGTGTAAAAGAGTAAAAGAGACATATGCTTCTGTAACAGAGACGTGGGAGAGACGCGTATTTATGTAAAACAGACTTATTGTTATGCAACATAAATGTATATTTATGAAACAGAGACGTATGTTTATGTAACAGAGACGTGTATTTATGTAAAACAGAGGTATTGTTATTCAACATAAATGTATGTTTATGAAACAGAGAGGTATATTTATGTAACAGAGACGTGGGAGAGACGTGTATTTATATAAAACAGACGTATTGTTATGCAACATAAATGTATGTTTATGAGACAGAGAGGTATGTTTATGTAACAGAGACGTGGGAGAGACGTGTATTTATGGAAAAACAGACGTATTGTTATACAACATAAAGGTATGTTTATGAAACAGAGGGGTATGTTTATGTAACAGAGACGTGGGAGAGACGTGTAATTTTGTAAAACAGACGTATTGTTATGCAACATAAATGTATGTTTATGAAACAGAGAGGTATATTTATGTAACAGAGACGTGGGAGAGACGTGTATTTATATAAAACAGACGTATTGTTATGCAACATAAATGTATGTTTATGAAACAGAGAGGTATGTTTATGTAACAGAGACGTGGGAGAGACGTGTATTTATGTAAAACAGACGTATTGTTATGCAACATAAATGTATGTTTATGAAACAGAGAGGTATGTTTATGTAACAGAGACGTGGGAGAGACGTGTATTTATGTAAAACAGACGTATTGTTATGCAACATAAATGTATGTTTATGAAACAGAGGGGTATGTTTATGTAACAGAGACGTGGGAGAGACGTGTAATTTTGTAAAACAGACGTATTGTTATTCAACATAAATGTATGATTATGAAACAGAGAGGTATGTTTATGTAACAGAGACGTGGGAGAGGCGTGTAATTATGTAAAACAGACTTATTGTTATTCAACATAAATGTGTATTTATGAAACAGAGAGGTATGTTTATGTAACAGAGACGTGGGAGGGACGTGTATTTATGTTAAACAGACTTATTGTTATTCAACATAAATGTATATTTATGAAACAGAGAGGTATGTTTATGTAACAGAGACGTGGGAGAGACGTGTATTTATGTAAAACAGACTTATTGTTATGCAACATAAATGCATATTTATGAAACAGAGACGTGTGCTTATGTAACAGAGACGTATGAGAGACATGCATTTATATAAAACAGACGTATTGTATCCAACATAAATGTATGCCTATGAAACAGAGACGTGTGCTTATGCAACAAAAATGAATGATTCTGTAGGGGAGATGTGTGATTCTGTAGCAGTGACATTTACCTGTGTAACATAGCTATACAGACCGATACTGATGTACCGCTGATGAACAAATCTGTAAGAGTGAGTTTTGTTTGACGCCGCTTTTAGCAATATTCCAGCAATATCACGACGGGGGACACCAGAAATAGACTTCACACATTGTACCCATGTGGGGAATCAAATCCGGGTCAGCGGCGTGACGAGCGAACGCTTTAACCACGAGGCTACCCCTCCGCCCCGAGTCTGTAAGAGGACATGTATATTTACATAACGGTGCAATGTGCGAAATAGTTTCCATATTTTGTTAGCCAGTCGGGCTAGCTATGCCTGAAAGTTACTAGCCCACAAAATAATTCACTAGCCCGAAATTTGAATGTAGAAACTAAGCAAAAGATTACAAACATAGATGAGAATAAAATATTGTCGGCATGAATAAGCTGCTAATATGATGAACTCTTTTATCAGGCCATCATCTTTCATGATTTAAAAGTGTATTATAACTTAACAAGTCGGAGAGAGTGATGTATTTACAAAATGGCCCCGTGAAAATTCACTAGCCAGTCGGGCCAGTGACAGTGGATATTTACTGGCTCGACTGGATTTTTACTAGCCACGGGCTAGCGGGCCAGTGGCTATTTCGCTCACTGTAACGATGACGTATCTCTATGTAACAGTGATGTATACCTATGTAACAGGCGTATACCTAATATGAATGTAACAGAGACGTATAGCTATGTAACAGAGCTATATGTAACTAATAAACAGAAACGAATACCTATGTAACATAATGAATGATTCCTTTTGAGAGACGTACACTTTTGTTAGAAGAGAGGCATGGTATAACAGATGTGTTTCTGTAATAGAGACGTTTGCTTATGTAACAGAGATGAATAATTATTTAACAAAGACGTGTACCTATATAGCAAAAAATGTTGGTTCTTTTATAAAAATGTCATCAAAATGACAAGTACGTTAGGATACTATCATTTTCTCTTATCCTAAAAAACCCAAACCAAAAAGAACAAAAAAAAAAAAAAGAACAAAAAAAAAAGAAAAAAACGTTCTCGTTAATCTTATTCAAAATGAAATGTTTTCATGAATTGATATTTTCATTGTAACCATGTTTTGGTTCCAAACAAATTAGCTTGATGAATCTGTCAATGGAACCAACAACACCAGCAAACGTTGCAGGGACCTATCTGAAAGACATCCCTGCCAAGCCGAAACCTCTTCATCTCGCTGCGACACATATATTTATTTTCACAAGCAAGATGTGTTCATAGCGCTTTTCCTTAAATAGGATTTTACCATGGCACATACCGGTAATAAGCATGACCCAGCGTGGACCACGTAATAGTGCAAGAGAGACCTAGTTTCAGCATGGAGTTAGTGTTTTGTAAAGTGTTTTATCAGGTAACTGCTATGGAAAATAGTAAATAAAGTATTTTAAAGTAAATGTTGTTTGGGAGCACCACAAGCGATAACTTAGTTATCAGACAGAGTTGCGATAACAGTGTTATCTCCCAGGCGAAGGTTAGCTTTGCCTCACATAGCGCTTCTAATTGCGTACTCTGCTGGAACTATGGCGTAACAAGTCACAGCATCACCATCTCACCCATCCCACGTGGTGACGTGTTTATATTTACACTCCTTCATCGAGTGTGTTTTAGTGACCCCTGCCTTCAGCACTGAGGATTTATTTACTGACAAGCAGGCGAGGAAGATTAAAGATATATAAGAATCCTGAACGAATCTTAGATAAAGTCCATGCCTTGAAAAATATTTACACTAAATGGTTATAAACAGAAATCTAGGTTGAATGGTCGGGTCTGTTGAAACGGTGTACGATGAATGCAAGTTTGAAAATGAGTTCGTCCGTCTGAAAGTCGGTGAGTGAGTTTAGTTTTACGCCGAGCGGCATGAGCATCGATCTGCGCATTTGGGAACCGATGATATGTGCCATCCAAGTCAGCGAGCCTGACCACCCGATCCCGTTAGTCGCCTCTTACGACAAGCATAGTCGCCTTTTGTGGCAAGCATGGGTCCGCAAGTCAAAACATTGATTACACAACAGTCTCGCGCGTTTCCTGTTGACTGGGTTCCGTCCTCTTGCGCAACACAGTACAATAACCAGTCCAGAATTTTGAGACCAATTCATTCAACTGGATACATAAATATTAATCAGTATTATTTGATACATCTAAGCACTTGTATATTTCAACACTACGCTCCTTCTAATCCTTACAAACATGTCGTGCAGCGTGCTCTGTCGTACAGCGTGCTCTGACAGACGGAATTCTGGAATTCGTGGAAATCTCAAAAGGAGGCTCTGCCGCTAGAAAAGTTTGGCGGTCTGGTACGGACTGGATATTATATCAATCACATTGTGCGTTACAAAACTACACTGAATAAGCGCAAAGAACACATAACAAGTGTAACCAGTGAGCCAGATGAATTGTGAGTCATTTTACGACCTCATCAAACAGGGTCAGTCTGTGACGTCTTAGTTAAGGCCATGCTGCCTACACCTCGCCATAAAATATAGAAATACGATGTTATTAAAGTTTAAAACTAAAACTAACTTGTAAATACCATTTTCTTATGAAACAAGGAATTGGAACCATAGTTGTTTGTGAAGTCTCTTTTCACTTTCACACGAGAAAATTCGGATCGGCTGAAAAGTAGGTCATTGTCGGAATAGGTTAATGAGACTCATGTTTCGGTTTGCCGTGTCTCTTGCCATTCCATTAGAGAACACCTGGTGTCACCACTGATTTTCAGTGATCCATTCATATAATGTTTACATCTATTTTCCCCGTTAAATCAAACGGAATTTGTTGCTGAGGATAGTCAACATTGGGTAATCTTGCGCAATGATGTTCGATATTTATCTCACTTTCTTTTTCACTCAAAGATCATGATCACAGTAATCATAATATTAACTGTCGGTTCTTTGGTGTTTTGCTTGTTTTGTTTTTTGAAAATCGTTACAGGAAAACTAAGCGTAATTATATACATGTAGATATTCACATTCGAGAATCTTTTCATATATTTGTTTTCAGGAAAACTAAGTGTTTTCATATATATGTATCATATTCTCATACATGGAGGTTTTCATATGCTTGTATTTATTGAAATATACTAATTGAATGATTCCTTAGGCTAGCATGAAGAACACTAAGCACGTCTTCCTGGTTTTGTTCCACTCTGAACGTCACTGTTATGACGGGTAGAATTGATCTTCAGTAACCCATGCTTGTCGTAAGAGGCGACTAACGGGTTTGGTAGTCAGACTTGATGGCTTGGTTGATACATGTTATTGTATCCCAACTGCGTAGATAGATGCTCTTGCCGTTGACCACTGGATTGTTTGGTCCAGACTCAATTATTTATAGACTGCCGCCATACAGCTGGAATATTGCTGAGTGCGGTGTTAAACATTAAACCGACAAACAAACACATTCCGAAAGGTTCCAACATTTTAAATATGATAAATCTACAACTTTATGTTTTATGGATGTAATAACGCATTGTGCACATCTTGTATTTCAGGTTGTTCTGAAGGGAGCCAGGAGGAATGCTACTAAAGCCATTTTCCTGATAACGGACGGGTTCTCTAATGGCGGAGACCCAAGACCAGAAGCCAAATCTCTTAGAGACAGTGGTGTGAAGATATTCACCTTCGGCATCCGAAATGGCAACTTTAGGGAGCTGTACGACATGGCATCCGTGCCCAAGAACGAAACTTGTTACATTCTGGACAGCTTTGAAGAATTTGAGGCTCTAGCAAGGCGGGCTCTCCATGAAGGTCAGAGGCCAAGGTCATTTATTCGATATTAAGATCAAAGCTTACTTATATTCGTATTGGGGTCACGAAGCCAGTAGTAGCTATGTCTATATTGGGGCACATGTGCTTCCACTCATACAGCACAATGGTCACGTGGTCAAGGGTCAAGGAAAATGTCAGTAATAACCTTTGATCTCGCATGTGATATGTAAAAGAGGTTAATCAATGCGTGTTGTAGATGTATTCTTTATAATATATGTAATATGATTCTTTAAAGACGACATATACTTGAATGTCACATCGTCGTGATGAGGAACATAACCTGTTGTTTCAAATTATATGCCCAATTTCATAAAACAAACCCAAAAACATCCCTATTAATTATTGAGCCTTCACAAATTTCGACGCTTGGGAAGCATTTTGATAGTGGTACAAGTTATTGACCTATGGACTCTTGAATCTTGGGATATCTAATCAGTAGCCGATGTTTTCAGCTGAAACTTTGAAGAACCCTCCCAATTAGTCTGTCTCGCAGTCCCTGAACCACATTATTTTCCCTACTGCATAGCCCTCTCTGCAATGCTTAAGTCCAAATCAAGCAAGTCTAGGTTTTCCCTCAGCTTCATTGTTTTGAATTTCCCGTCTCACTGGGTCTCCTTTTCAATTTAAATGTGTTTATTTGTTACTATCAAAATTATAATATTCAGAGACTAAGTGTAAGTCTACCTCCCAATGTGCTCAAATGTGTACGATCTCAAATTCAACATGAATATCCTGTTAAAACTAAAGTGATAAGCCAGGATAGAAAATTGTATATATTTTACACCAAACATTTCATAAACATTCCAGACAGCTTATCGATTATAACATTTTTTATGACAATTTTTTTATGATTAGATCTCCACACCGGATCCTACGTATACCAGCCCAGGAGCAGATGTAACATTTTGTGTAAAAATGGAGGTAACTGTTGCCATGCCAACGCGACATGCGCGTGCGGGACACATACAGGAAAATATGAATGCCAGTGCAAACCAGGATTTTACGGCCAAGGAATCGGAAAATATGGATGTAAAGGTAATTCATCGTTTTATCATCATGTGGAACTTGCTAAAATACCCTGGCCACACTCCAGTAGAATACATGGGTTTGGGTCGAACTTGTAAAACGTTTTTGAAATACCACTTCCACTACAGTGAAACCTCCTCAGTCCGGAACCCGTTAATGCGGACAGTTCCCGGACGATTACTACTTTGAATCTTTAGTAATGACAATATACTGTACACATGACTAGTCAATGCGGACATCTGATACTCTGGACGTTACGGATTCGGATTAACAGATGCCCGTAATAACCAGTCAAGGGACTTCACTACATGTATTCAGCACGACTTGAGCATTTTAATTCAGTGTTCATAATAATAATAATAATGGATAGCATTTATATAGCGCAAATCTCCGCAAAGGACTCTTTGCGCTTCATCAGAAGCTAAAGCCAAGGTTAAAGTGGGGAACCTTTTGATTTCCAGTTATTCACTTTGAAAAAGGCCATAAATAACATCTTCCCCTCAAAACATGTTGTCCCATTGTTTTAGCGCGGTACCTATGGACTGAAGGGGGTGGGGTAGGGGTGGGGTTGGGGTGGATTGTCTAGTGACTGATGCCTTGCCTCATCACATTGAAAACGTTCTATTCCCAGCATTGGTGCAATTTAGAAACCCATTTCTTTTAGTTTATGATAAGTATACGCTAGTAATTTTTTGTGGCCATAATTATTTTTGTTTGTTCGTTTATCAGTATACATATGTATAAACTAAAAAGATTCCTTTCATCTCAGTCTGACAAAGCTGATGTGTCGCACTTACACAAAGAAAATATACTACTAGTAAAGTTAAGGAACACCTGTTCTTTCATATTACTATATACATATGTCATGTCATACGTACGTAACATGAAAAAATCGGGTGGTGCTTAAGTTGTTTTGAGTAGCATATGTACCTTACGTTCCACATAAAACTAAGCTGATACGTCATTATCCGCGAGAAGCACGGGATTGACAAGAGCCATCTGTCGCTGATATCGCTCTGGGTGAATCAAGAATGTTTACAGGCCATGATAAGAGCTGATCTTTTAAAAATATTTGTATCTGAAGCGCTCGATCCAAATTAAGGTATCATTATCAAATTTCAAAACAGGTTACCTCATGTTGACTATCCAATAAGCACTGAACTCTAAATACCCGCTTGTCTTGTCCCACTTACTAAATAACACTGAAGAGTAATTCTTTTTCACCACTGAAGAAAGACGGTCTGCGGTTCATTTGAAAACAGTTTTGAGAACTGTTTTTTTCATGTCCTACAGTGTCCGCATTTAACCGGAGGAGATGTTCATGCAATCCTGCATTATGCAACTAAATAAGACGGTTCTCCCTTAAAACGTGTTTGGTATTTTTCAAATCAGTACATACTACCCAAAAAAGAAGGGACCACCTTGTTCTTTCTCATCACCATAGTTAATCTGTCATCTCTTCACTCACGTACTCTACAGAATTTAAGAACCGCACGATTAATTCATATTACAGTAGTACACCAGTAATGGCATGTTAGATAAACTGTAGTTATAAGAAAGGATCGAGTGTTCCTTAAATGTTTTGAGTAGTATATGTCGCCAACTATGACGCTGATAAAGTTACATGTATATTTGTTCAGTAACTGGGAAATGCACCGGAAATACAAATGCTTCCATCCAGGTCAGGTTAAAACTAAATTTATATTAATAAGAAACATTGTTTATATTGACATGTTATATCATTAACTAATTGTGAATATGGATAACACTTGCGACAATGGCGGTTAAGATGCGTGGCTTTAGTTTGAAAAATAACAGTTATCTTTTGTTAAAGTGAGTGAGTGTGGTTTTACGCCGCAGTATTCCAGGACACCAGGGAAGGTCTCCTCAAATTGTACCCGTGGAGAATCGAACCCGGGTCTTCGGTGTGAGGAACGTTCACTTTAACCACTAGGCTATCCCACTGCTCCCATTTGATAAAGAAATGATATATCTGATGTATAATTGTTTTGTCAGCCTGTCCCCCTGGCACATACAAGAATAGAAGCGGCCCTGGTGACGTCAGCATGTGCATGCCGTGCCCGGATGAGAATCAGACGACAGGTTCAGGGACGGCGGCCATAACCGACTGCAGCTGCAAAAAGGGATACGTCAACATGAACACCTCGGAGTGCGCAGGTGAGAAATGAAACACGTCTCAAAGTGTAAAAGGAGTTTGAAGTCGGTCATATATGGCCACATTTGTCTACATTGCTAGATATTGTCATAAACTAAATATTGATATTTTTGAAAATTGAAAATTTGATCAGGAAGAATGATGTGTTTTACCATGACAACTCAAATACGATATCTCGTCATTTTCTAACTATTTTTTCTCTACCGGCATGACATTACCATCTATCAACCCACGCTTGTCGTAAGCGTTAGCAAATTTGAGGGCTAAAGGAAAAAACCTTAAAAACTGGATTTTACAGCCTATCACAAAAAGTTTCAACAGGAGACGCTGCTAAGATCCAAGACAAAACTATAAAACACGTATCCCATGTATCGAATAATTATTACTTGTTTGTTTCAATTTCCTCCAGCATGAGTATATCCTTTTCGACCCGTGAAGATCCGGGTTAGAATTGATCTTCAGTAACCCATATTTGTCGTAAGAGGCGACTAACGGGATCGGGTGGTCAGACTCGCTGACTTGGTTGACCCATGTCATCATATCCAAATTACGTAGATCGATGTTCATGCTGTTGATCACTGGATTGTCTGGTCCAGATTCTATTGTTTACAGGCCGCCACCATATAGCTGGAATATTGCTGAGTGTGGCGTAAAACTAACCTCACTCACTCACTCCTTTTCATCGGCAGTGTATAATGGATGTGTTTTGACTGACTGGATTTGTATCGTGCAGTATATAACTCTACTCATAACGTTAACCGTTGATTCACCTGGTCCACACTCGATCATAAAGGTTGACAATGTCCTGATGAACCTTTGACAATAAACGAACAATAGGACGAAAAACATACGTAAACAAATGAGCCAAAATAATTCCTTTGTAATCCAGTCTTGTAAGAGCAGACAAACAGTATAAAGTGACTGTATGTCATAAATTCCCGACGGCGTTGGCTGCTGCTCAGCCTTGTGTCAACGTCGAGTCAGTGAGAGACCGCTGTGTTATAGTGAGGGAGTTTGTTTAGCTTTGTGTTATAGTGAGGGAGTGTGTTTAGCTTTGAGTGAGTGAATATAGTTTTATACCGCTTTTAGCATTATCAGCAATATCACTGCGGGGGACGTCAGAAATGGGCTTCAGTCATTGTACACATGTGGGGAATCGAACCCGGGTCTTCGGTGTGATGAACGCTTTGACCACTAGGCCAATCCACCGGCCTCGCTGTTATAACTTGACTATTGTTGACTGCGGCGCAAAACAATTTCATTCATTCACTATACGTAAACCGCAATACGCTTACCCACGTCGATACCTGCTCATGTGAACTTCCTTGTTTTAGCTTTCACCTGTCCAGCCCTTGATCCCCCGGAAAACGGCTACTTCGTCAACAACAAATGCAACAACGTGTTCAACGCTGCATGTGGACTACGGTGTAAACCTGGGTACGAGCTGCAGGGAAGCAGTTTGAGGATCTGTCTGGAGAATGGAACCTGGTCAGGAGTAGACGGCAGCTGTATCAGTGAGTAGCCGATTGTGTGACCAACGTTAGTAGCCGATTGTGTGACCAACGTTAGTAGCCGATTGTGTGACCAACGTTAGTAGCGAATTGTGTGACCAACATTAGCCGCCGATTGTGTGACCAACGTTAGTAGCCGAGTGTGTGACCGTCGTTAGTAGCCGAGCATACCAAAATTAGCCGCCGATTGTGTGACCAACGTTAGTAGCCGATAGTAGCCGACATATAGCCGATAGTATGACATATTGGAGTAGCCAAGAGTATGCTGCAAGAACGGTCGACGTGGAGTATGACCTACGTTAACTACAAAGAGTATGACTGACGTTAGTATCCGAAAGTATGACTAAATTGAGTGAGTGAGTGTATATGGTTTTAGCAATATTCCAGTAATATCACCAGGAATGGGCTTTGCAAATTGTACCCATTTTGGGAATCGAACCCGGGTTTTCGTCGTGACGAGAGAACGCTTTAACCTCTAGGCCTAGTATGACTGAAGTTGAGTGACAGAGGGTATGAGCGTATGGCCTACATAAAGGGGTTTCTTCCATGTTAGAGCTGGCACACTGTGATGACCTATAACCGAAACAGTTTTCAAAGCGGCAAACACAAATTCACGCTTTCAGCGAAGACTTGTCCGACGCTCCCGGTACCCAAGGATGGTCAGATGATCTGCAGCCGCGACGACTTCACATTCTCCACAGTGTGCAGATTCACCTGCGACAACGGCTACCAGCTAGTCGGGTCCAGAAAGAGGACGTGTGTCGCCATTGCAATCTGGACTGGTTTGCCCACGAGATGCAGAGGTAGGAATGGGATGAAATGTCGATAGATAGTTTAGTATACGGGGTTTATGATTTAATATATGAGTTTTGAAAAACTGTATGACGAGAATCACCTCAATGCAGTTCAAACCTGTTTCGATTCAAACAAAAGTTTTGATGTTTCCTATCTTCTGGAAGTAATGAATTGCTCTGCTTATAATCGACAGTGCGTGAACCAGAGTTTAAAGTGGTCCCTGACCTGGGTTAGAACTGGTCCCCAGTGTTTTCTGAAGGCTTGTCTGAAAAGGATTGGCAATACAGGCTCCTTGAGTCTGCAGATGTCATCGTAACTCCACAACGTGTGCTGTTGTTCATAATATCAATCACTGTTTCGACTTTCATAAGATTGATTATTATTAGCTATTGCTATACACCCGGGTTAGAATCGGCCTTCAGCAGCCTGCTTGTCGTAAGAGGCGACTGACGGGATTAGGTGGTCAGACTCGCTGACCTGGTTGACACATGCCACCTATCCCAGTTGTGTGGATCGATGCTCATGCTGTTGTTCACTGGATCAGACTCGATTATTTATAGCTTGATCATTGCTGAATGCGGCGTTAAGCAACAAACCAACCATTGCCATATAACTGGAATATTGTTGATTGCTAAACAATAAAGAAACCGACAATGAGTTTGGCTGGCCGTTTTTAGCTGGGTTGATTCCTAAAAGACTCCTTAAAAGCGAAACGAAGCTGAGTAGTCTCAGCATACACAAATACCTTGATAATTAATGCTTCTCCTTAATCAACCGAAAATCCATGATATCTTTTTTTCATCAGAGATCACGTGTCAGCCTCTGACGCCCTTGAAGGACGGGAGTGTTGACCCTGCTGTGTGCACCGCCGGGGAGGTCTCATTTGGCACCACTTGTCAGATGACGTGTCTGCGTGGCTACTCAATGTATGGTCCCCACACAATGCAGTGTACACCTGATGGTAACTGGGCCCCCAATGTAGACAAGTACAACGAGTGTTTAGGTGAGATGTAGCATCACTTCGTCACAAATAAATAAATAAATAAATAAATTAATAAAATATATATATAAATATATAGACAGACAGACAGACAACAGACAGATAGATAGATAAGATAGATAGATTAATAGATAGATAGATAGATTTATTCATGCATTTATTCATTCATTTATTCATTATAAATAAATATTTTATTTATATATTTATTATTTAAATAATTTATTAAATTATTTATTTATTTAGTTTAAAAAATCTTTTTGCCACAAAAGTTAAGAAAAATGTTTTTGCCGAAGACTGGGATCCATTACACCTAATATGCATCATATTCTCTGCGTATTTACGGTAAACAAGTTAATGTACCGGTTGACAGATGTTTGAGAATTATTTCCTTCAGGAAATGTCATGCAGTTGTACACATGGGTCCAATTTCCTTGTTGGCATTCCTTAAACACCTACAAATTGAAATTTACGAACAGCGCCGGTCAGTCTCCGCTCCATATCGTGTTTCGACACATGAAGTTGATATATGGAATGGAAAATGCTATTTCATAGTGTAAACATTGAACAGCTGCGCATCCTCGTTAGTACAGGGTAACTATATCTAGTCTGCTATGATTAATAACCTGGGCCCCTTCGTCACTGTATATGCTTAATATGCATGACATTATTTCGTCAACAGAAAGTCACTTTGCATTTCAAGTCCGTTTTTACCTCCCTGGGGAATGCATAACTCTAGATGGCTGTTTTGAGCGATTGGGTTTTGATTCAGGAAATAGGTAAAATATTATTCACATATATTTTTCGCGCTATGAAATATTCAGTCCCCGAATATTTCACCCTACGTTCTTCCAGATGAGAGGTGGCCCATTCAAGCCAGGCCGATATATTCTCTGTTCAGGGCTACCTCCCTTCCGCATGACAACACCTGTGATAATGGTTCGAATCCCGCAATTCTAGGTTTGTCAGCACCTTGCCCGTCATGGTAGATTTCAAGTGTCGAACACATAAGGCTTGACTCACATTCGTCTATCCTCTGACATCACGTTGATGTAACTGGAATACTCTCTGCATTAAACCCAACTCACTCACTCACTCACTGTTACAGATGAGAAGCCGCCATTTATTGAGTGTCCGAACAACATCGAGACTGTGACAGACGTTGATGAGAGTACGGCGGAGGTCACATGGCAGGTGCCCGTGTCTGTAGACAACTCTGGTTTCCTGCCAACAATGACGGCCGAGCCGGCGGTGTCACCTTCATCACGCTTCCCCATCGGTATCAACATCGTAACCTACATAGTGGAGGACTACAGTCACAACAAGGCCAACTGCTCTTTCACCATCACGGTCAAAGGTAAGTAAAGAGTTGTAAGTCTCATCGTATCAGTGTAGAGAAATTATGGATTTCAGAGAAATTTCAATTCCACGTACACTTCTTTATCAGTTATTAATATTTAGCAACAGTGGATGATATGAACTTATGAAGTGTTTTAAGTGAATGAGTGTGGTTTTACGCCGCTTTTAGCAATATTCCAGCAATATCGCGGCGAGGGACACCAGAAATGGACTTCACACATTGTACCCAATGTAGGGAATCGAACCCGGCTCTTCGGGGTGACGAGCGAAAGGCTTTAACCACTAGGCTACCCTACAGCCCTGAAGTGTTTTGAACAGGGTTACACTCGATGGTTGTCACACATGTTATAGTGGCCACTTCAGCTGAGGCGTGGCAATTCTCTGTGGCAAAACTGTCACTCTGATCCTCAGTTGTGAGTGACTTGTTTTTACGCCGCTTTTAGCAATATTCCAGCAATATCACGGCGGGGGACGCCAGAAATGGGCTTCACACATTGTACCCATGTGGGGAATCGAACCCGATCTTCGGTGTGACGAGCGAACGCCTTAACCACTTGGCCCCTGATTCGCCCCTGATTTTCAGTTACTCACGCTTGTAGTAAGAGGCGACATAGGGACCGTTAATAATTTATGGCTTGTGTGTGTGTGTAACTTTGTACCTGTGTGTGTGTGTGTGTGTGTGTGTGTGTGTGTGAGAGAGAGAGAGAGAGAGAGAGAGAGAGAGAGAGAGATATATTCACATTTTACATGCTACTTCATATCAAACACACACACGCACACACGTACATGACATCGTATCCCATTTTCATAGATCGAGCCTCATGATGTCAGTCACTTGACTGGAAGATGGCGGTTTTGCAAGTATCAATCTACAGATCAAAGGAACCTTATAGCCAGCGTGTATTGTATGTCGTCTTACTGAATTAGATTCGGTTGGGTAGCCTAGTGGATACAACGTTCACTCGCCATAACGAATTAGACCCGGGTTTGATTCCACAAATAGGTACAATGTGAGAGTCACATTTTTCTGTTGCCCCCGCCGTGATATTTGAGTAATGCGAAATCGCTTAAAACTATACTCACTCACTTAAATTGAATATCTTTTTGAGATTACAAATAATCCTAATTTCAGACACAATCCCTCCGACTGTGGACAAATGTTTCTCGCCTCCGCCAGTTGTCTCCCCTGACAAGTACGGCAACGTGACGTGGGAGGAACCACAGTTCAGTGACAACTCGGAGGAGGACCTGACCATCTCGAGGTCACATGACCAGGGCTGGTTTCCGATTGGTGTAACCCAGGTGACGTACACGGCCACAGACGGGAGCGGCAACAACAACACGTGCGTCCTGGACATCAACGTATTACGTGGGTGAATTGTATTATCTGTATGCTTGCTGAGGCCTATACCTTAATAGATTTTAGATCTCCCATATTGTACGATTATCGTCCATTAAACTGTATTGGAAAGAATGTATTTAAAACATTTATTGTCGATTAGGATTGAACGTAATTAACTATTGCCTTTGTCAGATTGTCTTTGACATCATTGTAGAAAGCAGCCAGAATCATATTTAAACTTTCTAACATATTTCAGAATTGATTAGGAATGAACATATTTTACGATTTCCTTTGTTAAATTGTGTCTTCAATGATAGTGGAAAGCAACCAGGAACTGATTAGAACTGAAATTATTTTGTTAGACCGTCTTGTAATGAAGAATGGAAAGCAACATGAAGAAATAGAAGACTTGCTAGAATACTGAATGCTTCCTTTGGAGTTTTGGGGTGTTGTTTCAACAAATGTGTGTAATGATAACACTTTATCCACAGCTCATGTTAAAGAATTTGGCATACTGCCAAAAATAACATTCAAAACTGCACGTGTGTTTTTGTGTTTTTCAAGAAAACTGAGAAAGAATAATTAATTTAATGTTAGACCAAGCACTGTTAGTGCGGAAACCACACCTTCCGGATCGCTTTCAGGAACGTCTGTACTATATATTCATGTGTGGTTCTGCGTATTCCTGACTTTCGTGTCCGGAAATATGTAAAACAGGTCAAATGTACTGGAAACGGTTCTGTTGGGATAACTGGCTTATAAAAGTTATAGAATTAATATTTTGTCAAAGAAACTGTTCCTTATAGTAGATCATAAAGTAAAATGACCATTTATGCATATGGTAGTGCATTAAACCTTTATATCAGAAGAATCCACATTTCACTGTATATGTATCAATATATCATAAGTGAATATACGTATATGTCATAAACTTCACAGCACACCCATGTGAGTTCCCCGCCCCGCCTGTTAACGGTAACCGCACGTGTCGCGAGACTGATGAGGCTGTGCACTGCTCCATCTCGTGTCTCCCTGGTTACGCCTTCGCCATATCCCCTGCAGAGGATTACTGGTGCGCCTATGACAATGTTTGGGAACCTCGGGAGAAAATGCCTTTCCCGGATTGTTCAGGTGAGACTGGCTTGAGATATAGTTAAACGTAGATGATATATAAACGAGCGAAACAATTCCGTCAGCAATGAGTGAGTGTTTTTTGTTGTATTTAGCAACAGATCGAAGGAGAACATCGGAAATATGCTTGGATATCTGGGCGTGACGAACAAACGCTTTAACTTGCTGATGTTGCTCTAATGCAATATGCCTGAGATGCTGGATGATTATGATAAACCGTTATCCCGTCATTTGAATGCATGGTTCTTTAAAGTTGATGAAAGCAAAATTGCTTCGTCTTCATTCATAATACATGTAGTCCATTGAAATAATTAAGCGGTGGAACTTTTGTTTCTCTAATTGTTGGTCTCTTCGTTAACAAGCATGTTGATTCCATCGGATCCATTCCTGTTGATTTTCGTAAAATACAGCGTTCAAAATTAACTTCGGTCCTTAGGCCCGAAGCCAACTGAAAACCACTCGGACCCACAGCTTTTGTTTTCTGCAGGTCGTCATGGCCGAAAGCTTCTTCATCCCCAATGACTAAGAGTATTATTTTTCAGAAAATATCATTCAGTAATTTCTAGTTTAGATTTCTACATTGAACTCTTTAACTCAGTTTGTTAGTTTTTTTGCTGGGAATTACTTATGTGGCAGCTAAAATATAGGGCCAACACATTCTGATCAGGGCCCACCACTGTTTATAGTTCTGGGTCCTGAGGGCCCTCAGCTCTTCAGGGTTAAGGGCAAACACTGGTCAATTGTAAAACATTTCTGTGTAATTACTTCAATAATCTGTGCAAGAAGTAACTTATATTTTAACTTGACCGTTTTCTCTGTAGAGAAGAAAATCTCCAATGACGTTGTGCAGCCGGCGACGGTGAAGTTCACGGGGAAGGTGCCGTGCAGGGAGAAGAAGATTCTGCATAAAATAGAAGAGACCTTCAAGAAGAACGTTTCCGTGCGGGTATGTAGGCATAGTCATGAGTGCGCTCTCCTTTGCGAACACCTGCGAAATCATTGTTTGATGGTGATTCACAGATACATGGTATAGGCGATAGATAGAGCAATCTATTGGTTAAAGCGTTCGCTCGTCACACCGAAGACCCGAGTTCGATTCCCCACAATTGGGTACAATTTGTGAAGCCCATTTCTGGTGTCCCCGCCGTGATGTTGCTGGAAGATTGCTAAAAGCGACCCCGCGGCCATTTGTTCATTAAAAACTCACGCGCTCACATGTATTCTCTATGGATGTTATTCTTGCGTTCGCTGCTGATTTTGAAATGTCATATTCAAGGTATCCGATCTGTGTGAAGAAAACTTCATCTGCTCAGTTGATGAGGTTGAAACCACGTGTCAGGAAGGTGAAGGTCAGTCATTATTGTATTGTTGCGGTATTAGTCTGAGTCAGAAAATACGAGTTGCACAGAACAACATGTATTCCTCAATTAACATCTTTCTCAGACACAAATTACAGCCAGGACTGACGTTTAGTCCAAGACATAAAGTCCCCGAAAAAGAGTTACCTTGTTTAAAGATATAAATATGTATATATATATAATCTACAAAATAAATTCACTGAGGCAATTGCAGCATAAATTGCTGAGGCGAGCTAGACTTGGCAAACCATTCTAGACTTAAGTAGGATTGCAGTACAGGTTACAATAAATGTATTGATACTGAAGTTATCACTCATTACCTAGCCTACAACAAGATCCATATTGGCCTGGGAAATCGACGACGCAGGAGACGTAGTGTCGGCAAGTATCGCAAACAGCTCGCCAGGAGTAGAGGTTACGGGCGCAGTGTGCTTATCTTTGACTTCAAGCTGGAAGGTAGGTCTGGACACCGATGTACTACACATTGTAAATGCATAATTCTGTATAATGTATTATTATGTATGTCTGTTGAGGCACGGGCGACCGAATCGTACCAGACGCCGTAATTTGCCAGTATCGTAAATACAAAATTTCGCATTAAATAATTTTGTTGCTAGCACACAGACTTGGAGGAAGCAGGGTTGCCCAATCGTGTCAGGCGCATCATTTTCTTTTTATCAGAGTTACGTCCCTTGATTATGCCAGAAGCCTACAATCATTGGTTCGAATCTCATATCTCACTAATAATGTTTCTTGTTTTGTCCGCACCTTCATAGGACTGCATCACTTACTGACAGACCGCCGCCATATAGCTGGAATATTGCTGTGTGAGGTGTTAAACAACAAACAAACAAATCTGTGTCTCACTCTTCACTAGGTACAGTGACAGCGACAGGTAACGAGACAGAAGATGACAGACGCCAACTCGCCATCACCAACAACCTAAAGACGATTCTGCAGACACTGCAGCAAGACGCAAAGGCAGGACATTTCAACTTCCGGTTTGGTGAAAGAGAGATGAACTTCAAGAACATGACCTTCAACCCCAACCAGCCCAAGTTCATGTGTCCAGAAGGCACGGTTCAGATCAGAAGTTCGTGTGGTGAGCATCAGTTAAAATGAATTATGGTTTTACACGATGATCTGCCATGACATATTTCAGAAATGCTCGGCCGCAGAGCAACATGGAAGGGAAGTAAACACACAGCAGGTTCGGACAACTAAAGTATAAAAACCATGATACATATTTGGGCATTTTGGCTATAACATTTGTAATGGCAAGAAAGGGATGAACGATATAATCTCTTTGAGGAGGGTAGTAGACATAAAATATGTTTTTCTTATGAACTCAAAGATGACAAATCTTAGCTTTAGGCAGCAGTTCCTTACATTTTTCACCAGAAGTAGTAACTGTCAACGACCTTGAACTAACTTGACCTATTTGAACAAATAACTACTTGAGTTTAAATCAATAAGGTGCAAAACAACAACTTTAAACAACAAAGAAAGATATATTTTCCTTAACCTGCCTTTGTCCCCCACATAAGCTCCATGCGACTGTTAAAATAGTAGTTAAAATACTGTTTTAAAGGCTCCGAGATCTATCCTGTTGATATCTATATAGAAAACGATATGTAATATATATACACACACACACACACACACACACACACACACCCGATTCCTTATATTGCTATGGTTAATGTGCCATGCAATAAAGGATTAACTCTAGGAATATTATAAAAGTGAATGGTGTTTGACTATTTTATCGGTATGTATGTTATATTTCCAGTCAAATGCCCCGTGGGGATGTACTTCAATGTGATCAGGAAGACCTGTGAAAGCTGCCCTGTGGGGACCTACCAGCCAATGGAGGGTAAGGCCACCTGCCTGGTGTGTCCCGGGAACCAGTCCACCATCGAGGCCAACACCAGGACGTCAAAAGAGTGCAAAGGTAATGCTTGTTGAAACTGTTTTCTTGTTTCTTTTGACAGCTCACATAGCCTATACTATCCAACATTCGATACAGATAAAGTACCCGTGAAGATCCGGGTTAGAATTGATCTTCAGTAACCCATGCTTATCGTAAAAGGCGACTAACGGATTCAGGCGTGCTGACTTGGTTGACACATGTCATTGTATCCCAATTGCGTAGATGCCCATGCTGTTGATCACTGGATTGTCTGGTCCAGACTCGATTATTTACAGACCGCCGCCATATAGATGGAATATTGCTGAGTGCGGCGTAAAACTAAACTCACTCAGTCACTCACAGATAAAGTGATATTTCATACTGTTACCAAACTAAGGGTAATATGATATTCCAGCAATATACGGCGGGGGACACCAAAAATGGGCTTTACACATTATACCCATGTATGATTGAGCCAGGGTTTTCTGCGGGAAGAGCGAACGCTTCAACGACTAGGTTAATCTTACCTTTTGTATCCGTGATAAAATGTATTTGTAGATTGTTTGAAGCGCAATCACCAGTATGACAGCCAAACGACGTCGTTCAGTCATTGATCGAATCTGGACAATTCAGCGATCGATGTGTTTGTCTACGTTATCCTCATACCCCGAAATCGCTGAATTGTCAATATTCGATCTTCGACAGAAGTCTGGCCAACCGACCCCTCTGGTAGCCTGTTTTGACAGCGTAGGCGCCAAATTGCGTAGATCGATGCTCATGATGTTGATCACTGGATTGTCTGGTCCAGATTCGATTATTCACAGACTGCCGCCATATAGGTGGGGTATTGCTGTGCAGCGTTAAACAACAAACAGACAAACAAACAAAACAGCATAGTTGCTGGGACCCTATTCCAGCCCAGAATGAAAACGGGGACCTCGGTATTAGTGTTGGGAATTGGTTAAAATCTCATAATTGATGATTGGTTTATTACAACCGATCAATCATCGAAAAAAATTGGTTAGCGTCATTAATGAAATTTGTTAATGCACATAAAAATATGGAAAAAACATGTAGTTCTTTTGGGGGTTTTGGCAAAATTCCACATCTTGAAAGGATGACTAGTATGTCAGGAACATAAATTTCTTGGAGTCTTTAAGTTAAATTCAATCATGACTTTAAACGAGCTTGTAGTGCTTATGAAATGTAACAGACAAAACTAACCTTGTGAAAAATATTGTTTATGAAAACAAGTGTTCCAGAATTGCTTGTGTTCGATTATGAGAAAACATGATCGATTGCTTGGTCTTTTAGATACTACGACCAATCTTCGATTATTTCAATTAATCGGACCACCACTACTCGGTATACATGATAAAAATACTAAACTGCTTGGGTTTATTTTCAGCCCAGTGTCTACCGGGAAGTTTTTCCTTCAACGGTCTGGAGCGATGCGAGACCTGTGAGGTTGGTTTCTACCAGTCTGAGTACGCGCAGACAGAGTGCTTGCCCTGTCCAACCAACAGAACTACCAGGAGACGGGGCAGCCGAAGGATTGACCTCTGTCAAGGTAGACGAACATAACACCGTTCGGGTTCAAACATAATGCAATTAAAGTACATAGGTGTGTTTTGTGCACCCTCGGAGATAGCCTTTGACCTAAACAGTGAAATATAAAGTCTTTCAATGATCATATCGAACAGCCCAGTTGATCTCTTCATTTTCAGAAACAGAATAAACTTCAGAAGTCTGTACTTATTGATTTTGCATGAGATGTCTGTATTTCAGGCACTCAACCAGTTCATTCATTATAAGTCTGTCTCACAGTCCCTGAACCACATTATTTTCCTCTCGCCCGGTCCTTTCTGAAAGCTAAACCCCAAAATGAAGCAAGTCTAGATTTCCTCAGGTTCTGAATCTCCCAAATCACTGAGGTTCCTTTTCAATTTAAAAGCAATTATTTTGTTCCCATCAAAATTATGTATATTCAGAGACTAAGCATTAGTCTTATTCATTATTTGTCAACGGTCATTCGCCTGAGAATTTGTGTATATCTGTGACTACTTCTTGATTATGCCCAATTGCATGACATTTGTTTCTGATTTCCCCAATTACAACGAACCAATATTCTAGTTTCCAAAAGACTTAAACACTGACGTCAAAATAACGACTGAAAACGAGCACTAGGTATCTTCCAGATGTAAACAGTACAAAAAATTCCCAAATCAGTCAGAACGTGACCTTTTAAATATTTAAATGAACACTTTGTTTCGTGTCACTCCAGAGCGTTGTCCGGCTGGCTATGTGTCCAAGAGCGGCCTCAGGCCATGTCTCCCGTGTCCAAAGGGGACGTTTCAACAGGAGGAGGGTCAGTCTGCCTGCTTCCAGTGTCCCCACGGAGCGTTGACCACTCATCCTGCCGCTTCATCGGTCAGAGACTGTGAAGGTATTGACACTTGGGCGCCGTCCCACAAAGCGATCGTATAGATCAGGGGATCGTAACTCTCATGGTTATAACATAGACGTAAGACAGTCGTAGTGCTGCGATCCAGTTGTTGAACGGGACCCGGTTCTGTAGATCACAGATGTTTCTCAACATGGTTTCTGTTCTTTCTGTTACTTCTACAACAGGAGCGGTGGAGTACCCTCCCAGCTAACAAATTCACGTCGTCACAACGTTATGCTTTCGTTGTTACAACGTTATTCTGTGGACTCCCATTTACGTTGTCACAACGTTATTCTGTGGACTCCCATTTACGTTGTCACGGCGTTGTGAAATGACGTTGTGATACGTCATTTATCGTCGTCACAATGTTAAAGGTATTTGATGCTATCGTATTTGACGTTGTCTTAACGTTCTATTTAACGTTAATGGTTGAATATTTTTCCCAGTAGTGAACAGTACACAAGAAACAAAGCAGAAAATCACTACACTGTTTGTTCATCAGTTTGCATGTTGTTTTGGTCGTGTGTTTTCTGAAGCTGTAGCTGTATAATCTTCAAGTGAAAGGTTTAACAGAACTCTATAGAATTCTATCTTGACACCAAGTCGATACGCAACGTTTTCACAACGTAAATACTGGGGCGTTGGGAAAAGGGGGCTTTTTCAAGACGAAACCATATCTACTTTACCACAACTACAATTGGATTTTGATTTTCAATACTTTTCATAAATTAGCAGTAACACCTTCAACCTCTGACTACCGTTCCTATCCCCTGATGTATGTAACGTTGCTGTAACGTTATATAACGTTATTTGCTACTTTTACCGTGCAAAGATTTTTGGTTTCAGCTTCTTTTTAACTTTCTTTTCTGTTTTATGTTTCTGTACTCCAGGGGACTGGGACCTTCAAAGCGACGCCTCTCTTCCCCAAAATCAGCAGAGACAGATCCAAGTTAATCTTTGTTTTGAAGAACCTTGTGAGAATGGCGGTACCTGCAAAGTTAAAGGAGGGTTCGGTTTCAAATGCATATGCCCGGAAGGATTTAGCGGTAAGACTAGAATATTCATGTTAAGACATTATGTTAATAATACACCCAGACTCTTGTAGGTCCTGATGATCGGGACCTTCCAGCGGGGCCAAGAACTTTTTAAAATTATTGTGTTTTGAATAAATCATTAATGTTTTAATTTTCCATAAATTATAATTATTTACACGGCCATGACAGTAAACCAACTGGGGTTAATACATAACCCTGGCAGATCTTTTATCAACTGGTATCAGGCTAATGTGGGTATCCAATGTTATTATATTATAGCATCGGCTGTTTACAAGCTATGGCCACTGTGGATGTAATCCACCGGTATGTAATCCAGGCCAGGATCTGCTGGTCGTGGGTTCGAATTCCAAGTTCGTTTCATTTATGATCCTTGTTTTTGGCACCTCCTTGGCTCGCCAATGGTGGTTACTCTCACGTTCAGCCGAAACACTGAGATATAACTAAATACTCATCAGATCAGGATCTAATCAGTTAACTTTCTCTGTCTGCTCAGGGTCTGTGTGTCAGACACCAGTGGACCAGTGCAAAGGTCAACCTTGCCTCCACAATGGCACGTGCGTCAACCTCCAAGTAGACTATGTATGCAACTGCCCGGAAGGTTTCTCAGGTAAATATACTTATCTTCTGTAGATTTTATTGTTGTAGCTGATTTCCAACTTGTAACGCAACCCTGAAGTCGGTAAGTACAGAACTGAATCATGAGCTCATTGTATGGCCAGACCAGATCAACGTTTACCATGGAATCATATCGAAGCAAGCAGTGTTAGGTGTACAATCAAAGGTTATTTATTTGTTTGTTTGTTCAACACCGCACTATACAGCGGCGGTCTGTAAATAATCGAGTCTGGACCAGACAATCGAGTGATCCACACCATGAACATCGATCTACATAATTGGGATACGATGATATGTGATTGGATCTTCACGAATTCCAATCAAAGAAGAAATACCATGGCAGAGCTCCAGATAAGATTTAGCCCATGTGGGTACTGTACCCACTGTATTTTTTAGGAGTGGGTATTATGAATGTTGAGTGGGTATTTCATTTTCCGTTACCCACTGCTTTCAAATATGTGCGTATTTCAGTCATTTTACTCACCTAAGTATTACGTCATTGAGTAAGTTTACTAAGCAGGTATGTTCTGCGTTATGTCATACCTAACCAAAACCAACTTAAATATAATGGAAATGATTTCATAAAAGATCACTCATCCTATACTGACAGTACAACACTTGTCCTATACTAACAGTACAACTTGATAGCAATCGATGTCCTATTCATTACGCAAGCGATTTTTATAAATATATTCCGTACGCATTTGTTTTAAACTTTTTGCGTATCTAACATTTTAAATGTGTAATTAGTACGCAACAATTATTTTTCAATGCGTAATTGGAAATTTTCTATGCGTATTTTACCCGGATACGCAGCTTATCTGGGCCTCTGCCATGGGTCAAATGCGTGAAACAGGCCTGTCCACAATTCTTGAATCAAGAATAACAGGAATTTAGTAGTTCCAACTAGGTATCCAATCTTCAAGAAGATACGACACAAATCAGGTCGATAGGCCTGGGATTGTTCCAATATGGGTACATCCAAGTTTCTAGAAATTGATGCGTGAAAGTGCTTGGACAATTATGCCTGCCATAGCTGCGAACAACAAGGGGCGGATAACTCTAAATTCTACCTCGCAACGTCCGATTGTCGCTGTGAAATCGTGTCGTGATACGCTTGATATTTTACTAGCGTTTCAATATTGCTGTAGTGAGTGAGTGAGTTTGGTTTTACGCCGCTTTTAGCAATATTCCAGCAATATCCCTGCGGGGAACACCAGAAATGGGCTTCACACATTGTACCCATGTGGGGAATCGAACCCGGGTCTTCGGCGTGACGAGTGAACGCTTTAACCATTAGGCTACCCCACCGCCCCTCAATATTGCTGTAATGTTTGTAATATTTGTAATATACGAAATATAAAATTTCTTTTATTACTGATGTTTTTTAATCAATAACCAGGTAAAAAGTGCGAGGTGAACAGGGACGAGTGTGCCTCCAACCCATGTCAGCACGGCGGCACATGCACAGACGGTGCCAACAGATTCACGTGTCACTGTCATTCCGCTTATCAAGGTGAGAGTATGCCTTGCATGAGATACACAATATCAAATATCGCCTAATAAAATATATAGGGTGGGATTTCATCGATTTGGTAATAAACTGAAATGTCAGCTGGATTTTATCATGGTATATGATTTATATGATATAGTGTGTGCGTGCGTGCGTGTATGCGTGTGTGATCACAGATTAACTTTACATGTATTATAGTTTCCAGGGGGAATTCGAAGTCAGGGTTTATGATGGGAACTTTCGAAAATATATGAAACTGCCAACATTCAGAATTAGATTGGGACGAGAAGGGAGGGAGGTTCACCTAGAAATAACAGCTATATTTTTCAAGCACTGTTCCAGGCATATTTCCTTATCTTATTATCAAATTTCATTATAAAATCAATGTGAACATAACCATAGATTTCCTAGGAGGTTTTAGTGTAATCTACAATTCAGACAAAGATATTTCGTAATTTCAAGTACGGGTTCAAATCCAACAAATGGATATGTAGACGATAGAGTACCTCAAAACAATTCATTACACTGTGTATGTATGTGTGCCTGTAAGTAATCATGCACTAATTACGAAGTCAGGTGCGACTTGCGAGGAAAATATCAACGATTGTTCTGACACTCGCTGTCACAATGGTGGCACGTGCAACGATGACGTCAGCGGTTACACCTGCACCTGTCGAGGTGGCTTCACGGGCGAGACGTGCGAGATTGAAATTGACGAGTGTCTGGAGAACCCGTGCAGGCACGGGATTTGCCACGACAAGGAGAACGGATTCAGGTGATATTTGTGCTCGCAATTATGTTGCCAATGATTACTCTAATACACATCTAAATGGCAAGGATCTATTCAGGTCCGCACGGACAAGTGCTGTTAAGTCGACGCCGTGATATTAGTTTGTATTGGTTCTCATTTACCAATTAAAGTACTGTCGGAAATGCTAGAAAAAATGCTTTTGACTTATATTTAAAATTCAGAGGTATTACAGTTACTTATATAACAAATATCACTTCAAGAAACATCTACCTAAAGTAGACCGAGGGAATAAATTTTGAGACATGCTCTGAAATGTGTTTTACTGATGAAAATACCAAAACTGTAGTGGGACGTTATTTCATACAGCATTAACTGTATACGTCATCAGCATGCACGGTATCGAAGGTGAAATTGACACCTGAGCACACGCTCGTGGACGGGTCATCTCAATAGATATTTTCTGCAAAATGTTGAATATGTGTACGTATAGTATACGTATCGGTTATGTAAAGGATCATTTGTGTGTGTGTGTGTTTGTTTTGAAATAAACATACGAATTACTGTACATTGGAAAGAATCCTATCACTTGTGTTATCTTATCAATTGATTGTAGAAATGTGCAACGTTTTAATAAATGTTTTGCATGTCAACAGTATATTTCATTGAAAAAATATGGATGTAATTCGGTCAGTTTAATCTAGTTGTGAACATTGGCCAAAGATTTACGAAGTCACTGGTGTAGCTTCTTTAAGAATATATATATTTTTCTTCTCATAAAGTTTGTAGACCGCCCGTCTAAGCACTCCCTTGTCAAAGTTGTCAAGGATGGTTTCACGTCCCAGTTTTGCATTTGAGACGGTCCCTGTCTTGTCTGATTTGTTTACAATATTGTAAACTTGTTGGTAAGACATGCCAACAGCTCTACAAGATCTGTAAAAAAACTTTCACAACTAATGAAAGGTTTACCTCTGTGTTTTTAAGCAGAAAAACTATAAACCTTTGCAACAATTGACTGCAAATCGTTGGCCATAGTGGACGCTGTGATAAAGATGTGCATGCATGACGGAAAACTTATTTGTCAAGACTTAACATTTATATTAACACTTCTTCAATAAAGAAACAATAATTAAGTGGAGTAAACACAAACATTCAACATTTATTTGTTTAGGAAAAACGTTAATTCATATTTTTACACTTCCTGTATGATTAGCATAAATGTAAAGACTATTTCAGATTTCTGTTGTTGAACTCTGAAAAATCTTAAGTTGCATTTTCTACCAAATTCTCTCCTGCATTTCCGAAATGTGGGAATGTTAAATCTTTAGGCGAGTTGATATATTGACAAAACATTTACCTTTAAAGTGTAAAAAAGCATTTTTCTAGCAACTTTAGGATCAAACACCTTTGTGTCGAACTTTAATTATCGAACTCACCCTTGTGATATATGAATGAGTGAGCGAATGGTTTTACGCCACTTACACTTTTAGAATATCACGGCGAGGGACACCAGAAATGTACCCATGTGGGGAATCAAACCCGGGTCTACTGTGTGACGAGCGAACGCTTTAGCCACTAGGCTACCCACTACCCCTCCATAATATGGGAGTTTAATGAGTTGCTTAATGTATATGTACAGTCAATCTGTGTAATCAGTCATTTCGCGTAATGACTAAATGAATCGGTCATTTCGTGAAGTGCCTGTGGGCACTAGGCAATACGTGTAATGACTGAAAATTCCAGTTATTACACGAAATGACTAAAATTTATAGCTTTCTTTTACACATAATGCCTGACTGAACATTTTGCAAATCAGGAAATATGTGTAAAACACAAAATGACAATGTACACTTCGTCAGGCTGTACATATAGCATCCAGCTGGGCAAGTGTTTCAAAAACATAATCAAATGCTCCAGCCGTTGTCACAGCAGCCTTATGCAAAAACAAGTGACTTGATAGATGAACTAGTCCGATATTGACAAGTGATTTGTCAGTTCGACTGAATGACTTCTGTGATATGATTTAAATTTTGTGATGAACGACTCAACTATATTACTTTCTTTTGTATGATTTAGGTTTTGATTTGACTGTAGGACTTTGTGGTGAATGAGTTGGCACAGTACACTCAGTATACTTTAATAGTTCAATAACAATTGTACTTAATCTTGATGTGCAACACTTTAATAGCTCAATAACAATTGTACTTAATTTTGATGTGCAACACTTTAATAGTGCAATAACAATTGTACTTAATCTTGATGTGCAACACTTTAATAGTGCAATAACAATTGTACTTAATCTTGATGTGCAACTTGTAAAACATTTTTATTATTACGTCAATAAATGTTTTACTTTCAACTTTTATGGTCTTGACAGCATTTCAGTCATTTCACGTAATGCCTTACCATGATTTTTAGTCATTTCGTGTAATAACTGGAATTTTCAGTCATTACACGTATTGCCTAGTGCTCACAGGCACTTCACGAAATGACAGATTCGTTTAGTCATTACGCGAAATGACTGATTACACAGATTGGCTGTACATATGTAACTCGCATACCATATGAAAAAAAACTTTTGACATTTAGGATATATTTCACAGTTGGCAGTTGGGACGTAGGAAGTCCATTATTTGTGTTTTCAGGTGTGAGTGCGAGGCAGGGTACCGGGGGAAGCGGTGCGGGCGAAACATTGACGAATGTGCTTCCTCCCCCTGCCAGAACGGCGGCACGTGCAAGGACGGGATCAACGCCTACACCTGCAGCTGCCCCGCCAACTATACCGGCGTTAACTGTGACGCAGGTGAGTGTCTGTGTACGGTCAAACCTCGGTAGTCCGGACGCCCTAAATACGGACACGCTTCTTTCTGGACATTCAGTGCCCGTAATATATGCATGAATATAGCAGAAGCGTCATTTCGTAGCCATTCCTTTTAGTCGGATATTTATTAATACAGGCAATCTACCGGAAGTGTTTACAGTTTGGATTAGCGAGATGTGACAGCTGAATCACTCCTGATAAAGGTGTAAATCAAAGCTTGTGTTTCTGACTTTTTTCAAACGTTCGGAGTTGAAGGTCTGTCGCGTAATTAAGCAATATTTCAAGACAAAATGTTATGACATTTTTGCGAATTATTGGAATTGATAGCTTGTCATCATGCTCTGTTGGCAAGGGGCGTTGATAATAATATCCGCTTCTGATTTGTATGGCCAAGGTCCTGCATGATATACTAGTAGCTTGAATATTGCTCACTGCCGTGTTAAAGAACATTCACTCACTACTGCCGTAAGTGTAGGGAGAAAGAAACGGTCCACAGTTTGCCCGTAACAATTGAAGAACACATAAAATATCATATTTCCACTCGATCCAAACATTAAACAAAGTCTGCCCTCAAACAACCAATTTTGTCATAATGAATATATTGCTCTTTATTTATACAGTTGGCCTTGTGTCTATGCTTTCAATTGCAATAAAGTTTTTTTAAAGTACAAAAAATATATAAATAAAAATATAAAATAAAAAGCAATGACCAACATTTAGTATGTTAACTGGATAAATTATTGTTACAGATCTCAAAAACTTCCTAAAAACTATCGTTCGGACACTCATTACTGTTTGCCTGGGAACCAACCGACGTTCAACCTTTTATTGACTCCATTTTTTTTACCATAAATTTTATCTATAAAATTTACCATAAATTCTATCTATAAAATTTACCATAAATTCTATCTATAAAATTTCTTTTTGAGTTCTGGGTCTATGCAAATGCTTGAAAACACTTTCGCATCAGTTTTTACAGAAGTATGAACGATCTTGTTCTTTGTTTACAGTATTAGACAAGAACTACCAACTGGACTTCCCGTCAGCCGGAACTGACCATGTCCAGGTGCCTATCAAGCAGGACATGGGTGTCGTCACAGTGTCCTTCTGGATGAAGACCGATGACGTCATCAACCAGGGCACGCCCTTTTCATATGCCATACCAGGCTCAGATAACGCTCTGACGCTGACTGATTATGATGGGTAGGTCTTTACTTAGACACAGACCCGTGAAGATCCGAGTTAGAATTAGTCTTCAGTAACCCATGCTGGTTAGAGGGAACAAACGGCATCGGGTGGTCAGGCTGCTAACTTGGTTCACACATGCCATCGTATCCCAATAGATGGATGACCATGTTAATCACTGGATTGTCTGGTCCAGACTTGATTAATTACAGACCGTGGTCATATAGCTGGAATATTGCTGAGGGCGGCCTTAAACTGCAAAACAAACAAACAAACAAACAAACAAACACTGAACATTGGATGTAGACTAACAGTTAGTCTCTGAAATGAACATATTTTACAGAAAATAAAAGTTTTAAAATTAAAATTGTAAATACAATAAAAAGGATCCCAGGGACTTTCTTCATGCCAGAAGCTGACGAAATCTAGACTTGCCACATTTTCTAGACTTGCGTGGGCTTTCTTGGATATATTTGCTTCAGGGTCTGTACGACAGACTACATTGGAGGAAACTTTCTTGTGTAGCATCAGTGTCTGGAGACGTCATTTAATTTTGGGTCGCTCCTCCTGACGATATGTGCCATTTTGCTTTTTACTGCATGCGTGTGAATTTAGTTTTACGACGCTCATCACTATCTCTTTTTCGTTTCTGTCTTACTTTAATTCATGGTTTGTATTTACTTTACCTAGTAATTCAAAATGTGTTGTCCTCCAATTCTACACTTGATGCCAAATAATTCCGCATTGATAGTTACTTAACGTGGTTCCCAGCAATATCCCAGTCAGATCAGGGACGTCTGTGAATGCTTGCGTCACGTTATCATACAAACCGACGATGTAGATAATGAACAACGACCCATGTCGTCGAAGTAAAATGACATGGAATGAAGAAATTGAGTAGGTTATCCAAAGCTACCACGTTCGATTCGGCCATTTAGAGCAATTAAACGTACCTTGTATGTCCAACGGGGCGGTGGGGTAGAATAGTGGTTAAAGCGTTAGCTCGTCAGGCCGAAGACCCGGGTTCGATTCCCCACATGGGTAGAATGTGTGAAACCCATTTCTGGTGTTTCCCGTCGTGATATTGCTGGAATATTGCTAAAACGGCGTTAAACCATACTCACTCACTCATTGTATGTCCTACGCCGTATTCCAGTAATAACCTGCAGGGGCGTTGCTACCATTGTAAAAAAAGCCCGGGCTTACACATGACTGTTGTTAAAAAAGCTTGGGCAAGCCCTCAATACTATCTAATACTACTAAAGCTTTGCAACCTATCGGGCTTACATGAAAAATTGGCTTGCTACGCGCCTGTGGTATGTGGTCCTGTGCATAGAGCTCAGGTCACAAATCAGTTGAAGCTAAGCAACGTTGGGCGCGGAGAGTCCTTGGATGGGTGGCTGTGTTTGGCAGCTTGACATTTGAGAGTTTCTAGGACTTCAGTCCTGCCCCGCCACGAAGCACATGTGGTACATGTGGACTCACCTGGGGCAAGTGCGTTTGTTCAACATTGCCTCTGTTCACCCAGCAGAAAATGGGTACCCATTGGGATAAGTCATGTGACTATTAATCTCCTAGCGCTTCACTGGCAGCTTGGGTTATCCGGAGTAATATAAATCACATGGTGCGCTTTGAGCAAGATATGAAGCCTGGAAGGCTCGGTATAAATATTCTTGATTGATTAATTATTCTCACTTGTTCCTCAGGTTCGCCTTTACGGTGAATGATGAAAAGGTCATGACGGATGAACCAACCAATGACGGCATCTGGCATCACATCGTCATCACGTGGTCAGCCAACAGAGGATCCTGGAAACTGTACATCGATGGCCTCCTGAGTGACAGCGGCTTCAATCTGTCCACTGGGAAAGCCATTGCAGGTAATGGGTCAACACGTGAACGCGCAGGTGTATTCCTATAGCAGCATTGTACAACAAATATTTCACATATCAAAAAAGAGGTTGAAATTTCATATAATTTAGATAATTACAACTCGAAGATAAATTGTAATGTACCATCATTTCTACAATTTTGGTTTTCGTGCATTATGGTATTTCGTTAAGATGTTATCTATTTAGTTTACGCTAATATCTGTATATTTGGAAGTTCAACATAAAAATTCCAGGAAATATCTGGAAATAGTGGATTTCACTGTACACTGACTTTGAATGAAAAAACACGTAAAAAACCCCAAAACAATGACTGTGATATTACATATTTCTCCGAAAACAAGGATTTTCAGAAAAGAAATAAATAGAAACACGTTTTTAGGCTAGCTGGTCAGGGAGGGTGGTCTCCGTGTTACCATAAATATTAACCATAGTATCATGACTTTCCGTTAGTTGCACATGTGCATGTTAGCGATTCTGATTGATCAAATGAGGCTACAACACGTGAGTGTTTCATTGTTGAGAAAATATGACATGATGCCATCCATTGTTCACGACACCTCAAATTGATTAGGCCGCCTTCACTACAGTTTTTCTGTATGGCTTACATTTCATACGCTTTACTTCATGTTCTCGCATTAAATGCCAATGAGTGATACAAGAAGTACTCGTAATTGTCTGGCCCACGGATTTGAATGTGACCGTTTACGCCACTAACGGGATCGGGTGGTCAGGCACGCTGACGTTTGGTAAACACATATCATCGTATCCCAGAGTGCGGCGTTAAACATGAAACAAAACAAACAACGTTGCATGTTCCTTGGTATTCAGACGTTTAGTTCCAGGTATGCAGATAGTTTGTGTGAAAATGAAAAAAATCCAAAAGGTGACCAGAAGAATTCTTAATTTCATGGCGGAGGCTACAAGACTTGCCAGACCATTCCAGACTTGACTTTGGTTCCTGCTTTTATTTATTCAGTGGCAGACAGAATAGTTACTCCTCAAAGGGTCGGTACCCGTGAAGGTCCGGGTTAGAATGTGCCTTCAGTAACCCATGCTTGTCGTAAGAGGCGACTAACGGGATCGGGTGGTCAGGCTCGCTGACTTGGTTGACATATGGCATCGGTTCCCAATTGCGCAGATCGATGCTCATGCTGTTACTCACTGGATTGTCTGGTCCAGACTCGATTATTTACAGACCGCCGCCGTATAGCTGGAATATGGCTGAGTGCGGCGTAAACCTGAACTCAATCGGGACAAATAATCCATTACTTACGTCAGCTCGCGTGTTACTTTGTCACACCATGAATCAATACGAACAAAACATCATAACCATGCGCTATGGAACTTACGATGTAATTGATATTCTATTTTACCAGGTGGTGGCATTTTCGTGATCGGCCAGGAGCAAGACTCTGTTGGGGGGCGGGTTCGATCCCCGCGAGTCTTTCATCGGGAGTATAGCTCACCTGAATGTGTGGGACAAGGAGCTTCCACTAGACAGCATTGATTCCATGAGGACAAAGTGCACGGAGTTCTACGGAAACGTCATCGCCTGGCCGGACGTCAGGAGTGGAATCAGAGGGTCACTGAAGGACGCCACGTCAACATTCTGCGGAGGTAAATAATGAAGACTAACTAGAAGGCTGTCAAACCTGTACCTCCATCTTTGTGAAATGCCTGCATCGTATGCTCTGTAACCGATTGGCAATATACTGACCAACGAAACAACGCAACAACGTGTGTATATTAATCAGTATCGGGTTTTTTTTTCATATACGACATTTAATTAGTTCGGAATTCTATAAATTGGAGTTGGGTGTTTGCAGTGCAGGGCGTAGCCCCTTTTTGAAAGTTACTTAAGGTTAATACATCTGGGATCTTAGAAGGAGGTCGAGTTTACGAAGGGCTTTCAAAAATGCAAAAATAATGACCTAGGACAATTTTTACTTTGTCCTCTATTCCTTTCCACAAATTCTGCTTTTTGAAATTAGTCATGAAAGCCGTATCTAAATGCTTTGATAGTCTCCGGAAAGTGAGTGAGTGAGTGAGTTGAGCTTTACGCCGCACTCAGCAATATTCCAGCTATATGGCGGCGGTCTATAAATAATCGAGTCTGGACCAGACAATCCAGTGATCAACAGCATGAGCATCGATCTGCGCAATTCGGAACCGATGACATGTGTCAACCAAGTCAGCGAGCCTGACCACCCGATCCCGTTAGTCGCCTCTTACGACAAGCATAGTCGCCTTTTGTGGCAAGCATGAGTTGCTGAAGACCTATTCTACCCTGAATCTTCACGGGTCCTTGGGGAAAGAGACTAATGGAAAACGTTTCACTTCCGCTAAATAGAAATTTTGACATATAGGCCTACGATAGTAGTATGGATCAGTATGCCACCATTTAACTTCCAGAATACTCTTAATATAGATAACCAAACAGGCAACGTGTTTGTCAATCGTTGGTGAATTTAATACACAATGTTTTACAGTTATGCGTTTATTTCGTTGGTCAGTATAACATACAGGTCTGAATGAAGCATGGTCGTTCTCGATATGTGATTGTATTTAATGCATTGTTTTTAAATGAAGTGACCCCAGCTTATTGGTCTAAAGCCATGCAGCTTGGTTATTAATATGAGTGACACGTATAGAATGCATTGTAGAAACTGAAACATACTTTGAAAAATGGAAGGAAAAAATCGTCAGTTAGCGTTTGTGTCTGTATGCTTTTATTGTAAATATCCTGGATTAAACTGCTTTGTTAATCCGATTTGAAAAAAAAGGGAATGTAAATCACACATGTGCAAGAGAAGTGCGAAGTAACTGATGTTGATTAAAATCGACATGTTACTTTTCCAGTATATTGTCCGAATCCATATTAAACCAATAATCGGTGGTGACCGCAATTAGGCCTGGCTGTCGATAGAGATCATAAAGATCGATCATCGTTAACTGAATATCGATTGATTATCGATAAATATCTGAGACATAACCTTGAGTAAAAATATCTAAAAGAAATGAATAATTTCACTGGTGAGTGGTGTCTGTTTTTGCATGGATTATTAACAAAAGAACGTCCTAAACATAATTTAGAAGCAGACCATGAATAAAGTCCTATATTTGTATATTGTGTGAGAAAATTGAAATATTTTTTTCTATCGCAAAAGTTAATGTACGATATTATCGATAACACAATTTTCATATCGATAATCATTAATAATCTTTCCTATCGACGATATTTCCGATTATCGATCATTTTAGCCAGTTAGAACCATTTTATACTGAAAAAAATCATTACATATCCTTCCGGAATGTACTTAGTCATGTAAAAAATCGAGTGCTTTTCAACTTATCTTTAGTATCTTTAGTAATACACTTTGATTAATTCATAATATAATTCTAGCATCCAATAAAAAGAACGTTTAGGGAAAACTCAACTAAAACGTTTAAAGAGGTACTCAAGCTTTTTGAATCTGCCACAGTAAGCTGTACGGAGTTGTGTCCCTTTGCAGCAACGATGGCTGTGGTTTCGAATTTCTGATTCAGATCCCTCCCATTTCTGGTGTCCCCGCCGTGATGTTGCTGGTATATTGCTGGTATATTGCTAAAAGCGGCGTAAAACCAAACTCAGTCAGTCAGTCAGTCTGATTCAGATCCCTGGTGGTAAACACATATGACCCGTGTAACTTCGATCCTCACTCAACGTAAAAGCATGATGTTCCTGCAAACGTTTTTGAAAGCGGCATATAACTCGCTAACTTTATAATCTTTATGGAAAATTTGGATGTGATCGCTCTTATGTCTGTTATATGACCTTGATAGAAATCATTTTGGTTTTGAATGGCTCTAGTTTCTTACAACACGCAATTTTTCGTAGATGATTGTTGTAGAATGCCTGCAACATGATTAGTTTTGTTTAAGTTTACAAGTACAACTTCACAACGCATTAAACACGGTTTGTTCCCCGATAATTGTTTGGGACGGCAATTTTTAGAAACTGCTTTGTTCTGGTATCGTTCTTTCATAGTCACGTACGTCAGTTGGTTGAGAGCACAGGCCCTCGTGTCTTTACGATTATTGAAGATTAAAAGTTTTTGAGATGACCCCCGACTCGAAATGCTTCATAGTACAATAAATCATGATTTTATTGTACTGTGAAACATTTCGCGTCGGGTGTCATCTCAATTATTTTTAATCTTTAATCCTCGCAAAGACACGAGGGCTTGTGGTTGAGAGTGAGCATTTTGGTTAAATACTATTTTCCTTAAACAAAACATAGGCATAGTTTGTTTCTATCGGTGCTCTTCTGGTTTTTCAAATTCTGTGTAAATTCGGGATATTATGTAAAGCCATTTTGTATTCTTACAGCATCAGACTGTGTATTGTCGAAACTGATACTAACTGCAATAAATCTATTTGACATACGTTTTATGTTTCTTGGTTGTTTTTGATCCATTTTTTGTCCAAATAGATTAAAAAAGCATGCATTGAACCGCTACTTGGACTGCCATTGCCGCAGCATGTTCCAGAATGCTCATTCTGTGCTTGTGATTCTGTGAAATAAGGGTCCCTGATAGGGCAGGCTATCGATATGGATCATAGAGATCAATAATCCTAACTAAATATTGATCGATTATCGATAAATATCGGAGAAGAAATGTCTCAAAGAAATAAAAATATTTCACACCACTGGTAAGCGGTGACATGTTAATACATGGATTTCTAACAAAACAGGGTCCTGAACATAATGTAGAAACAGCCCAATCCTAACTTTGTGTATTGTGTGATTAAATTAAAAATTAAATTAAAAATTATTCTATTACAAAAGTTTATGTACGATAATATTGATGACACTATTTTCATTTAGAAAATCTAAAATAATTTTTCCTATCGACGATATTGCCGATTATCGATCCTTTTAGCCAGCCCTAATGCCTGACTCCCTGGTTCAGAGACTCTACCGGTTGCCTTCACGTGCATTATTATTAAACTTGACATGCGTTACTATAAGTAAACTTGAGCTGCCGTATATATGTAGCCAACACTGGGTGTGTACACGCCTTGCATGAAGCTGTTGAACGAAGCATGATATTTTATATCTGGGCTGATTGTTTGTTGTTTAACGCCGCACTCAGCAGTATTCCAGCTATATGGCGGCGGTCTGTAAATAATCGAGTCTGGACCAGACAATCCAGTGATCAACAGCATGAGCTTCGATCTGCGCAATTGGGATACGATGACATGTATCAACCAAGTCAGCGAGCCTGACCACCCGATCCCGTTAGTCGCCTCTTACGACAAGCATGGGTTGCTGAAGACCAATTCTTCACGGGTACATCTAGACTAACGCTTAGTCTCTGAATATATGTATTTTTGACAGAAACAAATAATTCTCTTTACATTGAAAAGGAGCCCCGATGGGATGGCAGAACCGGAGGAAATGTAGACTTGCTTCATTTAGGGTTTCCAGCACTCTGGAAAGGGCTTAGCGGAAGGGAAAATGTGAGACACACAATTTCATATCCTGTCGTGTCGGGTGTAGTAAATGTCGGTTATTACGAACTCACAGGGACCACTAATGTTAGTTCCTATATCCTTATAGTTCGATATACGCACTTCGACTAATATATACAGCAAAATTAATGCCCGGTAAAAACACACAATTCGTGTTATCCGTCAGGTCGTTATAAACATAGCTTACTGTACTTGGTTTAATGGTAACTACTTTGGGGTTGTGTACAGTAACACTGGCGATCTTACCTGTTACACTATATCTGGAAATGGTTGACACATTGGACTAGTTGGGAGTAGTCTAGAAAAACATAAACATTGCCACCTGTTTACACCGGACCCCGTCATACCGGAAACCACACCTACCGGACGGTTACATCTGAAAACGTCATTCGTAAGGTATTGACCGTTAAAGAGTGGACGTGTGCGTGCGTGCGTTGTATGTTAACATGGCTTCACTGTTACGTGACTGTCATTCCTATCAACATCTGAGTATGAAGCTATAAATGCTAGACGCTTTGTGAAATTCGCCAAAATAATACAGGCTTAGTCTCTGTTAGCAAATATTAGAGTCTTTCCCTTTCATAGCAATGAATACAAAACCTCGCGAAAGTTCTAGATCAGATTCCCGTTTTTGTTAAATATTTTTATCCGATTTCTGTTCGATTTGAGAAAATAATGTTCAACGAAAGACGTCACCTAACCTGACATAAGGCACGTATCAAGGAGATCAATTGCAATGTGTAAATATAATCCATTAGACAGCAATGGAAGCCGTCTTTACCTACCCACGTTCGCTCGTCACACTTAAGTTTTGGTTTGTTTCTTAACATAGATACTATGTGGTACGCCTATTTTTCGGTTTTGTTGGAGTGTTTCCAAAGCTTATATACACACGCAGAACGATAGCTTTTCAAGGCAGCGATATGTTGCTGTGCGAAGCTTGCAGTACAAACCACTCTGACGTCACGATTGGTCTGTGAAGTGGCGTGACCATGAAAAGTAACATCGGCAATATTTCACACGTATACGGAATCAGAGACATGAAATCTACCAAACGATTCTCCACCAGATTATGCAAACAATCCCATTATGACCTTTACCGATAAACCAAATCTAGGAATAAGTAACTGGCCGACGTAAAAACCGTGAATTCTGTTCAGCTGCTTTCATAAAAAAACAACTCTCGAGCAGTAAAACCAACTGACGTCCATTGTGTTTAAAACCATATGCTTTTATGTGGAGTGAGTGAGTGAGTATGGTTTTACGCCGCTTTTAGCAATATTCCAGCAATATCACGGCAGGGGACACCAGAAATGGGCTTCACGAATTGTACCCATGTGGGGAATCGAACCCGGATCTTCGGCGTGACGAGACCAACGCTTTAACCACTAGGCTACCTCACCGCCCTTTATGTGGAGTGCCTGTGGCGTTACAAATAACGGTTGGGGCAGTAAGCATTTGTGATAAATAAAATGCTAATATTAAATCGTATGCAAAACAGTAAATCTTTACTTTACACGAGAATAATACCTCATTTAACTTTTGAATGACTGTACACAGCGATGTCTTCACAACAGCAGCATAGTAATATTATGTGTATTCGTCGGCGATGGTTCTGAATGAAACACGCACCATGCTGTAACCGTCATACGGATAATGATGTATTGGCACTGTGTATGTGAAAATGGTACCACCAATGTTTGTACAGGTAAGTATATACATGTACTGTAAAGGGAATGATGATACAATGTAAGGTAGATTTAACTGACCATCCTTATTTTGCTGTATTGACTAAGTAGACGCTTATGTTTACCCGAACAAGGGGACAATTTGAAAATTCTGTATTCTCGACAAAATGTGATAAAAATGAAGCATTATGAAATTGTCAGAAAAATAAATCGTTCACAGGACATGTTGGCTATTAAATTAGTGTTGTTGTTAAAATATTGTTGTTTTTTTCTGAACCTTTCAGTACTGTGGTATATGTTTTGAAGCGCAGTCTAAGAAAGTGGGTGGAAACAGAGTACATATGTAACCTTATTGTTTCAGGGGGCGGTTGGGTAGCCTGGTGGTTAAAGCGTTCGCTCGCCACACGCCGAAGGCTCGGGTTCGGTTCCTCACATGGGCACAATGTGTGAAGCCTATTCTTTGTGTCCCCGCCGTGATATTGCTGGAATATTGATAAAAGCTGCGTAAAACACAACTCACTCACTCACTTTTTGTTTCAGATTGTCCCACGCCGATGAAGCCTGACTACGGGCAGGTGACCTTCACCACCATCACCCCGGGGTCAGAGGCTGAATACTCCTGCATCCGGGGTTTCCAGCTGGCGGGGTACAACCTGCTGCAATGTCTCGTCACTGGGGAGTGGGAGACTGAACCTCCGACTTGTCAGAGTAAGGGTTAAATTAATGATCAAAGGGATTCGTTGGGAGTGGGAGACTGAACCTCCGACTTGTCATAGTAAGGGTTAAATTAATGATCACAGGGACTCGTTGGGAGTGGGAGACTGAACCAACTACTTGTCAGAGTAAGGGTTAAATTAGTGATCACAGGGACTCGTTGGGAGCGGGAGACTGAACCAACTACTTGTCAGAGTAAGGGTTAAATTAATGATTACAGGGATTCGTTGGGAGTGGGAGACCTAACCGCCGAGTTGTCAGAGTAAGGGTTAAATTAATGATCACAGGGATTCGTTGGGAGTGGGAGACTGAACCTCCTACTTGTCAGAGTAAGGGTTAAATCAATGATCACAGGGACTCGTGGGGAGTGGGAGACTGAACCAACTACTTGTCAGAGTAAGGGTTAAATTAATGATCACAGGGACTCGTTGGGAGCGGGAGACTGAACCTCCTACTTGTCAGAGTAAGGGTTAAATCAGTGATCACAGGGACTCGTGGGGAGTGGGAGACTGAACCAACTACTTGTCAGAGTAAGGGTTAAATTAGTGATCACAGGGACTCGTTGGGAGCGGGAGACTGAACCAACTACTTGTCAGAGTAAGGGTTAAATTAATGATTACAGGGATTCGTTGGGAGTGGGAGACCTAACCGCCGAGTTGTCAGAGTAAGGGTTAAATTAATGATCACAGGGATTCGTTGGGAGTGGGAGACAGAACCTCCTACTTGTCAGAGTAAGGGTTAAATTAATGATCACAGGGATTCGTGGGGAGTGGGAGACTGAACCTCCGACTTGTCAGAGTAAGGGTTAAATTAATGATCACCGGGATTGTGTCAATCTTCCGATATCTCGAAGTTCTTACGTAGGTCCCTTCAACTTCGACACAGCTGTGTTTGGATGTATTTATGTAACCTAGAAAGATCTATCCAATGCGTAATGTTCATCTTTACAGCCCACGAGCCAGGTTCAGGTGGTTAAGTTGACCTAGCTGTGTTGATCAGTGTTCATATTGTCAACCACATGTTTGATGCTACAACCACCTTTTTCACACAAAACAACATGTTGGACGCTACATACACTGGCTTGACTGTACTTGTTTAACACTGCAACCCATTGAAACCACTTGTTTGAAGCAGCAACCCCTTGTTTGAAGCAGCAACCCCTTGTTTGCGACGCTAAAAAAGAAATAGAAAATAATACAACAATGTCTATTTATGCATGTATGATTGTATTATAGAGGTTTCCTGCGGTTACCCTGGCAACATCGTAAACGGCTACGTGGAAGGCTTCAACTACAACTACGACAACCGAATACGTTACAAGTGTCAGAGAGGTTTCGAGCTCGAGGGTCCTAAGACGAGATACTGTAACGAATACGGGGAATGGGAGAATGACGCCCCGGTGTGTAAAGGTACGTCACAGAGCATGGAGGCAAGGGAAAAGACTGGTCGCAGTCAGTAGGGATGGGTTACCATGAACTCGCATAGCCCTTGGGGGTTGGGAATAAGCCTGTTATAAACTTTGGAGATAGGAACGATGCTCTGACAAGGCACTTTGTTGGGAATGATGCCCTTCCATGGACCTTGGGTGGGAACGATGCACTGACAGGGGACCTTGGTGGGAATGATGCACTGACAGGGGACCTTGGTGGGACAGGGGGTGGGAATGATGCCCTGACTTGGGCCTTGGGTGGGAACGATGCCCTGAAATAGGCCCCGGGGTTTTGGAATGGTGCCCTGACAAGGACCTTGGGTGGGATTGATGCCCTGACAGGGACCTTGAGAAAGAAGCCCAGGCATGGACCTTGGCTGGGAATGATGCCCTGGCAGGAACTTGGTGGGAGTGATGCCTTTGAGAAAGAAGCCCTGACCTTAGGATTGGAATTATGTCCTGTTGTAGACCTTGGGTGAATGATGTGAGTGAAACTGGTGACAGTGTTGGAAATAACGGGAGAATAACACGCCACAATTGAACTTCAGGTTAATTATGGTCAAGAGTACTGTATCCCATTGCAGTTTAAAAGCCAAAGAAAGAACGAATATAGTGTCCTTCTTTCCACACCACACCTACACTCTAAAGGCAGGTAGTTGTAATGTTAAACTATGGACTACTTTTATACTAACAGCTACTTTTATCAGGAAAACAGAAAAATATATTAAAATAAATTGTATCTACAAACAATGTGATATAAAAAGTTGCAGAAATGTTATGAACCATATATTAGCTATCATTACATAATTTGTATTTCAGAAATCACCTGCGAACTGCCACCGATCTCTGAGAATACCCGCATCTCCAACCCGTCAGACACCTACCGACCTAAAACAGTGGTGGAGTTTGAATGTACTCCCGGCAATCGCCTCCTGACGCCTCACAATGCTGTCGTCTGCCAGTCCGACGGCACCTGGGACAAGAGCGTCCCTTCATGCGACCCAGTATACTGCGGCACTCCCCCTGAAATAGACAACGGTGGACCTTCGTCAACTCCAGAACAGTCTTTGGTTGGATCTCTCATCAACTACGAATGTAACTTTGGATACGTATTTGCCGCAGATTCAAAGCAGACGATCAGCTGTCAGCCATCGGGGAACTGGGATGCAAGTGTACCTGTGTGTGAAATTGTCATCTGCCCTGATCCACCTATTGTGGCGCATGCGAAGTATCATGGGAACACTTTTGATTTTCTGTCACTGATAGAGTATCTTTGTGATGAGGGCTACCAGCATAGTGAAGACGATACCATTGAATGCTTGGAGAATGGACAGTGGAGTGGGGATGTGACTTGCGACCCGGTCAACTGTGGCGAACCAAATGAAATTAAAAATGGCGAATTCGTTGGGGATGATTTCTATTTAAACAGCGCTGTTAACTACGAATGTGACAGTGGATATAAACTTAAAGGAAACAAGAGACGCCTTTGTTTGACCAATTCCTCTTGGAGCGGAAGAGATCCCGTCTGTAAGCCCCATGTATGTGGGAAGCCTGCCAAGTTAGAAAACGGCCGAGTTAGAGCTGCGTCCATTACATATGGAAGTGTAGCAACGTTTCAGTGTGATGAAGGGTATACTATCAATGGCGTTACTGAGATGACGTGCCAGGCAGATAGCACATGGTCTGATTCATATCCCGTGTGTGAACCTAAAGAATGCTCACCTCCTGTAGACATAGACAATGGTTACTTCCGGTTGGTTGGAAGGAGCACTTATGGAAAGACGGTGACGTATTTTTGCAATGATGGGTTTGATCTGTTAGGAGAGGCTGAATTGACGTGTAATAGCAATGGACGTTGGTCAGCAGACGCCCCATCTTGTCAGACTGTTGAATGTCCTCAGCCAGAGGATATTGAAGATGGAAACGTGAACGTCTTGGGCGTGACATATACAAGTAAGGTTGAATATTCCTGTGACGAAGGATATGAATTGGTGGGGGAAACAGTACGAACATGTCAGGTGGATAAAACTTGGACAGATCAAGCACCCATCTGCAGTCCTCTTAAATGTAGACCTCCTCGGAATGTAAAGAATGGGGCTCTCCATTACAAAGATCTTAAACTTTGGTCCATAGTCAGATATTCGTGTGACCCCGGTTACCAACTTGATGGTTTAGAAGTGAGAAGATGTCAGGCCGATCTTTCATGGGAAGGATCCGAGCCTACATGCAATGCTGTTCACTGTACAGAACTCACAGGTATCGCATATGGAGTCCTGAACACCACAGAGACAGTGTATCAGACAGTCGTTTCCTACTCATGCATTGCAGGCTACACAATAGTTGGCGAAGCTATAAGAACTTGTTCTGCAACCAAAGTATGGACTGGTGAAGCCCCGGTGTGTGAACCTGTTCAATGTAACGAGCCTGGAGATATCACATCAAACGGACGCATGCTAGGGACTAACTTCACGTATGGGGCTGTGATATCTTACGTATGTGACGAGGGCTATAACCTTGCTGGATCACAAAACAGGTCATGTGGTGCCAATGGGGAATGGGATGCATCCATTCCCATTTGTGAAGTTGTTGAATGTCCAAGACCAAAACTGGCACATGGACGTGCATCAAGCTTTCAACGTGAATTCAACACGGTCATCGACTTCACATGTAAGAGAGGATTCCGTCTGGAAGGACCTTCCCAAAGAACGTGTCTCGCCAATGGTCAGTGGAGTGGGGACGACCCGATTTGTGTTAAGATTGTCTGCCCAACACCATCACCACTGATTTCAGGAACAGTGACTGTGTCGCCTAATGGTCTAAAAGCAACGTATGAATGCTTTGAAGGATATTTTCTCAATGGGTCCAAGGAACGCTCGTGTCAGGAGAGCGGAAGCTGGAGCTTAACAGAACCTACGTGTGATAGGATTACTTGCGATGATCTGTCAGCTTATGCTTTCGAACATGGGCGTCTTATTATGACAGGGATAGAGTATGGTTCGTATGCATCTTTTGAGTGTAACGTCGGGTACTCGCTTTATGGAGAAAGTAAAATTCAGTGTACCTTGACAGGAAGATGGTCGGAAGAAGTTCCTGTATGTAGAATAAAGTCATGTGGGCCACCGGGTGCATTTGTCAATGGAGAAATAACCGGCTCGGTGTATACGTTTGGGTCAACCTTATCCTACACATGCAACAGAGGATTTGAACTTAAAGGAACATCTGAGAGAACGTGTGGAGCAGATGAACTTTGGGAGCCATCAACTCCAAGATGTCATTCAATTGTCTGCCCAGATTTACCAGATATTGATTATGGACGAACGATCCTACAGTCAAATACGCTTGACGGTACAGTGAGATACAGCTGCCAACCCAGTTTTGTCCTTCGTGGAAACCCATCACGAACATGTTTAGAAACCGGTGAATGGTCAGGCACAGACCCAACGTGTGTGATGCTCGAGTGTCCAACTCCACCAGAGTTGGAAAATGGTCGCGTGGTTGGCGACAGTTATGCTTTAGGTAGAATACTTCAATATATATGCAATGAAGGTTATGAGCTGGAGGGTGTAGGTATGAATCAGTGCCTGCCAACTCTATCATGGCTCAGTCTGCATCCAACTTGCAAAAAGGTCCAGTGCCCACCACCAGAAGTTCCTGTGAATGGACACATGTCTGGGCTTAGCTTCACATACGGTGATTCTGTGATATTTTCCTGTAACAGTGGCTACATACTGACGGGGGAATCAACTGCCTCTTGCCAACCAGATCGTGCATGGACAATAGAAATACCAACATGTGAGCCAGTCCCTTGTGGAGAACCTCCTCAGGTTGCCAATGCTGTTGCAAATCTGGAAAACGGAACAGTGTTTGGGTCAACAGTGTCACTTCAGTGTGTGATTGGCTACGACCCTATAGGAGACACCCGGGTACAATGTCAGGCTGATGGTTCTTGGACATCACCCTCCTTCCGATGTGAGATTGTAACCTGCCCAGCACCACCACCAGCCGAGCATTTAACGGTGGAAGGCACTTACACATTTGGAAGTCAGTTGAGGTTCAGATGTGATGTTGGATATGAACTTATTGGAATAGCTTCAACCTGTCGCTGCAAACCAGACGGGTCATGGGATTCACCTTTCCCTACATGTCAGATAATTTCGTGCCCGGACCCTGGTACATTTGACCATGGAACTATATCTGAGTCAGACAACACTTATCAGAGCGAGATTGTGTACACATGTGATCAAGGCTTTGAAATAATTGGAGAAGAAACAAGAGAATGCCAGGAAGACAAATCATGGTCAGGGCAAACACCAATGTGCATTCTCATCCGATGCCCAAACCCACAGTCTACAATTCCCAATGGAAGGATGATATACCCGAAACAAAGCTACAGCTACAACGATGAAGCATCTTACGTTTGCAACGATGGCTATGAAATGATTGGAAGCGACAGAATCAGATGTTTAGCCACTAAAGCCTGGAGCAGCAGAGCACCGTCATGCACTAAGATCGTATGTCCAAGACCAGGAAACTTAGAACACGGTAGTGTTGTTGCCACGGATGAAGTCTTAACTTACACGTGTGATGATGGATATGACCTGATGGGTTCACGTCTGAGAAGATGTCTCAACACAGGGCAGTGGGACACAGATGCCCCTTTGTGTCTGCCTGTTCATTGTCCTTCTCCCGCGCCTATCAACCATGGACAGATTGAAGGTGGAGAGTTTATATATGGACAGAGCATTCAGTATACCTGTGATGAAGGATTCCTGCTAGTAGGAACTGGAATCAGACGTTGCTTGGCAACTGGATTCTGGGAGACAGAGAGTCCTTTCTGTGACAGATTGACGTGTGGGATGCCAAGGGTACCTGAACATGGAATGGTATCAGGGGCCTCCTACCTCTTTGAGGATGTAATAGAGTACTCATGTGATTTCGGGTATGAGTTAGTCGGGGAGAATAGACATACATGTGAAGCAAATGGGAAATGGAGTGCTGAAATACCCTTCTGTGAAATCATTGTTTGTGAATCACCACCGGAGGTATTAAACAGTATATCCACATCAAGCTCGAATACTGATCAGTATGCTGTGGGGTCACCGTCACCTACACCTGCAACACCGGGTACCAGATCGATGGCGCGCCGTCACTTCGGTGCCTCCAGAGCAGAAGTTGGTCTGACGTTCCTCCAAGATGCAGCTTAGTAGCCTGTTCTTCCATAGACAGTATCGAGAATGGATTAGTTGTTGGGACTGAGTATATATACGAGTCAACACTGGAGTTCCAGTGTAGTCCTGGGTATGAGATTGATGGTGATAACATGCTGGTGTGCCAGGAAGACGGCACCTGGAACAGTGACACCCCAACATGTGAACTTGTCTCATGTGAAGCACCAGACACTATCCAGCATGGTGGCTACCGCAAACTTGCTGGCGGTTCCTCAGGAGGAACGTTTCTATTTAATGACCAAGTGACATATTTCTGTGAAGCTGGATACAATGTTGTAGGGAACATGCTCAGACAGTGTAACGGAGAAGGTGCCTGGACCAACCGTCCACCAATCTGTCACCCTGTCAACTGTCGTGAACCACCCCCAGTGCAGTTCTCCACAGTCATTGGTGACAATTTTGACTTTGGTCAAACAGTAACATATGAGTGTTATCCTGGATATAGAAGAGAAGGTAATTATGTTTTAGAATGTGGAGCTTTGGGATCCTGGATCGGAGTTGTTCCTGTGTGTGAAAAGATAGAGTGTGGTCCCCCTGTTGTCTTTGACCACTCGTCGGTAAATGTGGAGAATGTGGGTGCAATCCAAGTAGCAAGATACGTTTGCAACTCTGGGTACATCCTCCAAGGAGATCCCCGAGCTGTTTGTGACATGGGTACATGGGTGGGTGATGCAAGGTTGGACTGTGTTCCTGTGGACTGTGGACCTCCAGAAGCAGCTGACTATGCCTCGATGACGTTTAACTCTACAACTTTACACTCTGTGGTTCAATATGCCTGTATAACCGGCTACAGCCTATCATCTGGGGCGCTGAGGCGCGTCTGTCAAGAAGACGGAACATGGAGCGAACAGGAGGTTCCAGTGTGCAGCAAAGTCTTCTGTGGAATGCCAACAACTCAAACTGGTTACACAGGGTGGGATTACTATTACGGAGGAACCATCTCTTTCTTTTGTGATCCAGGTCATGAACTTGTTGGCCAGGCACAGTCAACTTGCATGGAGACTGGGTATTGGAGTGGAACTTTACCTTTCTGTCAGAAAATAAGCTGTGGTGAACCACCGCGAGATGTAGCCTTCTCTGGATCAGATTTCACTTTTGGAGGAAGAGTTGTGTATGAATGTCCAGTTGGGTATAATATGGAAGGTGAAGCAGAGATAACATGTCAGACTAATAAGAAATGGAGTAGTGGGTCACCGAATTGTTCCAGGATTAGCTGTGGCCAGCCACCATCAGGAGCGCTGTACACAGGATCTGACTTTACGTATGAGGGATCAGTGACGTACTCTTGTCCTGAAGGATTCTATATGACAGGCAGTGCTGTAATAACTTGCCTCATCACTGGAGCGTGGAGTGGTCTTGCTCCTCAGTGTCAACGGGTCAGTTGTGGAGAGCCACCCAGGACAGCTGAATTCAGTGGGTCAGACTTCCTGTATGGGGGTCGAATACGGTACACGTGCCCTGAAGGGTTCAATATGGAAGGAGACGCTGATCTGCGTTGTGAAGCAAATGGAGCGTGGTCGGGAACAGCGGCATATTGTCATATTGTTGACTGTGGAAGACCCCAGACAGACGCGCTGTATGACGAAAGCGAATTCACGTTTGGGGTTACGTTGAGGTTTTACTGTCAGACTGGGTTTACACTCATCGGGGAATCGGAGGGTGTCTGTCAAGCAGATGGTAGTTGGAGCACCACGGGGCAGATATGCGTTAAGGTGAACTGTGGGATCCCGTCAACTGGCGCGTTGTTTGTGGGGTCGGACTTCAGTTATGGTGGATCCGTGCGGTACTACTGCGAAGTGGGGGAGATTCTGAGTGGTCAAGAAGAGATCACGTGTCAGGAGGATGGGACCTGGAGTGGCGAAGGGCAGACGTGTACACGTAAGTGATATCAAAAGTAATGTTGTAGCATTGTGATACGGAGTATATGTTTATGCATCCCGTGTTAGGTTTTATCCACCGAGCCAGATTCAAGGTGACGTGAGATGGACATTCTTACATGAATGATTTGTTTGAGTGGCATTCTAGAAATTGGTGGTATAGAGATGACAAAACTTTAAGGATGATCAACATCTTTAGTTTGACAATGGCGACGTTCGGTATAGATTCTTATACCGTTTTCAAGCATGAAACAGAGATGACAAAACTTTATCGATGATCAACTTCTTTAGTTTGACAATGTAAACAGCTTGAAAACGGTATAAGAATATATACCGAAACGTCGCCATTGTCAAACTAAAGATGTTGATCATCCATAAAGTTTTGTCATCTCTCTTACTTTTCACCTGGATGTGCCCTGAAAATTACTTTCATTCCTGTCTTTGTTATTTTTCAAACTTTCAGGACAGACTATGAACAAAGATTAAAATATAAAACACAATATCTCGTAAATTGTAAGAGTTATATAATGTGATCACTCAAATGTCGAAACTGACCACACAATACACCCATAATAATCTAACTGCCTAGGATTAACGTGCCAGACGCATTTCTTCAATAATAATGCATGCTACGAAATAGGACGTAATTAGATTTATTCATCGTAATGTTTGTAGCAGTGTATATAATAAAGGACAAATTGTTCATCTATCGGTTTATCCATAGTAAGCAAGAGGAGAGCAAGAATATATTTTCTTCCTTGACCTTTCCGCTTGAGGATAGTTCGTATTAACGGTCCTTGTTCTGTTCCTAGCTGTGGACTGTGGTCCGATTTCCGTGCCGGCCAACGTCGTAGTGGTATCCGGAGACCCGGTGAGCGGCACACACTACAACAACACCATACAGTTCTCCTGTGGAGATGGGTTCTCCCTCAGCGGGGAGTCCACAATGACTTGTCTCGTCTCAGGCCGCTGGAGCGGACAACTACCTGCCTGCAGTATAGGTCAGACAAAATAGTTTGTTTGTTTGTTGTTTAACATCCCATTGTTCCAGCTATATGGCGGCGGTCTATAAATAGTCGAGTCTGGGCCAAACAATCCAGTGACCAACAGCGCGAGCATTGATCTATGCAATTGGGATACGATGATATGTCTCAACAATGTCAGTTAGCCTGACAACCCGATCCCGTTAATGGCCTCTTACGGCAAGCATGGGTTGCTGAAGACCAACTCTAACCCTGCGGGTCCAGACAAAATAACTTCTATTTACTTGTCAGTTTCAGCAACAGATTATTCATATAATTTCCTATATATTTCTGAGATTGAGTGATATATGCCTTCGAAAGATATTAGTTTACTTCCCGTATTGTTCACTTGTTATCTAATCAAGTCATATATATCCGTTAAAGGCATGAAGTATATCCTTTGTACTGAAAGGCCACGTGACGTATTTAGTGGGATGTCATGTCATTTAACCCGACGGCGTCATTGTGTCAGTCACTGGTTTGTGTGTGGAAATATTACATATTCCGGAGTAGACAGGCTTTGTGAGTGTGACATCGTGTCCCACCAGGTCGCTGTTCCTACTGTCAACGAATAGGTGCGGTGGGTAGCCTAGCGATTACAGCGTTCGCTCGTCACGCCGCAGACCCGGGTTCGATTCTCCACATGGGTACAATGTGTGAAGCCCATTTCTGTGTCCCCCGTCGTGATATTCCTGGAATATTGCTAAAAGGCGGCGTAAAATTATACTCAGTCAGTCAGTCAAGAAATAGTTTGTTCTCGTCCTGGGTAGATTATTAACAGACCAACATCAGAAAAGCATCCACCTGTACATTCATACGTATCTACATACATACACACATATACGTACCCGTACATACATACATACACATACGTACATACATATACATACGTACGTACGTATGTACATACATACACATATGTACATATATACACATACATACATACATACATACATACATACACATACATACATACATACATACATACCCATACATACCCATACATATACATATGGCATCATGATATCTGATGCCATTTTCAGACTTTTTTATAGAAATATCATTGATTGCTTTTGTAATCTTGTATATCAGCAAAATTGCACCTATCAATGTCATACGTTGACCACATGTACTGTACCTATAAACAAGTAAAATAAATGGTAAATAAAAAAAATTAAAAACATCAAAAAAGCAAGATTTATGGATGTGACTTCTTTATTGTGAATAACGCGATGTTTCCGATGAAGTTTCAACCGGTGATGAAGGAGCAAGCCTACACTCCGAAACGTCGTGTTATTCAAATTAAGAAGTTGACATCCATAAATCTTGCTTTCCTTATGTATTCCACTTCTAAAAACCCCTCAAAGCTTAGACCAACATCACACAGCTAGAATAATGCAGAGTGAAGCGTTTGAAAGCAAACAAGCTATGTCTATTCAGTTACAGGTTGGTTGATAATGATCCAACCTCCAGTTTGTAGTCCAACTACGTAGATCGATGCTGATGGTGCCAGTCACCTGTTTGTCTGGTTCATGCTCCGTCATACAGCTGAATATTGCCGAGTGTGTCGTTAATGCATCTGCTGTTTGATATCACACAGCTCCAGTGTCCAGCCCTTTTATGAAAAGTTGCATGTCTCAACTTTCAGCGTTCACCAACCTGTGTGATCTCGCTGTTGACGTGGAAAACTCCCGCCCCATCTCCTCCGGCTACGAAGAGGGGGACTCCCTGGTGGTGGAATGTCTGCCGGGATATGAAGCAGAGGGAGAGATGGAGTCCGTGTGTCAGGAGGGAGGGGCGTGGTCAGTGCCTGCCGGAGAGTGCCGCCGTGAGTACTCGCAACTGACCTTTCAAGGTCATGTGTGTCGAATCAGATAGGAAATACCCATTGTGGACTTTTGAATTTGATTTCCTTCACAAAATCAACCTGGCCGTAAAACCATTTTTAAATAATGTTCACGATTCGCACTAGTATTCTGAAACCATGATGTTTTCACTACAAAATCCGCTCCGTCAGATTCAAGAAAGGTCAGGTAAGATCAATTACACATTACGCATGTCATCTGTAGTGTTCTTTTAATAACTTATACTTTTTTATGGACTTATGTCGAATACGTTTTTGCATTTGCTTTCAAAAACGTTTCAACCCCGAGTTATATGGTTTTGTGGACTAACTAGTCTCGAACCCCTCAAGTGACCCTCAAGTGCACTTTTCCTCAGGTGCTGGGACTTCTGTTTAGTGACTCACCTGTACTTTTCGATCCTCAGATGTTTCGGACTTCTGTATAGTGACTCCCAGGTGTACCTTTCCTCGGGTGTTGCGGACTTCTGTTTAGTGACTCCCAGTTTACCTATCATTCCTCAGGTGTTGCGGACTTCTGTTTAGTGACTCCCAGGTGTACCTTTCCTCAGGTGTTGCGGACTTCTGTTTAGTGACTCCCAGGTGTACCTTTTTGATCCTCAGGTGTTGTGGACTTCTGTTTAGTGACTCCCAGCTGTACCTTTCGATCCTCAGGTGTTTCGGACTTCTGTTTAGTGACTCCCAGGTGTACCTTTCGATCCTCAGGTGTTGCGGACTTCTGTTTAGTGACTCCCAGGTTTACCTTTCCTCGGGTGTTGCGGACTTCTGTTTTGCGACTCCCAGGTGTACCTTTTTGATCCTCAGGTGTTGTGGACTTCTGTTTAGTGACTCCCAGCTGTACCTTTCGATCCTCAGGTGTTGTGGACTTCTGTTTAGTGACTCCCAGCTGTACCTTTCGATCCTCAGGTGTTGCGGACTTCTGTTTAGTGACTCCCAGGTTTACCTTTCCTCGGGTGTTGCGGACTTCTGTTTAGTGACTCCCAGGTGTACCTCTCCTCAGGTGTTGTGGACTTCTGTTTAGTGACTCCCAGCTGTACCTTTCGATCCTCAGGTGTTGCGGACTTCTGTTTAGTGACTCCCAGGTTTACCTTTCCTCGGGTGTTGCGGACTTCTGTTTAGTGACTCCCAGGTGTACCTCTCCTCAGGTGTTGCGGACTTCTGTTTAGTGACTCCCAGCTGTACCTTTCCTTGGGTGTTGCCGACTTCTGTTTTGTGACTCCCAGGTGTACTTTTCCACAGGTGTTGCAGACTTTTGTCAGCCCAGAGTGGATCTACCCAACACGGCCGAGATCCGATCGGGGTACCTGATCGGGGACAGTACCACCATTGAATGTGAGGCGGGGTACCAGCCCCGTGGTGAGATGACGGCCGTGTGTCTGGAGGGAGGAATGTGGTCAAGGCCAGATGGACACTGTGCAAGTGAGTACCTTACTGACACAATACCCGACGTCACCATTCGATGCTCAGAAATAATTTCTTATAATGCTGAATGCATTTTTACAACACCGTTATATTATGCAGGCGTGCCAGAATAAATTAGGGTTCGAATCCGTGCTCGAGTGTTTAGTGACGAACCCTTAAAACCTGCATGACTTCGGGTGTCCCTCCCATATAAAACTGACACGCTCTGATACAGTTGAAATATAATTCAGACGGGAGTTAAACCAAACTCAATCACTCAGTCACAATCGCCAATCGTAAAACTAACATTATAAGACATATATATGGTCCTTGTATTGTCTCTTCCTAAATGAAGGGATTGCCTAAAAGTAGGGTCTCGATAAGACTATTAGCTAACAACTCAGTTATCCAGGACCATACCTATATGTTATTGATGCACGCATTGACTGACATAACAACCTGACATTACAAACAAATCACACGTTAGCAACGTTTACAACAACCCGACCACGCCCAATCCCGCTCACCCAGGTCCTATTTTTCTTGGCGCATCTTTTCTTGGTCCTATTTTCCTTTGTCCAACTTCTCTTGGTCCTACATTTCTTGAAAGTAAAATGTCTTGGCCTAACTTCTCTTGGTCCTACTTGTCTTGGCCCAACTGTTATTAAACCTATTTTCTAGGTCCTACTTTTCTGGACCCAACTTGTCTTGGCCCAACTTTTATTAACCCTATTTTTCTTGGCCCAACTTTTCTTGGTCCTACTTTGACGCAATGTCCTAAAGTTGGCGTTTGACTCCTTTTGTCATCTGTTGCAGAAGTCTACTGCGGTCGTCCCAAGATCAAAGACATGGTTAACGTGATGCTCATTGGTCGGTCATATTTCTATGGTGACCACGTGATGTTCATGTGCCGGCCTGGCCTGACCCCAGGGAGGATACCACCAAGGTTGACGTGTGGGGAGACCGGAGATTGGGACGGCGAGATCGGGTGTTCAGGTAAACCTGCGACAAGAATGATTGGTATGGTTGTCCTAATAAACAACAACAAACAAAAACACACATATGTGGAATTGTGTGGTGGTTTCCCAGGTAGCCAGAACACACAGTCGTGATCAAACATCTAAGACAACCATTTCGGTCCGTTTTAGCCAGGGGCGGTGGGGTAGGCTAGTGGTTAAAGCGTTCACTCGTCACGCTGAAGACCCTGTTTCTCTTCCTCACATGCATACAATGTGTGAAGACCATTTCTGGTGTCCCCCGCCGTGATATTGCTAGAATATTGCTTAAAGCGGAGTTACACTAAACTCACTCACTCACTCACTGTAATACCGTCACAAACCCAAATCAACTTGATCTTTCTTTGTCTACATTTATTTCAAGATCTCGGTCAACATAATATTTTTTTCTCAACGTCTTTCACTCACCAGCTATTTTGCTTGCTGAGGTTGGATGTTAGAAACACATAAATAATTTGAATGGCCTCAGAGCCGACTAGAGGGATGGAAAGTGAGAGTAGTTCAGATTTATATTCACTTCTTATCGAAGTCCATGTCCGTGGTACCCTGCCGCCATAGACCCGTGAAGGTCCGGGTTAGAATATTGGCCTTCAGTAACCCATGCTTGTCGTAAGAGGCGACTAAAGGGATCGGGTGGTCAGGCTCGCTGACTTGGTTGACACATGTCATCGGTTCCCAGTTGAGCATATCGATGCTCATGCTGTTGATCACTGGATTGTCTGGTCCAGACTCGATTGTTTACAGACCGCCGCCATATAGCTGGAATATTGCTGAGTGCAGCGTAAAGCTAAACTCACTCACTCCCTGTCGCCATATTCCTGGAATATTGCTAAAAGCAGCGTAATTCCCGACTCACTAAATATCTGCATGGTTTGATTGTCTTTCACTTTATTGTAGCTCAGTGCAAGTTTGAATGTCTTAACGGCGGACGATGCGTAGGCCTCAACAAGTGCAAATGCATGTCAGGATGGGGCGGCATCCGATGTCAGACAGGTATGTTCATTGGCTCTCAAATATATATCAGTAGCAAGGTTTGCTGTGTTCATGGCTCAGGTGTTTGTGCATTCTCAGCTGCAGGCATTCTCTGGGTAGAGCTAAGTAGTTTTTGCACCGTGTCCGTCATTGTCACCATGCCAAATTCATGTCAAGAGGTCAAGGACACTACCTTTTTGAAATGAATGCGTCCCATTTTTCATTATATGCATCGTCTTGGTTGGACTTGTAAGATCATTGCGAGGTGATTGTGATATTATTTTATAGTATGGTTATATCACTGTCTGTTGAGAACACCCTTACCTCTACACACATGTAGATTTGCCTGTAGAGTTGCCTCCCTTGACAGTCCTGATCTGCTAATGTTGGGTTAATCATAGATTCTTCTTCAAGCATACACTACATTCCTTCACCAAGAACAAAGTGTATACCACACCGTAAAGTACTCATCCGTGATTGGCTTCACACCGTATACCAGTTCTTCTGGATTTCAGATTGAGCTTTTCTTCAATATTAATATGGTACCATCCAGTTTGTTGATTTCCACAGCGTTTGGTTTTGACTTGATGAGATAAGCACTTACTGAAAACATGACCTGTCAATTAGTGTTGGTCCGATTAATTGAAATAATCGAAGATTGGTCGTAGTGACTAAACGACCAAGCAATCGATCATAATTTCTCATAATCGAACACAACCAATTTTGGAACACTTGTTTTCATTAGCAATATTTTTTACATGGTTGGTTTTGTCTTTTACATTTTGTAAGCACTGCAATCTCGTTCCAATTCATGATTGAATTTATCTTAAAAGCCCCAAGATATTTATGTTCCTAACATACTAGTCATCCTTTAAAGTTGTGAAATTTTGCCAAAATGACCCAAAAGAACTACGTTTTTTTCCTTATTTTTATGTGCATTAACAAATTTCATAAATGACGCTAACCAATTATTTTCGATGATTGATCGGTGGTAATGAACCAATCATCAATTATGAGATTTTAACCAATTCCCAACACTACTGTCAATAACTGCTTGTCTCCCCAGCTATCTGCATTCTGCCCTGCTTGAATGGCGGCTCCTGTGCGGCTCCCTACAGGTGTGGCTGTCCACCGGGTTACGAGGGAACAAGATGCCAGAGAGGTAACAATCTACACTCAGATCACCCAGCTGGGATATCCTGAGAGAGAATAGCTCGTAGATCGTTGTTATTAATGATAAGCATTTCCACTGAGATGTAGAATTAAAATGTTTCTGTATCATACATATTCATAGTTTCGTGCCGATCGATGCTCATGTTGACCACTGGTCCAGACTCGATTATTTACGAACCGCCTCAATATAGCTGGGATATTGCTGAGTGCGGCGTAAAACTAAACTCACTCACTCACTCGTGATAGTTTCGTTGATGCAATGAACAGATCCAATAAATATGCAAATGGGGACATCTAACAGAAACTGCTCTTAAGCTCCACACATCGATGCAATGAACCGATCCAATAAATATGCAAATGGGGACATATGGCAGGAACTACTTTAAGGCTCCACACATCGGTCCAATGAACCGATCCAATAAATATGCAAATGAGGACATCTTGCAGGAACGACTTAAAGGCTCCATGCATTGATGCAATGTTCGAACCGATCCAATAAATATGCAAATGAGGACATCTTGCAGGAACGATTTTAAGGGTCCATGCATAGATGCAATGTTCGAACCGATCCAATAAATATGCAAATGAGGACATCTTGCAGGAACGACTTTAAGGCTCCATGCATAGATGCAATGTTCGAACCGATCCAATAAATATGCAAATGAGGACATCTTGCAGGAACGACTTTAAGGCTCCATGCATAGATGCAATGAACCGATCCAATAAATATGCAAATGAGGACATCTTGCTGGAACGACTTTAAGGGTCCGTGCATAGATGCAATGTTCAAACCGATCCAATAAATATGCAAATGAGGACATCTTTCAGGAACGACTTAAAGGCTCCATGCATAGATGCAATGTTCGAACCGATCCAATAAATATGCAAATGAGGACATCTTGCAGGAACGACTTAAAGGCTCCATGCATAGATGCAATGAACCGATCCAATAAATATGCAAATGAGGACATCTTGCAGGAACGACTTAAAGGCTCCATGCATAGATGCAATGAACCGATCCAATAAATATGCAAATGAGGACATCTTGCAGGAACGACTTAAAGGCTCCATGCATAGATGCAATGTTCGAACCGATCGAACCCAATAAATATGCAAATGAGGACATCTTGCAGGAACGACTTAAAGGCTCCATGCATAGATGCAATGAACCGATCCAATAAATATGCAAATGAGGACATCTTGCAGGAACGACTTTAAGGCTCCATGCATAGATGCAATGAACCGATCCAATAAATATGCAAATGAGGACATCTTGCAGGAACGACTTTAAGGGTCCGTGCATAGATGCAATGTTCGAACCGATCCAATAAATATGCAAATGAGGACATCTTTCAGGAACGACTTAAAGGCTCCATGCATAGATGCAATGTTCGAACCGATCCAATAAATATGCAAATGAGGACATCTTGCAGGAACGACTTAAAGGCTCCATGCATAGATGCAATGAAACGATCCAATAAATATGCAAATGAGGACATCTTGCAGGAACGACTTAAAGGCTCCATGCATAGATGCAATGAACCGATCCAATAAATATGCAAATGAGGACATCTTGCAGGAACGACTTAAAGGCTCCATGCATAGATGCAATGTTCGAACCGATCCAATAAATATGCAAATGAGGACATCTTGCAGGAACGACTTAAAGGCTCCATGCATAGATGCAATGTTCGAACCGATCCAATAAATATGCAAATGAGGACATCTTGCAGGAACGACTTTAAGGCTCCATGCATTGATGCAATGTTCGAACCGATCCAATAAATATGCAAATGAGGACATCTAACAGAACTACTTTAAGGCTCCACACACCGTGGACGCAATGCCTACTTTATCAATTTACTGTTGACTATGTACCCAGAATGGTTTCCAGTACTGTGTGGAATTTTTAAGGCAAACTTGTTCGTATTTCTTTTGCACTGTGTAATGAACTGGACGGTTCACTCAAATATTGTATTCCTACATAGTCTCTAAGAGTTACATTACATAGTAAAGATGCAATTAACTGAATTATCATACACATGACATGTTTATGTCAGTAACTGAAATGTTCAGATGTTCTGATGTCAACCTTAATGTTACAGCGATCTGCTCCCGACCATGTCAAAATGGAGGCCGGTGTTTGTACCCAGACCGGTGCCAGTGCATCTCAGGATTTTTACCACCGTTTTGTGAGACGTAAGAAGAAACTTCGTGATATTTATTCAGTTAAATCAGAGAGAAACTGTTTATAGCCACTGAATAGTATTACATAACACCAGTGAAGGTATTATGTTATATTTGTACACCAAAGTTTAACGTAAGCATCAGACATTCGATGATCAAATATCATTCAAACTCCACTAGGATGCATGACAAAGGGGATGATTTCAACTTGCAGTTTCCCTGGAGGGGCGGTGGGGTAGCCAAGTGGTTAAAGCGTTCGCTGGTCACTCTGAAGACCTGGGTTCGATTCCCCACATGGGTACAATGTGTGAAGCCCATTTCTGGTGTCCCTGCCGTGATGTTGCTGGAATATTGCTAAAAGTGGCGTTAAACTAAACTCACCTCCCCTGGTGTTTACACTTCACTTTCTGAGGTACAATCGAGCATACTTGTTGTACCAAGATACGACCCTAGCTCAGTTGTTGTATCAGGGTTACAACAGTCAACGCCTCAGTAAAGCTTTTTAAAAGTTTAATGCTAAACATTTGGAAGAAATTTTAAATTATTGACAAACATTATGTCCGATGCCATTCCCAATTTGGCGTCAATATGTTCTGAATTGTTTCAGGTGAACAACTGACTAGTCTTTGCATGTAGTAGACATTGTACAATAGACTGAGCTTTTACAAAGGTTTCCCATGGCAGTGGAAATGGTTTTGCGGTTATTTCATACACTGTTTAGCAGTATGCATTTTGCAGAATCAAGCAATAAGCAAGGAGAATTGGTCAACTGGTCAGAGATCAACTTTGGTATTTTGCCTTCGGTTCGGTATACTGTAATGCAATCCGAAAATTCGGTATTTCCGGTTTTCGTACCGTCAATTTTATTAACCTTTTAAAACCGTTTCTAAAATGTCTAGAAATCGAATCATTTTTGTCAAAATCTATGCATTTCTTCACTAGATGGCCGCTATTTTCCCGGAAGTAAATTCTCATATACAAACCGAAGGCCTTGTACGGCAATAGTACGGTACCGTGGTAAGAGCGTACTGTTTCACCCCGAGTAAAATTACCTGCTTACACATCATCAAACTCACATGACAATGATGTAAATTTCATGTAATGTCTTTTTTCCAGAAAAAGGATTGACAGGGTAAGAAAAGGATAATGAACAGTGATCCAGGACATGTCAAATGAGCGAAGACACACTGGACAATGGCTATTTAATCATTCTCCACGTCAAGTGAAGATTTCACCTGGAAATACATGTACATCATTACTCAGGACAATAAAGTCCACACAAGGCCACAAAAAGTTGATTTGTTTGTTGTTGTTTTTCGAAATTGCTGTCCTCATTTCTTTTTATTTAAAAATCAATTACAAAAGTTTAAAGGGTGGAGTGGGGTGGGGACTTTTTAATGAGGCTCCCGTGACAATAATTTGCAGAGATTCGCTCCAAAAATCCCTCTCTCTATGAATACCAAGTCATGGTCTACACATTGTTAAATATCATATACTACTCAAAAATTGTTAAAGTGTTTTTGAGTAGTATATGCCAAAGACAGAAAAATGTTTCAATCCAGGTAGAGAAATAATGATATTAAATTAACAAATGATTTGTTGTGGATTAAATGATAAAAGTCAAGATTAATATCACAGACATACACTTGGCCTCAGCTTATATCAAGTGTATGTAAATGAGGTAAGACTACAGAATACCGGATACCTTCCGCCATCTTTGAAAGCACGCGAGTTTACTTTTGGTTAGGGTTAGGTTTAGGGTAAGGTTAAGTTTAGGGTTAGGGTTAGGGTGACCTGACACTCAACAATATGGCTGGTAGCCGATTAATCATCAAAGTGCAAAAAGTATGTTAGTATTCATGTTAATAATTTAGCTTCACAAGTTTGAATTTATTTTACTTCTACGCAATGATAATAATTAATATTGGTGTTTTATTATAGTAAATTGTATTCCCTACATAGTTCCAGCTGACGTATACACCAGACAGCTTGTTGTAGTTGACTGATAGGTAGAAGCATTAGCCTTCAGATTGTTATAGGGAGTGAAACTAGATTGACCAAACTGTTTCAAGCTAAAAGTATACATTGTTTTCTTAATAGGCATGTACATACACCTTGCTGGTGACTGACACGTAACTCAAATGTACTGTATCTGCATATTTTAATAAAATTATAAATTGCCTGTGCAAGTATTACATTATTATGTCTTTCCTTCGAAATTTTGTTGCTTGTGTGTCTACAGTGAGATGGTGTTTAATTACTATCCAATTTAAGATCATTGCACTTTCACAGCAATGTGTACGTGTCTCTCCGTCTGTCTGTATCTGTGTCGGAATGCTTGTACATGTAGCGGCCATAAAATTTCTGAGTTCTGTGCTGGGATTCGAACCACAGACCTTCTGATCCAAAGTCAGACACTTTGTCCACATGACCAAAGAGGTTAGCCCCCGTCAGCAAGCGACATGGTAAGGATGCCATCTATGGGATGACTACGCCCTGCTACATGCAGACTCAGGTCCATTCTATAGGCTTACCCTTATCTTTCATACAGACCCTGAAGCAAATACACCCAATATAGCCCATGCAAGTCTAGATTAGGACTCCTTCTTAAAATGAAGAAATACCCTTGGATCATTTTTATTATATTTCATGAATATAATTTAGGAATCGGTTTTTCTGTAAAATATGTTCATTTGAGAGACTAGATGTTACTTTGTTAGTCTAGTGTTACCCCATTGAGATACCATTCCAGAAGAAAACATAGATCCCCCACTAGGGACACAGTGTGTGGACTGTGAGCAAAACAGCCCTTGTCTTTCTTCTTAAAGCTGAGCCAGGGTAACAACAAGTACCATTTTTTAATGTCTTTTCATGTGACAGGGATCTAACCCCTGACCTTCCACGCTATCCACTGAACTATGGAGGTGCTGCCTGTAAGTACGGGCTACCACGTGTCAGTTCTTCAGCTCAGTCCCCAATGTCTTCAAGAGTGAGTGAGTGTGATTTACACTGCTTTTAGCAATATTCCAGCAATATCAAGGCGGAGGACACCAGAAATGGGCTTCACAAATAGTACCCATGTGGGGAATTGAACTCAAGGCTTTGGCGTGATTAGCAAACGCTTTAACCACTAGGCTACCCCACCACCCCTTGTCTACAAGAAGCATTGGCGGATCCAGAATGGGGTTCAGTGGGTTTGAAGCCTCCCCCTTTTGAACATGACTTAAGATCACATTGAAGATTTTTTTTTGCGCTGGCGGAGCCAATGAGGGGCCTAGGGACCCCCTGAAACACACACACACCCACCCCCTCTCAAAATTCCTGGATCCGCCCATAAAGAAGCATTGCAACACAGAACATTATTGTTGAAGTTTTATTTTGTTTCTTCATTCAGGATCAGTATTCTTGACAAGCCCAACATCTTTATGTTGCCTTTTCATATGTGCTAATGTTGTTCAGTACACCAGTCACAATATGCATCACTTGTGCCTCTTACCATGAGGCCGACTCATTGTTGGTTAAAATCCCCATTTGTTGTTGTCACTTTGTGGCTGAGTCATCCATTGCGTCTTGTTACCATTACGCCGAGTCATCATTTGATCATTGTTGGTAAATATCACCATAGCCTCGTCATCAATTGGTCAAATCACCATATGGGCCACTCATTACTTGCTGAAGTCACTATATGGGCCACTCATTACTTGCTGAAGTCACTATATGGGACATTCATGACTTGCTGAAGTCACTATATGGGCCACTCATTACTTGCTGAAGTCACTATATGGGACACTCATTACTTGCTGAAGTCACTATATGGGCCACTCATTACTTGCTGAAGTCACTATATGGGCCACTCATTACTTGCTGAAGTCACTATATGGGCCACTCATTACTTGCTGAAGTCACTATATGGGCCACTCATTACTTGCTGAAGTCACTATATGGGCCACTCATTACTTGCTGAAGTCACTATATGGGCCACTCATTACTTGCTGAAGTCACTGTGTGACCCAGTCATCACTTGCTCCAGTGACCATGTGGCCTAGCTGTGACATTTGCACAAGCCGTCATGTGCTTTGGTCGCCATGTGTCACCACAAACCATTGCAAAGCATCTCACAAGTCCTCACCTCTGAAATACAGTAGGGGTGGGGCAAGTCTTCCTGCAGCTCCACCACTCGTCTCCAGGGCAGCATGCTGGATAAGGATCAGAGTAGAACACACATGACAAGGCTCAGGAGACCTGCTCACTGAGTGGGTGAGGTGGTTGCTGTTGCTGTTGCTGCTGAACTTCTTGGGCTTCCTGGACTTGGGACCTGGTACAATAGTCCTTCAAATAAAACAAAGGTGCAATTTGACAAAAGTGTACTTGTTAAATAACACAATTGAACACTGATGTTTGAGCAAACTGGCAGTCCTAAGAAATGGAGTTTAATGTCGCACTCAAGATAACTACACTCATATAGCATGTGTTCATGCAGGTGTGTTTGGCTGCTTGTTGGTTGGTTGGCTGTTGTTTAATGCTGCACTCAGCAATATTCCAGCTATATGGTGACAGTCTGTAAATAATCAAGTCTGGACCAGACAAACTTACGACAAGCATGCTGGCTGAAGACCAATTTTAACCAAGATCTTCATGGGTCTTAGACTAACAACTAGTCTCTGAAATGAACATATTTTACTGAAAAAAGTTCATAGTAAAAAAAAAAAAAATAAATGAAAAGGAGCCCTGATACTTTCTTCATTTTCAGAAGCTGACGAAATCTAGACTTGCCACATTTTCTAGACTTGCGTGGGCTTTCTTGGATATATTTGCTTCAGGGTCTGTACGACAGACTACATTGGTCTTGGCTGCTTGTAGTAGTGGGGTTTATGTTGTGCCATAGTTTAACATAGATGTACCACTTCGGAGAAAATATACCGACTCTGAAGCTGAGTAGTCCATGTTTTATTCCCCCCTTCAGGGTGACTGCCAACAGGGTAACAACATCTCTAATGTCTTTTGGTACGATGAAAGCATAGCATTACATCACAGAGCTTTGGCTAACCAATCAGACACCCTATCCAAAATCCACATCACCATAATTGAGTGAGTAAGTGTGTTCACTTTATGCAGCTTTTAGCAATATTCCAGCAATATCATGGTGGGGGACACCAGAAATAGGCTTCAAACATTGTACCCATGTGGGGAATTGAATGATGAGCGAATGCTTTATCAACCAGGCTACCACATGACCATAAGGTGCCAGTACCTGAAGGAAGACCAGGGCTAGATTCGACAGCCGCTTGTTGAGGGACCTGGAGAATCTCAGCATACACTCCACTACAGGCAGGGCTGTGATCTCTGGAAGTACAAGGTGGATCACAAGTCATATTATATGCAACGTGAATCGGAAGATGTCCAAATGTTTGAACAGCCAGCTCATACATGCCAAAAATAAGAAGAAAATGTTTCTCAGGAATTGGCAAACACCACTTAAATTATTAGTACCAATAAATCATATTGCCAATAAAAAATTGTTTTCAAATTTCCTACGTCAAATGTCATGCTCAGCTCTCCATAAACAAAATGCTGAACAAGTGACTTTGTACAAGGGGGAAATTCAATGTGTAGCCTGTTGTGCTTGATGGCTTCCATCTCTGCTTGTAAATATCTGGGCCAGACAAACCAGTGATTGCTATTCTAAAGAACATCCCATACTATCTGGGTACAAGGGGTGGTGCGGTAGCCTAGAGGTGAAATGAGTGAGTGTGAGTGAGTTTAGTTTTACGCCACACTCACCAATATTCCAGCTATATGGCGGTGGTCTGTAAACAATCAAGTCTGGACCAGACAATCCACTACAGGCAGGGCTGTGATCTCTGGAAGTACAAGGTGGATCACAAGTCATATTATATGCAACGATGAATCGGAAGATGTCCAAATGTTTGAACAGCCAGCTCATACATGCCAAAATAAGAAGAAAATGTTTCTCAGGAATTGGCAAACACCACTTAAATTATTAGTACCAATAAAATCATATTGCCAATAAAAATTGTTTTCAAATTTCCTACGTCAAATGTCATGCTCAGCTCTCCATAAACAAAATGCTGAACAAGTGACTTTGTACAAGGGGGAAATTCAATGTGTAGCCTGTTGTGCTTGATGGCTTCCATCTCTGCTTGTAAATATCTGGGCCAGACAAACCAGTGATTGCTATTCTAAAGAACATCCCATACTATCTGGGTACAAGGGGTGGTGCGGTAGCCTAGAGGTGAAATGAGTGAGTGTGAGTGAGTTTAGTTTTACGCCACACTCACCAATATTCCAGCTATATGGCGGTGGTCTGTAAACAATCAAGTCTGGACCAGACAATCCAGTGATCAACAGCATGAGCATTGATCTACGCAAATGGGATACGATGACATGTGTCAACCAAGTCAGTGAGTCTGATCACCCGATCGCATTAGTCGCCTCTTACGACAAGCATGTGTTACTGAAGATCAATTGTAACCCTTACCTTCACATACACAGGTAGCCTAGAGGTTAAAGTCTGCTCATGACCCTGATGACCTGTGTGACTGGTCCAAGTCCCCACATGGGTACATTGTGTGAAGCCTATTTCTGGTGTCTCCCACGGCTGCTTGGAACAGTATTCAGGTATATCAGGGTGGTCAGATAATTGGGGGAGTAAAAGGACTATGGCAATGTAGCTGTCAATCTATACAGCTATGGTGAAACACACAAACACAGGTGCTGACAAACCTTGCTTTGATTCATTTGTGATGAGATACATCAGTGTTGTGATGGCCGACAGCACGGTCTCCTCTACTGGGCTGCAGAAAGACAAACACAGATGATCTGACTGATCACATACAAAACATTAGGGGTGATAGGGTAGCCTAGTGGTTAAAGCATTCACTCATCATACCGAAGACCTGGGTTCGATTCCCCACATAGGTACAATGTGTGGAGCCCATTTCTGGTGTCCCCCACCATGATATTGCTAAAATAGGCATAAACTGAACTCATTCACTAACATAAAAAACAAATGCAAAATATGCATTTTAACCTCAAGTCATGTTAAGACATGAAATATTCTAAAAAGTCTTGATTACAAAACTTCTATGCTCCTTAAACACATGTACAACTACATTTAATGACATACCAGTTTAAGAGCATGTTCATATAAAAAAGCAGTCCATATTATCTTTGTTCCAACTCACCTAGACAAACAATTGATGACAAGTGCCACCCCACCATTCTGGAGAATATATTCCTTGTTCAGCTTGTCTATGAGGAATGAAAACATTCTTGAATTAGAGGGTAGTGGGGATTCTGTTCTGTTTTGGAATCTCCAGGAACTTTCCAACATTTATAACACACATTTGAACATTGTACTTAATTTTCATCATAATTATATCCATGTCATGTAACAAACTGGCAAAGCAAACTGACAGATATCATGTATGTCATATAGTTTGATCGATGCCAAAGTGTGTCATACCAAAGGACATTAAAAGTTGGTGCTATTTGTTGTTACTCTGCCTGGCATTTGCCATTAAGGTGGTGTAAGAGGTATGCCTGAGCTGGGTATCAAACTGCAGGGGTGGAAATAACCCATTGCCCGACGTCCGAGTCCAGTGGTTTTTTCTGTCGGGCAAGCAAATTTGTATATCACGCTGTACCGGTGTCCAGTTGACTTTCCAATGTTAATTATGTTGTTTATTTAAAAAATCAGCAGGAAAACGGTCGGTATAGTGGAAAAATTATCAGGGCAAGTGACATTACATGTGCCACTGTACTGGAGTACACTAGCAATTTTAATGTTATTTCCACCCTTGAACTGCAGTATGTTATTTCAGTGGGCTAGGACTATAACATCGATGTTAGTCCAAACTAATACAAGCATAACAACCAACATATGTGGCTGAATAAATGCAATATTCTTGAATTGAAAGTGCCAGGGTGATGAGGTAGCCTCGTGGTTAAGGCGTTTGCTCATCACACCGAACACCCGGGTTCGATTCCTCAAATTGGTGCAATGTGTGAAGCCCATTTCTGGTGTCCCCTGCTGTGATATAGCTGGAATATTGCTAAAAGCAGGGTAAAACTAAATTCAATGAAAGTGCGTTAAGTGCTGTGTAGCTAAAAGAGTAGATTAGCAGCACACAGTTACACAGACCACCAATACCAAACTCTAACATCAGAATCCAATCATTCTCTCACTTGAAAGTGCACCGTTAAGTGCTGTGTAGCTAACACAACATACAACTAAAGAGTAGATTAGTACCTACCCAGCACACAGTTACACAGACCACCAACACCAAACTCTACCAGCTTCTCATCAGACTCATCCAATGCATCTGGCAAAACAAAAGACATATTGTAAAGAAAATTTGATGTCATGATTCCCTGTTTGCAGTCTCAATCCATCTTTTACTTTTAGATGAGCTAAAATGCATTATCTAAAACTCTCTGGTATTGACAGAAATGAATATTAATTGCATGATTGTGGCTCATGGAAAGAGTTCCTTCTGTTCCCCTAATTCTTTCTTCCGCAGATTAACAGATGTAATGCAACATGGTTCGACCCTACATATTGTAATTAATTTTGGGCTTTTAGTTATTTTTGTGAGTTCTCTAGTAATTGTTGCGTTAGGTTTTGTTAATAATTTTAGCTTAAATTAATTTATAAATATTATTTGGAATGGTGAGTGATGAGTTTAGTTTTATGCCACACTCAGCAATATTCCAGCTATATGTCTGTAAATAATCGAGTCTGGACCAGACAATCCAGTGATCAACAGCATAAGCATCAATCTGCGCAATTGGGAACCGATGACATGTGTCAACCAAGCCAGCGAGCCTGACCACCCGATCCCTTTAGTTGCCTCTTATGACAAGCATGGGTTACTGAAGGTTCATTCTAACCCTGACCTTCACAGGTTATGTGGGATGGGGGAACGGGAGGAACTCATGGGAGCGGGTCATCAGTCATTTGTCTCACCTAGAAATAGGTCCAGTACATTCAGCTTCCTGAAGTAGTCATAATTTATCGGGTCATACGCAAAGTTAGCCAGATTAGCCAGTACTTGCTGTTTCGCTTCTGGAAAGTAAGAGAATTTCTTGAGCATTGCCATACTAAGCTCTGTATATTTTTCAACAGAACCTTAGAGATGAGCACTGAAGGTCAGAAGATCTTCATCAAAGCATTATGAATCTTTCCTTTGCTTATGCTTTCCTGTAGTATACAAAGTGAGTTATAGTTAAATTATCTGTCCATACATATGATCATGGTGACAAACATCAACAAACATCGATGGTGATGATGCATGCTGTTTGGCTTTGTCACAACCTCGTAAAACATTTGCTGCTGGATCGGAAAACAGTGGATCTTTTAGACATCGAAAGTTGTTTCGAGGAATGTCCCTATCTTATACTGGATAGGGTGTAAATATGCATTTTTAACTCTCTATATTCTGGCAAGATCCACAGATGGTTTGGTGCGCGAAAAACGGGGACCTCATGATCGCCCTTTCCTTCACCGTTAACCGTTCTTGGTCTTTTCGCAGCAATCTAACCTTGATCATCGATGTCCTGGTATTCTGTCACAAGCGACTGCAAGTAACTGAACCTGCCGATCCCATACGGGCCGGTCTTTCTGTCAAGATATTCTTGAGAACTGAACATTGTTTACACTTTGTATCTGAGGACTAGAGGTTTTCCTCCTCAGCGGATCCGTTAATTCCATATAATATAGACAGGAACCAGTCAATTCCTACGAAACGTTTTCATTGCCTAGCTCCGCATCGTATAACAACTTCCGACTTGTAACCCACGTGTTGAACGAAGTTCGGCTCGAACAACAACTCGTATGTGTTAAATACAATAAGACATCAAGTCATAAACAACATGTCTACCTTGTTGAAATAATATAGTTTGTGTTTGCTATTTTGAGCGTATTAAGTAAAACCTACCTCAATAACCAGCTTTGCATCGCAATTGACATTTCATATCTTAAACCCGTTTGGAACTGTATCTGTATCTGTGTAGGTTCCCAGGCGGACTCAATTCTGAGTATTATGCTGGGGGATGGTAGTGTAGAAAAATATTAGGGTTAGACAATATTTCATTATTTGAAACAGGACTTACGGGTCGAAATATTTCCTAAATTGTGAGGATTTCAGAACACGATCAAACCGTAAACAGCTATGGCACTTTCAATGTTAAAGTAACATTAACTTCTTAAAGCATCTGATGTATACATGCACATGAAGTCACTTCCATTTGAACAATGATTCCTGCCTCAAAAGAATACGATAGCCATAATCATGATAATGTGACAGGGTACTTACATGTGACTGATTGTGTGTCCTTGGTGTCATTAGCCGAGAGCCGTGTCATTAGCCGAGAGCCGTGTCATAAAACCTTGGCATCCATATATATTATTGCTCATGCTATTAACCACTGGTTCACAGTGCTTATGTTCTGGCTGCCTCGATATGACTGGAATACTACTAACAGCCTAATACATCCTGCAACAACAGTGACTCAAGCTCTGTTGTTTATTGATTGATCAGTGTCTGTTTGTATTTAATAGATACTGGTTTACGGAGACGTAACTGAAGATGACGACGTTCGCTAGCCCGCCAGCTTCAGCAGCTGGCTGTCCCTCACACACAAGCTATACTCGGGGAAGACAAGCGGAAAGTCTCTCTTCTCTTTGATCCCAAAGATGCAGCTACATTTGATAAAGAGACCTTCTATGCGCTTGGTATGTAGAAGCACATGGTGTTGTGTTCTCTGAACACCAAGTATGTGATGTTAGGACTGGCTACAGATATAGATCATAGAGATCAGAGGCCGAGATAAGCTGCGTATCCGGGTAAAATACGCATAGAAAATTTCCAATTACGCATTGAAAAATATTTGTTGTGTACCAATTACGCATTTTAAAATGTTAGATAGGCAAAAAGTTTAAAACAAATCCGTACAGAATATATTGATAAAAATCGCTTGCATAATGAAAAAGACATCGATTGCTATCAAGTTGTACTGTTAGTATAGGACTAGTGTTGTACTGTCAGTATAGGATGAGTGATTTTTTATGAAATCATTTCCATTATATTTAAGTTGGTTTTGATTAGGTATGACACAAGGCAGAACATACCTGCTTAGTAAACTTACTCAATGACATATACTTAGGTGAGTGAAATGACTGAAATATGCACATATTTGAAAGCAGTGGGTAACGGAAAATGAAATACCCACTCAACATTCATAATACCCACTCCAAACAAATACAGTGGGTACAGTACCCACATGAGCTAAATCTTATCTGGAGCTCTGATTTCATCTGTGATATTTATCGATAATTGATCAATATTTAGTTAAAGGTCACATGCAACCATAAAATCAAACATAATTAAAACACAATTATCACTTCTTCATGACATATAATATGCATTGCTGATTATGAAAAAACAAATAAACAAAATTAGAAGCGTATAATCGCAAATCAAAAGTGCAATATTTTGTACTTGGGTTTACCTCCCTCGAAAGCGAAGCAGCGGGATACCAAACCCAGTCAAATAGTTGGGTGTGCACTCAAGTAATAGCGGCTGGTTCATTTGCAGATGCCGCCCTCATGCACTGCTCATTGTGTGTGTATATATAGAGATGTTGGGTTTTGTAAATACATGCTCATTTTTGTGTATAACATTTTGCAATCAACAGACATCATAACATGTCATGTGTTCAAGTATCACACCTGCCTGTCTGTGTATTTACATAATGTGACAGAGACCGAACTTCGGGCCATAAATCAATGCGTTTTGTTTATGGTGTATAGCCTGATTGGTGTTAAGTTCAAATTGCATGTGGTCAGTGATCGCAGTTATTGTATTGAATATTGTCATTAGCAGACAGGCAGGCAGACACACAGGTGTCAATAAAACAAGACATTGAGTTTTGTCTGTGACAAGCGACATATCTATATCACAGTTAGAAATTCTGTCAGCTAAATAATGACATTGCTTTTAAGTATCGAACTGAAAGTGACTCGGTAAGAAGAGCGTGTGGTGAAATAGACAAATGAAATTATATAAACAGTTTATTTACTGTCATAACATATAAAAGCTCAGCGCCTGTGAGATATCAACAAAACATTATGAAAATAGCTCACACCAAAGCCTTCACCTAATGAGTATTCACCAGACAGCCGCCAAGTCAGAACCTATTTCACTGCGCACATGCTATGGAGCGGCCAGCTATTGAAACCGTTTTCCCGAATTTTGGGGAAAATTAGTGAGTGTTTGAACTCCGATTTGCGCGTTTTTTTCATCGGCGTTATTTTTCAACTTTATAACTTGAATTTGCATTTTGATGATTTGTTTGATGTAAGTCCATGCGAAAGGTATCAGAATCTGCAAAGTTGTATTTTACGTTGCATGTGACCTTTCGATTATTGCCTCTATTGTCTATGTTGTTAGTCATTTGATCAGAAACAATGATTATATGCATTTGATTTTTGAGCAGCTTTTTTCAGCATGATGGTACTTTAATGTACATTTTTGTCCCATATCCTCATCCATGACATGCATCCATCTTCATATCTTTTCCACTTGCTCATTCTTTGCATATCTGCATGTAATAGTCTGAGATTAAAGAGAAACAGAAGCAGGACACAAATGCAACACCAATACGTGTAGATGTCCCAAGTGGATTTTCAGCAAAGGCAATTTTAGCGAATGCAGTGGAAAATATGGATGAGGCCTAGGAATGATTGGCCTATTTTTGTTTGTTGCAGGTGTGAATGGTATCGAGGAACTGGAGGGTATTGACCCCTCCTTCCAGGACTTCCATGAGAGCCTGTTTAGTGAGGGCTCACTAACATTTGAGAGGAGTGTTCAATCCAAGGAAGTCAACAAAAAAATCAACACCGTCATCTCTAAATTTCTGCTGAAACTCTCTCCATATTTCTTACTCAAGGCAGCCCAAAAATCTGTGGAATGGTTAATTCAAAGGTGAGGCTGGAGCATACCATTGTATAGCTATTGTAACAATATGGCAATACAGTGTTGTCACAATACAACACATCAATTTACAACTACTGTATCGCAGATAAGAAAACATGAGATTCATTACATGCAAGTTATATTGATGTGAACCTATGAATATTGATACTAGAAACGAGGGTGGGTGGGGTAGCCTAGTGGTTAAAGTGTTCGTTTGTCATGCCAAAGGCCCGGGTTCGATTCCCAACATGGGTACAATGTATGAAGCCCATTTCTGGTGAACACCGCGATAATATTGCTGGTGTATTGCCAAAAGTGGCGTAAAACCCAACTCACTCACTCACTGATACTAGAAACTGTTCAAGAACCAGTTTATGCAGATTCTCTAGTATTTCCAGACAGGATGGAAGAAGCAGAATTTGCACAGTGACACCAAGCTTATAATTCTCCTGAACAATATGCCATTTTCACCATTCTTTAGATGTGCTACATTTCACTGGTCATGGGATTTTCCTTGTTTTAATCTCTGTTCTGCACAAATACACAGGCTAAATCTGAGTTGATCCTGTTGTTGATCATGTTGGTCTGTCTCCTTGGTCTCAGGTATCACAGCAGATCGATGCTCATGCTGTTGATCACTGGATTGTCTGGTTCAGACTCGATTATTTACAGGCCACTGCCATATAGCTGGAATATTGCCGAGTCCGGCGTCCAACTAAACTCACTCACTCACTCAGGTATCACATCCACTTCTACAATGTCGACGACTTGATGATGTGCATCCTGCCGTACCATGACACCAAGATCTTCGTCCGAGCTGTCCAGCTGCTGGACCTCAACAACAAAGATGTCCGCCACTGGAGCTGGCTGCAGCCCATACAGGTAGTCCATTCCTTCTTTTTATTTCCTGGGGCAGTGGGGTAGCCTTGTGGTTAAAGCATTCACTTGTCATTCTGAAGGCTCGGGTTCGATTCCCCACATGGGTGCAATGTGTGAAGCCTGTTTCTGGTGTTCCCCACTATGATATTGCTGGAATATTGCTAAAATCAGCATAAAACCCAACTCACTCACTCACTCACTCACTCACTCACCCAAAACCCACCCACACACACTCACACTCACTCCACCTCACTCCACCACTCACTCACTCACTCCCAACAACCCACCCACTCACTCACTCACTCAATTTTGTTGTTGTGAAATTTGAATTTACACTGATTTGTATATTGGGATTCTGACATTAGGCACTGAATGGAACAGTGTACGTACAAGAGAGTGTTAGTTTATTACTATCATCATTAAGGATACAGATTTAAATTTTCAAATTTCCATCACAGTTAATTAGTTTTATTTTGCTCTAATTTTGTCTTTGCCCAAACAGAACTCCTGCAAATGGAAGTAACTTGAAAGGGAAAGTTGTCCCTATGTTTATATCGGGAAGTATATCATTGTGTATTTCTGTATCTTTAACTGTGTTTGGTGTATTGTTACCGTTTGTCAGAAACCTGGAGTGCACTTGGCCAGATCCACTTTAATCAGCCATTGTGGGAAGAACACTGCCTTCCTCTCGTTTCTCTGTGATATGGTGCCAAAGTTTGTTAAGGTAAGTTTGGGGCACATGGCATCTGAAAAGATAAAGCGTCTTTGATTCAAAAGGACATCTAATTTCTGAATGTTTGCAAACATCATTTTAGTAGTTCTTCCAAGAACACAGCCAGTCTTAATTTGCCCTTTAGTGTATGATATCTGTAGGTTTTCTATTTCATAAGTAACTTGTAAGTGATGAGTGCTCTTTTCTAGTACTTGTTCATGGTCTCTATAATCTCGATTTGTTAACAGAGAGAACTATATGACAACTTTTTAGAGACAAAAGTTGCTCCCCTTAGCTCTACTGGGATCTTATGTCCATAGGTTTGAATTACAGAATTACCTCATTTCAGCAGCCTTGATAGATATGTCAGTATGGTAATAGTGGTATAATACTAACACATTGGTGTTAGAACATGCTCATCCAACAGATCTTTTCTCACCAGGCAAACAAAGATGCAGAAGATACCAACAGCCCCCAGTTTCTAAAGACAGTCTTCTCCTTCTATGCAATGACTGTCATATCTGTGCTTGACACATACAATGTCAACGAACGTCTGCTGTCTGCTCTGATTGAGCCCATAGCTGCGAGGTATACAATCTCGAATTCGAGCCTATCAGGCAGCCTCTTACATGATCATGGCAGAGTTGTTTCACAAGGCAAAGGTCAAGAAGGACCTATCAGAAACCTTCATACATCTTGTCTGCAAAGTAAGTTTCAAGTGCAACTTTCTCTCAGGTTATCTCGATGTGCACAATGGTTAGGACTGCACATATTTTGTAATAAGCGTGATTTTGTAAGACCATAATGAATGAAGTGCGTGGTTTTTAACCCCATTTCTCAACCAAACTCCCCTCTTCACATCATTGTCCTTGAGCACCTACAGATGAAGGAAATTGTTGGCATGTGTAATACTGTAAACATACTTTTTTCGCATGGTGCAAATTTCGCGGAATTGACAGTTTAGACTACATCGTGCGGTCAATTATTCGCGCAATCAGTAATTGCCGGAACTGCCAGCTGTCTCTTAGGGGGGCCGCCACTAATAGCAATGAAAACAACCAGAGTGGCTTAACCTGTCAGGCGGTGAGTATTGCTTACTCACAGGAAATCCCTACCTGCGCGATATATACAGTAATATGTTTACTCAAGGAAGTATTAAGTACTTTGGAAGTGAGATATCATGATGGCACTAGTATACTATATAAAGAGATGAAAAACACATCAGTCTTATGTTCCGAATTCTGACGATCTGACGATGGCATTGCGAATGTGGTTAAAGAAAGCACCTACTCCCAAGACACCTGGACTTCCAGACTTTGTGATTTCATTTCATGATATGCAGGAATAAATATAAATAAAATCTTAATGAATAAATAAAATACTGCTGTATTATTTCTTTCCGAGTCGTTTCATGGTAATCCGTTTTGTATCAAACCATCTGTCACCACGATTGGTCAAAATAGAACATGTCGGGACATGAATTGGGAAATCCATTACAGCGACAGTTTTGCTACTATCAGTCGTCATTTTAAGATTTCCGTAGATTTCTGTCTTCAAACTTGATGTGTTATGGTAACAACTCAGAGGTGAGCGTCGTGGGTAGAGTGAATGAATGAAAGGTTTATTTGCTGTGTATAAATTTTCGCAGTAAAATATTTGCGCAAAATCGCGAAAATAGAACCTACGCGATATATAATACGTTTACAGTATACGGTGCGATGTTATGGAGCCTGTTGCCCTCCATCCTCTTTGACCCGTTAAATCTGGGTTAGAGTTGGTCTTCAGCAACCCATGCTTGTCATAAGGGGCAACTAACAGGATTGGGTGGTCAGGCTCTGACTTGGTAGACACGTCATTGTATCCAAGGTGGTGGATCAATGCTGATGTTGATAACTGGATTGTCTAGACTCGATTATTTATAGGCCTCCGCCATATAGCTGGAATATTGCTAAGTGAAGTGGTAGGCAACAAACAAACAAATAAAGGTGTTATGTGCTCCAGTATTTCTCATGCATGTTCCATCCTCACTGTTTCAGTTTATCAACCCCCAGATGGCTACAGAGGCAGTCACCTGCATCCTCATTATATTCCAGACTCAAGATGTCACCAAACTGCATAAGAAGTAAGAGGTGTTTCCCAATACTGTCATACAGGTAGTTAGGGGCGGTGTGGTTGCCTAGTGGTTGAAGCGCCACTTGTCACGCAGAAGACCCAGGTTTGATTCCCCACATGGGTATAATATGTGAAGCCCATTTCTGGTGTCCCTTGCCGTTATATTGCTGGAATATTGCTAAAAGTGGAGTAAAACTAAACTAAACAAACAGATAATGAATTCTTGTTATAGACTCCTTATCCCATTACTGTTGCTCTCTACTTCCAGGAATTTCAAGTACCTCTCCCGTCAGCCGACCCTAGCGTCTATCATCAAGAAGCTGTCTGTGAAGTACAATGTCCAGCCCCTCCTTCAGCCTCTCCTGGGGAATTTGGTGCCAGCAGCATTCAAAGAATCTGCTCTCAACATCATCAGCAGTGACAGCAGCGAAGATGAGGGTGGACCACGACCGCAGCTCATGTCCCTGCTGCAGGATCTCCTGACAAACGTGGCACTGCAGGAGATTACCGCCATCGGTGTGGCAAAGTAAGGATGGGAAGATGACTGCTTAGAGTATGGCATATTAAGGCGACTCCTGTCATGATTTTATAACCACTAATGGGATCGGGTGGTCAGGCCCGCTGACTTGGTTGACACATGTCATCGGTTCCCAATTGCACAGATTGATGCTCATGCTGTTGATCTCTGGATTGTCTGGTCCAGACTCGATTATTTACAGACCGCTGCCATATAGCTGGAATATTGCTGAGTGCGGCATAAAACTAAACTCACTCACTCATGATTTTATAAAAACCTTCTTGAGACCACTGCTGTTATTGTGGCAAAATATAGCTGAGAACTCTGCCATTAGTGTGGCAAAAAGGTTGAGCAGACAATGGTTGTCATGGTTTCAAAATAAATGTGAGGAGGTAACTGCTATCAGTGTGGCAAGGTAACCGTTTTCACAATAGTCAAATTCATCTGCAACTGACTGCCATCTTTGTGAAGTCAAGGAGACCACCTTCATTTGTGGCAAAGTATTTTGGGGGAGACAGCAACGGTCATATCTCAAAAGTAATGTTTCTCTGTCTCTTCAAAAGTCGAGGAAGTGAAGATGTGTGAACTTTTTTAAATTCAGAAACGTTCTGCGCAACTTCATCTCGAACTTGCTACGTGACCAGGATCATCAGGAGAGCCACCACACCACAGTCCGAGGCATCGTCAGGCAGCTTGAGGCAAAGTATGTGGTCATTGTACAGAGTTACGAACATATGCTGCTAGGTGTATGCTACACATGAAGCTACTGAAGGCTTAAGCCACTCCCTTGTTGCTATAAACTGATGTATTTGGGATCATAGCTAAAACAGTCCAAATGTTGAATCAGTTTGATTTATCGATAATCAATGATGACTTTAATGTGTAAATGATTGATGATGTTTGATGATGATATAAGCATGAAAAGTACCAACATCACGAAGACAGAAGTGCATATACTTGATGTGTACAAAGTCAACAAAAGGATGAAATATATAAGGAAATATAAATGCATAAGTTGGTCCAGACTGGAATATCTACAAGCCATCATACATTGTAATATGTATGGCTGTGATATTCTTGAATGGGGAGTTTAACAACTAACATATTGCGCACCCCACTACATCCTCTCCTAGAGATCTAGTTCAGCACAGGACCGCCTCTGTGGTGTAGTGGTTAGAGTGTCAGCTCGGAGAGCAGAATGGTCATAGGTTCGATCCCCGGCCGCATCATACCAAAAGACGTTATAATAAGTTACTTGTTGGTCCATGCTTGGCGCTTGGCATTAATGGGTATAACAAGGACTGATCGGCTCAGAGTCAGTATAATGAGTCTGAATTTGGTATTCATGCTTCACTGTGGCATGGTATCTCAGTGAGCTAGTCCTATAAGACCATCTAAAGTCTGGGCTAGTACAAGCAGCCACACATACACACGCATGCACGTCCTCATACAAGCAAAATATTCTTAAGCACGATGTTAAACCCCATCTCACCTCACCTCCAGTTCAGAACTACCAAATAATTACAAGCATTAATGTACATATGAAATAAAGATGTCTTTATCTTTAGATAAATAGCGTCAGATATAATAGTACATGTTGTTTTGTGTGCCAGGTATCCGAATGCCCTGGATATTGCCACAGATGATGTGATGCTGTCTACGAGCAGTCAGGAGGAGAAGGAGGCCATTGCTTCCTTCTTGAACTTGTCAGCCATGACAACTCAGCACCAGATCCTTCCTGACAACCAGACAAGCCTTGTGTTGTGTCTCAACCACCGTCAGGCATCAGTCCGGCAGAGTGCTGTGTCCTACCTGCTTGAAAACAATGGGAAGGTGGGTAGCTTTAATAATATGGGCATTTGTAATGCGCTGAATTCTGCAGCACAGAGGGGCATGCTCAATGCACTACAATCTGAATATTATTACCCCGGATAACCCAAGCTGCCTGTGAGGCGCTAGAAGGTTAATAGTCACATGACTTATCCCACCGGGTACCCATTTTCTGCTGGGTGAACCCACTTTAAATAACTTTATAACAGACATACTAGTGCCAAGTAGACCAGTCCTGTAATGGGAGTAAGTTATAAATGTTGCTTTATGCTACATCAGCAATTTGGCAGCTATTAGTGGGGAATATGGATCCCTCATCTTGTAGGTTAGGTTGGTAACTGAAAGATGTTCTGGTTATGACGGAGATACTCTCATTCAATAAGCACCCAACATGAAAAAATAAAACTAATGGATACATAAAAGATATAGTTACTCTCATCAGAATTATCAGAACCAGATTTAACGGGTATTTGACATGTTGTCAGCCTATTTATTGAGCTCTGTTAATGGTTCATAGATTTTCCATGTGCTGTCTCTCCCTGAACATGTAAAACTAATCCTTGCCAAATACAACAGTTGGTATATACCATGACCTTGTCTGTTATGATCAAGAGCGTTTTATTAAATGATAAACCTGTTTGTTTTGCTTAGCTTGATGACACAGACTTCATCTCTGAGTCTGTACTGGCACGGCTGCGAGATGACAACCCAGAGATCGTGAAGATGATTCTGCAGTATAACAAGGTGAGGCTCATCTTAACAACCCAAGTGAAAGCTGATTTTTTGTTCTTATTCTTTTCTGAGGAACAAACCCTCTTTGTCCCATTGTTTATGTTGACAATGTTTGCCCTATTGCCCCCATTTGCCATATTGATGTTGCCCCCATTGACTTGTTTGCTTTGTTCATTGTTGTCCCTGTTTGCCCCATTGCCTCTGTTCGCCATATTAATGTTGCCCCTGTTTGCCATATTAATGTTGCCCCTATTTGCCATATTAATGTTGCCCCTGTTTGCCATATTAATGTTGGCCCTGTTTGCCATATCTATGTTGTCCCTGTTTGCCCCATTGCCCCTGTTTGCCCCATTGCCCCTGTTTGCCATATTGATGTTGCCCTGTTTGCCCCATTGCCCTGTTGCCATGTTTACCATATATAAATGTTGCCCCTGTTTGCCATATTAATGTTGCCCTGTTTGCCATATTCATGTTGCTCCCCTGTTTCCTGTTTGCCATTAATGCTGCCCTGTTTGCCATATAGTAATTGTTGCCCTGTTTGCCCCATTGCCCCTGTTTGCCATATTGCCCCTGTTTGCCATATTAATACTGCCCTGTTTGCCATATTAATTTGCCCTGTTTGCCCCATTGCCCCTGTTTGCCATATTAAACCTGCCTTTGGCATGCCATATTACTGCCCTGTTTGCCATATTAATGTTGCCAATGTTTGCTTGCCATATTAATGTTGCCCCTGTTTGCCATATTAATGTTGCCCTGTTTAGCCATATTAATGCCCTGTTTGGCCCATTGCCCCTGTTTGCCATATTAATGTTGACCCTGTAGGCATATTTGCTTCAAACCCTGTTTGCCCCATTGCCCCTGTTTGCCATGTTTCATGTTGACCCTGTTTGGCATATTAATACTGCCCCTGTTTGCCATATTGATGCTGCCCTTGTTTGCCCCATTGTCCCTGTTTGCCATATTAATACTGCCCCTGTTTGCCCTGTTTGCCCCATTGCCCCTGTTTGCCGTTTCATGTTGAACCTGTTTGGCATATTAATACTGCCCCTGTTTGGCATATTAATGCTGCCACTGTTTGCCCCATTGCCCCTGTTTGCCATAGTAATGTTGACCATGTTAGCCATATTAATGCGGCCCCTGTTTGGCCCATTGCCACTGTTTGCCATATTAATGTTGACCCTGTTTGGCATATTAATGCTGACCCTGTTTGCCCCATTGCCCCTGTTTGCCATATTAATGTTGACCCTGTTTGGCATATTAATGCTGCCCCTGTTTTTCCATTGCCCCATTGCCCCTATTTGCTATTTCATGTTGACCCTGTTTGGCATATTAATGCTGCCCCTGTTTGCCCCATTACTCCTGTTTGCCATATTAATGTTGACCCTGTTTGGCATATTTATGCTGCCCCTGTTTGCCCCATTGCCCCTGTTTGCCATATTAATGTTGACCCTGTTTGGCATATTGATGCTGTCCCTGTTTGCCCCATTGCCCCTGTTTGCCATATTAATGTTGACCCTGTTTGCCCCATTTCCCCTGTTTGCCATATTAATACTGCCCCTGTTTACCCCATTGCCCCTGTTTGCCATGTTCATGTTGACCCTGGTTGGCATGTTAATGCTGCCCCTGTTTGCCCCATTGCCACTGTGTGACATATTAATGTTGACCCTGTTAGGCATATTAATGCTGCCCCTGTTTTTCCATTGCCCCATTGCCCCTGTTTGCCATGCTATTTCATGTTGACCCCTGTTTGCATATTAATGTTGCCCTGTTTGCCCCATGTTCATGTTGCCCCTGTTTGCCATATTAATGCTGACCCTGTTTGCCATATTAATGCTGCCCTGTTTTGTTTGCCCCATTGCCCTGGTTGCTATTTCATGTTGACCCTGTAGGCATATTAATGCTTCCCCTGTTTGCCCAATTGCCCCTGTTTGCCATTTCATGTTGACCCTGTTTGGCATATTAATACTGCCCCTGTTTGCCATATTGATGCTGTCCCTGTTTGCCCCATTGCCCCTGTTTGCCATATTAATGTTGACCCTGTTTGGCATATTGATGCTTCCCCTGTTTGCCCCATTGTCCCTGTTTGCCATATTAATACTGCCCCCCTGTTTGCCCTGTTTGCCCCATTGCCCCTGTTTGCCATATTCATGTTGCCCTGACCCCATTTTGTTTGCATTGTTCCCTGTTTGCCATATTGATGCTGACCCTGTTTGGCATATTATTGATGCTGTCCCTGTTTGCCCCATTGCCCCTGTTTGCCATATTAATGTTGACCCTGTTTGGCATATTGATGCTGCCCCTGTTTGCCCCATTGCCCCTGTTTGCCATGTTCATGTTGACCCTGTTTGGCATATTAAAACTGCCCCTGTTTGCCCCATTGCCACTGTGTGCTATATTAAGGTTGCCTAGGTTTGCCCTTTTTTGAATTGTTAATGTTGACTCTGTTTGCCCCATTGCCCATGTTTGTCATGTCAGTGTTGACGGTGATTGACCCATTGCCTCTGTTTGTCATATTAATGTTGCCCCTATTTGCCCCTGTATGCTATATTAATGTTGCCCCTGTTTGCCCCATTGCCCCTGCTTGCCATATTATTGCCCCTTTTGTCCATTTGCCTCTGTATGCCATGTCAATGTTGCCCCTCTTTGCCATATTGATGTTGACCCTGTTTGCCACATTGCCCCTGCATAGAGAGTGGAAGGTCGCGGGTTCGATCACCGGCTGCATCATACCAAAAGATGTTAAAATGTGGTATTTGTTGTCCCTGCCTGGCGCTCAGCATTAATGGGTAAAACAAGGACTGGTCGGCTTGGAGTCAGAATAATGTGTCTGAGTGGGTTATTCATGCTTCACTGCGGCATGGTATCTCAGTGAGCTAACACTATAAAACCAGCTTAGTCTGGGCTAGTACAAGCAGCCACACATACACACACATGCATGACATCATCATATGAGAGAAATATTCTTAAGTATGACGTTAAACCCCATTTCACCCCACCTCATTGCCCCTGTTTGTCATCTTGATGTTGAGGTCCCTGCCTGGCGCTCGGCATTAATAGGTACAACAAGGACTATAAAACCAGCTTCAGTCTGGGCTAGTACAAGCAGCCGCACATACACATATCCACATGCATGCACGTCGTCATATGAGTGAAATATTCTCAAGCACGACGTAAAACCCAATTTCACCTCATCTTGGTGTTGAACCTGTTTGTTAGGTGATTGATATTGAGAATATCACCTTTTGAACAAAGGTCCCGAATCATGTTCTGTCAACGTTCAAATGTATTTGAATTCAGTTAGATGGAAACTTCATGTTGTGGTGTTTGTGTTGGCAGCTGCCTGATCTGGTGGTGGACAAGGCCGAGTTCCAGAGTTGTCTTCTCCAGCTTCTACAGAACTACAGCACACACTCAAGCAGGTCAGTGATAGCCCAGCAGTTACCTCAGTCTAATCCAGCTATAAACCCATTTGCCAGAATAGCTCCCAAGTTGCCCTTCTGTAGAGGATCTATGTCTGACCTGGGCCCCGTTTCACAAAGATCTCGTAAGCCTAAGATCTCGTATCTTTTCTTGTAGCATTCGTATCTCCTATACTGTAACATGGTTACACAAGTTACGAGATCTTAGGCTTACAAGAGCTTTGTAAAATGTGGCACTGGCTGACTGTGTCAGGAAGCAAGGTCATGTCATTGCTCGATCTATTGACCACTTGTTTGCTGGGTTCAGACATGATAATTTATTGGCCACCATCCCAAAGGAATATTGCATACTGCAGCATAAAACAGCATTTATTTACTCTTTCTCTGGGCAAAAGGTAAAAAGCATTCATCATGTTTCTTAGTTTGACATAAACCAGGTGTCCCCATACACTGAAGTTGTATTGCAAGTCCAAGTAGCCTAGTAGTTAAAGCATTCGCTTGTCAGTCCGAGGACCCGGGTTCAGTTCTCCTCATGGGTACAATGTATGAACCCTGTTTTTGGTGTCCCTCCATAATGCTGGAAAACTTGCTAAAAGTTAAAAAACCATACTCACTCACCATTACGTACATTGAAAGAGTTAAGATTACAAGTCATTTGCAGCAATTCTGTCGGTTAATCAGAGAATAGTCTTTGTTAATGAATTGATGAGTAAAAAAGTTCAGAATTTATTCACTGGACCTATTTCCTGGTCTTTGCTATGTCATAGCAGTTCAGATAGTTGATCGTTGATGTAGTCTGTCATGCTGATGTTGTGTGTTGTCCCTGCAGCACCATGTGCCCCTACATCCTCAAATGGCTGTGTGAGGAGAAGTCTGTCTCGGAGGATGTCGCCCTGGTTGCCATGGTAACTCACCTTTTCCTCCTGTCAGGTCAACTGTCCCACGTCGACCTGGTCAAGCAGATGTTCGAGTCATCCTTGGCAAAGAGGAATAAGCTCCTCAAAGCACTAAAGAAAGGTGGGTCTGAAGAGATAGCATTGCGTTTCCAGATCAGGATTTCAATATATGGCAAGCTGTCATCCAGTGTATTATCTCTTTTTGTCCTGTGATTGGATCCTCATTCCACCATTGTTTCATTCTGGAAGTGCTCACTTGTCATGAACCGCCTCCGTGGTGTAGTGGTTAGAGCGTCCGCCCGGAGAGCGGAAGGTCACGGGTTCGATCCCCGGCCGCGTCAGACGTTAAAATATGGTACTTGTTGGTCTCTGTCTGGCGCTCGGCAGTAATGGGTACAACAAGGACTGGTCGGCTCGGAGTCAGTATAATGTGTCTGAGTGGGGTATTCATGATTCACTGCGGCATGGTATCTCAGTGGGTTAGCACTATAAAACCAGCTTAAGTCTGGGCTAGTACAAGCAGCCACACATACACATACACACGCATGCACGTCGTGATATGAGCAAAATATTCTCAAGCACGACGTTAAACCCAATTTCACCTCACCTCACCTCACTTGTCATGCCAAAAACCTGGGTTCAATTGCCAACAATGTGTGATGCCCATTTCTGCTGTCCCCTACCGTGATATGGTTGAAATATTGCCAAAAGCGTTGTAAAACCATACTCCACGCACTCACTTAGTGGTGGGAATCGGTTGTGATTTCATAATCGATCATCGGTTACAATTGGATTGGCCCAACCGATCAATCATTGATTAATAATCAGTTAAATTAAATCACAAGAATACCATCTAAATAATAAAAATATTACACAAGGTCATGTGGTTATTATTGTCTCAGACTTCTAAAGGTAAGCAAGTACAGTTCAGAGACAGATGGTTGAACATGTAGAAGTACGCAAAAGACTCGACTATTTATAGACCGCTGCCATATATCTGGAATATTACTATGTGCTGAATCAAACAACAAGCAAACAAACATTGTCTACATAATTCCAAGCTGAAGCTTGACTGATGAACTGTTTGAAAAATCAGCATGAATCCTTTGATATGCTTCTTGATGAATTAGTTTACTCAAAAATATGCTCATTTGCAGGATAAGTCTACCACAATCTGACTGAAATATCTTTGGTGTTCCTTAAAATATAGCAATATGCTTTAGCCTTTGCAACTTTTACATGTGTAAGACAAAATATTATGGATGTCAACTTCTTCTTAATTGTATGCACATGGTTTCTGGGCTATTCCTTTCCTGACCTGACAAAGTGGCAACGAATAGCCCAGAAAAGTTGTGTATACAATAAAGAAGAAGTTGACATCCATAATATTTTGTCTTATACTTGAATACCAACTTCTGTATGCCTCTGAAGAACCTCAACTTTTACATGATTGAACTACGTTAATCATTTGTAATTGTCTTGTCAACAATGTGTTTTATATTTCACTTGATTGGTCGTATGCTGTTCATTTGTCAACACAGTAGGTTGACTGCTATGTTTCTGTTCAGACTGGCTGCCTCCTTTCCTGGAAGTTGTTGGGTCCGGTCGTTCTGTTGAAGGTTTTGTTGGTATGAATGAGATGCTGATGAAGTGTCTCGGACAGGCGATGCTGCAGTGTTATGGTTCCGATTCTGTGAAGCAGGTGAGAATCTGAGGCTTGTCACTCCGTGCAGCTCCGTGTTAGGATTCCAGATTTGAATTGGTCTTGACCAAACTATGCTGGTTGTATTTGGTGGATTGGGCAATCATGCTTGGTGACTTAGCTAAGGGTTAAAATTGGGGGTGACTAACAGGATCGGGTAGTCAGGCTCGTTGACTTGGTTGACACATGTCATTGTATCCCAATTGTGTAGATTGATGCTCATGATATCAATCACTTGATTGGTCCTGACTCGATTATTCACAGACCACCATCATATAGCTGGAAAATTGCTGGAGTGCGACATTAAACAACAAACAAACAGGATGAGCTGAGTGTCATCATCATCCCCTAACACCATTGCTGGAATATTGCTGAAGACGGTGTAAAACGATACTCACTAAACAGTAGCATCTAAGCCAGATTTGCTTCCTCTTGGTGTGCTGGAAACATATCTTCAATTGAATCAAAGGTTTTCCCTGTATATTTATCATGGGTTTGTCACAACCATCACTTGGCAATAATGTTGACACACTTATATAAGGGGCGGTGGGGTAGCCTAGTGGTTAAAACGTTTGCTCGTCACACAGAAAATGCTGGTTCTATTCCCCACATGGGTGCAATGTGTGAAGCCCATTTCTGGTGTGCCCTGCCGTGATATTGCTGGAATATTGCTAAAGCTGCTTAAAACTAAACTCACTCACTCACTCACTCACTCACTGAGATATAAACACTTCAAGGCAAATTCTGCTCATAATTGTGTTACACCCAATTCACCATGTTCACTCATTAATTGTCACATAGGTTTTATGTCAGGTAATGCTTGTGCTTGTTTTTCTGTGTAATTACTTCACAGAGTAGACACTTGTTCACAGACATATTTCCTGACATTGAATCTCACACATTTTTGTCAGATATTTAATGGAACATGACCTTGTTACCATGGTTACAGTTCCGAGCTCTGTATAATCTGAAAGACTCTGCTCCGAGGCTGGGTCCGTTCACATGTCTGGTGATGGCCGCCATGTGTGAATCCATGACTGCTGCAGATGATGACAAGCTGAAGATACAACTTGGCCTTGAACTTCTCCACATTGCGCAGAATATCGCAGTGGACAAGGTAAATGCACAACTTTCTTTATTTGCAAGAAATCACAGTTGTTACATCATTTTAATTTCAGACTTCATGTTTGTAGGTTTATTTTTGTTTAAACGTCCTAATAGATGGGCATGTGTCTGTTTGTGAAACCCATGCATTGTGGCATCTGTGGCATCTCTTTCTTTCCACTTCCTGCTCACACATTGTGGTTAAGTTGAAATACTCTTCAGCAACAGAAATTTCAATAAAATTCAATAAAAACTGGACATTCTCTAAACATCTTTTCATCTTGAGGATCGGATGTACATTTGTAATTGTTATGGTGTATATTTCAGAAGCTGATGTCCTCCAAGCACACCATCTCCTCAACGGGGAAGGTATCTCTCAAGTCTGTTCTGCAGAGCTGTGTGGTCAGCTTCAAGAAGAATGGCAAGATTCCCCCTGTGATGCTGGTATACATGCTCGGGCAGCTGATCAGGTCAATGACTGTGCCAGAAGAACTGTTGAGTAAGTAATTCAAGAGTTGGCCTAATCCTGTTCATTTTCCCAGTCTTCAGGCAACATTGAAGCAGATTTTACACTTTGACATTGAGTTCAATGCAACATTAATACCAACTCATTCACCATGTTTACTTTCTTGAGAGTCACCTAATCAGAGTTGCCTCCCTTGGGCATGCCAGCCACCTATGATGGTGGGTTTGAATGCAGGTTTGCTCTGATTATGTTTCTTGGAGCACCTTTAGAATACAGCACAACAACTTCTCGTGAGGACGATCTCTGCCGTAGGTCACATGTCATTAAGACAAGCAACCAGTTTGTGAGAACCCGTCGGATGCGAACCCGCGACCTTCGGATTGTTAGCTCGACAGCTAACCGACTGAGCTACGTCCACATTGTTGCACAATGTGCAAATTTATCGAAGTCATTCCTGTGACGTCACGGAAATGAACGGAAAGAGTCGAATAGGTCACGGACAATTACGAATGCTACGGGTAGACTTGGTGTCTCGTGATTTTATTCTCCGGACAATTGCCGAATGGATCCGATGCCATTTGGCACACTCGTCCCATTCCGTAATCTACAAATTAACGTGTCGGCGTGGAATGAGCCGATATATGCCTCAAACTGAAAAGGGTTGTTGGCGTCAGGCGTCAGGCGTGAGATTTCAATGTGCATGCATGAATGACGCGCATTTATATAAATCGGTGATTTTGTGACAGAAAAGTGATGTAGGGAACACTGTAAGGATAATGTGGATCGCACTAAGGAATGAGGGAGACATGAGCATGTGTAGTGACGCACGAGGGTGAGTTAGCCTTGAATCATTACTGAACAAAATTTATGTTGCGTGTGAAAGAGGCTTGAGTGCAAATTCCAGGCCAATTTCCATTAGCCCAAAATTTCAACATTAACCCATTTCATAATGTACTTTCGGCGTTTTTGGTTTCCGTTTTGTGTGAAAAAAAGTATTAAAATGCAAAAAGGAAAAACAACAATGGTACTCACGTTATTACACGGACATGTACCTGCTATATTGGATTAGGTCCCTAACCCTACCCCTAAACCCTCAGCCCTAACCCCTAACCCTCCTAAACCCTAACCCCTTGAAATATTCCTAATTGCAAATAGAATGCATTGAAGCCGAACCTAACCCGGACATCCCTTGAATTACCTACTATATTGCATTAGGTCCACAAACCCTAGTCCCTAAGCCCTAAGCCCTAAACCTATTTTTTCCCTATCCTGACTCTAACCTTGTCCAATCCCTTGAATTAACTTGTAATAAATAGAAATGCATTGATTTTAAAATCACTAATTAGGCACAAACCACGACTGACGTGTCTAGTGTAATGCATTATTACCGCAGTTCGAAAAAATAAAATACTAATATCCTTTGATTAAACACTTTTATAGACATCTATAGAGGTTTAGCTAGTATCCTTCAACGATTATATATTGATATTTAGTCGCTTTTCTACAGTTTATTCACGCGGGCTTGCGTGTTTGTTTCAGTGGATTACGTTGATGAAAATTCTGTACTATTGCAGATTACGTTTTTATGCTGCTGCTGATCCACCTTTAATATGATGTACGGCGCCATGTTTATTATATTCACATTGCAGTTGGGCGGTACTAATTTATCCAATTCTACCTCTTTATTAATATTTACTTTGCGTTGGCGCGCACAGCAGATAGGTCGGCAGATGCAGAGTCTAGTATGACTGATACACGGAACCCTCTCGCCAGTCTACTGCTGTTGGCCGACTCCTCCTCCGTGTGGTGTTCCGCTAGAGTGGTGGAGAGGTGTGGGACGAGTCCGCCATCTCCAAGAAGCATTCTGCTTCCCCAGACATCCCATCGTCGCAGCAGAAGACTAGAGGGTTTTCTACTACATCTCAACAACCGAGACCGTTCCCATCGAAGTTTGGGCCTGTATGATGATCAGCCGGTCATCATACCGGATACATCAAAGATTGACCGATGTCGGCACAGATCAGCATGCAGCCTGATGTACCAACGCAGATATGCGATGATCGTCCTGAGGGTCCCATCATTACCAACACTCAACGCAGACGTCGCGACACCCAGGCAGCGTCGACCTCTGAGGGAAAATCAACGAAGTCTACTAGGACTTTCTCAACCGAGATTGTTCCAGCCGATGACCTGGACCTCTACGATGATCAGCTGATCATCATACCCGGCGCATCGCCACAAGAAGCGACCGGGGACAGCTACAACGACATCAGCAGAGATCACCATGCAGCCTGATGCCTCTACACTGATGTCGGACGATTTTCGGTGGACCCTCCATTAACACCGCAGATAAAGCACCGGACGACCTCGTCGCAGACCATCCCAGAAGACATGATGCGACAAATTATGAACATCATGGAGGACCAATATCTCGCGGTAGCAGGGTCCGAGTTTCGAAGGCTCCAAGCGTGAGACAGCACCCCAGAGGCACCCCCCGCCAACGTAGCAGCCAGGACGATGTCACCTTCAGCGAAGGAAGTCACGGACCACCTTGACGAAGGACCTAGATGTACAGCCAGCGGCTGGCGGAAAGAACCTAAATGTACAGCCGCTGGCGAAGGACTTGAAGGAAGGATAGATCATCACCTTATGCGGTTTCATCCCTAGATGTGGACTCGGACCAGACAGACGGAAGCCTTCGCGAAGGTCATATCGTCGTTCCCCGGACCGGACGCAGAGGAAGCTTCGCTGCGAAGGCATGCTAAGGACACCTGAATCCAGATCATCATCATCTAGAAGGACATCGAGGGACTATACAAGAGCTTCAAGCGAAACTATCAACGCTCCCCTCACAAGTCTCCGAAGATCAACCCATAGACAAGTTGATCATCGATATCAAGTATAAGAACTACAATCGTATATTGGTTCTGTTGAATCCATGACGAGATCGTATGTTCGCTGGCCTAAATAGATCTAGAACGATCAATTAGACACTTATCACCAGACTTCGTAACACGACTTCTGAATATGATAAGATGATCCATGCGGCCATACTTAGGCAAGCCGCCCCGATCCCACATCCTGTTAAACACAGAGGCTGTTCACGAAACAAAGCTCATATATATATTTATATATATATATATATATATACTAATCGGGCTTTGACTCCTCGACACCTTCGCGATGGTCGCGAAGGCTAAGTGGCTCCAAGTCTACTTCACCCAGAAGATCTAGAAGGGATACTTCGAGAACTTCGCGAGAGTCTCCGCGTTCACCGAGGAAGTCTCCTCCAAGGTTTCCATATACTCAGCCACTTTCGTCATATATAGCTACTTTCGTCAGTCCGTTCAAGACGTCGCATAAGTTGATTATCAACTGTATGCCAGATGCCGCCTATAAGCCTCCACTTGAAGATAATTGCTCAGGCTATTTACAACACAGAACGCCGCTGTATTATTAGTCAACGACATTTCATAGATCTTCACAGAAATCAACTATTCCGTGATAAATTGCTAATATACAATCCCGGACGACGATCACGATTATCTACATGCGTGACCATTACGCATATCTGCAGACAATTCAATATCGAAATTGAACAGCAGCCTTGTTACAGCGAAGTATAACTCTTAATCGTCAAAGTTTCTGAGAAGAAATATGTACAACAAGTTCAACGTTAATTCTACAATTATGACGATACATTCATGTATACAGTCTACAAGCTCACAACTTGCAAGTTGTTTATACCCTTATATATAAGGAAGTCGGAATTATATTCAAAACTGAAATTACTTTCACGACAACCAGGAAAATAACCTACCAGCATAAAATTACAGAGCTGAGATATTTACCGGAGGTTTCAGCGGTTACCATTAACCCTCGAAACACGTGGTCACTCGGATAACTTCGGGAAGCTACGGTGAAGACCGACGCTTATGCTAATATCAACGCATTTACAAGAATTTATTCAAGGTGGGTTTTTCCGCTACACCGGGTGACATCACAGCCGGGTATTATACAGAATCAAAATGCCTTGTTCTGATTGGACCGCTGAGGGACAACGACCTACACAGAGGTCGATCTCTATTCACAGTTCAAGACTTACGCCACAAGTGACAACTATATATCAGTGAACGAGCAAGCCTCATTACAGTCCAGTTAACCTGAACATTCATGATTAGACTGCCTTTCTTCAAGATAGAGACCTCCCTGTCAAGTTAAGACGAGGGATCGGCAGTCAGGCGATTTTACATAAAGCTCAACGAGGACAGACACACCTGGTTGTGCACCTACATCGCCAAGGACTTCGCAGAGCTAATTACCTAGACGAAAAGATACAAGTGGATCTAAATCCACAGCGTTTTCAGACTACAGCTGAATTTCATCGTTTAACTAACACAACTAGATGGTTAGTAAACCTACTAAACTTCTGTTTGGAGAATAAACGGAAATTTCACGCCCAACCTGGGGATATGAATATAGTGCTCCAACACCTCACAAGTGAGGTTTATGAACACGCCTGGATGACATACTTGGACCCCATGATACGATGATTCTATCAAGATGGCCAGCAAGAGCACTGTAAATTTATCTCCACCAAACCAAACAGGAGTAAAAAATGCAACAGATTATTTCCTCTATCATCAACTTACGAGAGAAGTCTCATGTACTATATCTCCATTTGGATCAGAACTGTCATACTACGTGCATATCGCGGATGGACCTATTCCGACCCTCCATGAGCTTAATACTCATGATATTATAGCTTAACTTCTACAATTGTTCCACACAAATGTGATTGAAATATTGGAGGGTTTATTTCTGGAGATCCGATATGGTGGTTGCAAACCATTATCTGAGAGATATCACCACCGAGGACGCCTCAGGTATACACCAACTGATCCCATGGTCCTCAGACAACAGCTGACAGTTCTCGGAGAAGATAAGTCAATCTAACAGATTTTTACTTATCTTATAACAATACTAAATAGCTTCATGCTATATATAATTTACTTAAGTTCCTTTTATCATCACAGTACTATGATTATTACATCATACAATATATAAGTTAACAACTCTACAGAGTTTGTTATTATATATATTTACCTTAAGTTATTCATATCTTAAGAGTAATATTATGGTTACATGATAAATGCATCAGCTAACAAACTCTACAGAGTTTTTGGCTATTTTATACATAGCTTAAGTTAATTAAGCTAACAAACTCTCACGGAGTTTTACTATTATATAGGTAACTTAAGCTAATTATACCTTAAGCATAGTACTATACTCATATTATTAAAATATATTGGCTAACAAACTCTAAGGAGTTTTGCTATTATATAGGTAGCTTAAGCTTATTCATATCTTAAGCTTAGTACTATGTTTATATCATATAAGTAGATTAGCTAACAAACTCTAAAGAGTTTTTGCTATTTGGCTTAAGTATCATCATATTTCTAAGCAATATGGTTATATTATAACATGTATTAGCTAACAAACTCTACAGAGTTTTAGCTATTATATATGTAACTTAAGCTTATTCATATCTTAAGCTAGTACTATGTTTATATCATATAGGTATATTAGCTATCAAAACTCTAAAAGAGGGTTTTGCTATTATATATTTAAGCTTAAGTTTCATCATATTTTAAGCTTTATAGTTACATTATAACATGTATTAGCTAACAAACTCTAATGGAGTTCTTGCTATTATATATGTAGCTTAAGTTTTCCTTCATAAGCTCAATACTAGGTTTATATCATAGCCAACAAACTCTAAAGGGTTGTTTTCTTATTATACAATTAGCTTAAGTTTTCATCATATCTTAAGCAGTATGGTTACATTATAAAGCAGATAGCTAACAAAACCTCGACGGAGTTTTGTTATTATATATATATAGCTTAAGTTTCATCATAACTTAAGCTCAGTACTATAAGCTTAGTACTATGGTTACACTATAAACATATTAGCTAATAAACTCTACAGAGTTTTTGGCTATTATATATGTAGCTTAAGTTAATAATATCTTAAGCACAATACTATACTCATATTGTAAAATATATTAGCTAACAAACTCTCTAACGGAGTTCTGCTATTATATATGTAGCTTAAGTTCATTATATCTTAAGCACACTACTATACTCATATTGTAAAATATATTAGCTAACAAACTCTCTACGGAGTTTTGCTATTATATATGTAGCTTAAGTTAATTATATCTTAAGCACACTACTATACTCATATTGTAAAAATATATTAGCTAACAAAACCCTACAGAGTTTTGTTATATATATGTAGCTTAAGTTAATTATATCTTAAGCTCAGTACTATACTAATATTATAAATATATATTAGCTAACAAACTCTACAGAGTTTGGCTATTATATATGTAGCTTAAGTTAATTATAGCTTAAGCACAGTACTATACTCATATTATAAAAATATATTAGCTAACAAACTCTACAGAGTTTGGCTATTATATATGTAGCTTAAGTTAATTATAGCTTAAGCACAGTACTATACTCATATTATAAAAAATATATTAGCTAACAAACTCTACAGAGTTTTTGCTATTATATATGTAGCTAAAGCTTATTCATATCTTAAGCTCAGCATTATATCTATATCATATAAGTATATTAACTAACAAACTCTAAAGAGTTTGCTATTATATAATTAGCTTAAGTTTAATCATATCTTAAGCTTAGTACTATGTTATATCTTAAAGTATGTTAGCTAACAAACTCTAAGGAGTTTATACTAGCATATTAACAAGCTTAAGTCTATTAGTCTTAAGCATTGTATTAATGTTATATATACTTTATCATAATAAGTACATGGTAATAACCTTTATATGGCAGCTGATAAGTTAGCAGCAGGAATTCATCAATTCAGTGCCTTTATGAAGTTCCCATAGGGTTATTACAATCATCACAGTTCAAATCACTAATTATTAAAAATCCAAAGTATTAGATATTCCCACCTCCGTTCCGTAGGATGCTACAAGCAAAAAGAGCATGAGTCAGGATAAGGAAAAATATGTAATTTTTGGAGTAAAATTGATATTTTATACTTATCCTGACTCATGAGGTCAGCCCTCCCATCCTCCCCAAATAACACTTTGGATTTCCCTGTAAATTCAAATGTTGGGCTCAGTATATGAGGAGAGAGTGAGGCACATGGGTAGAGGTGGCGCCCTCGTTCCCGAGCTTGTGGAAAGGAGGTAACTCGTGGTGAATACTAATTAGTGATTTTAAATTGAAGGGAGCTTCAATTAGGGAGATACAAGTGTTCCACTATGTTCGCAAGAAGAAGAAGACAAGCAAAAAGAGCATGAGTCAGGATAAGTATAAAATATCAATTTTACTCCAAAAATTACATTTCTATGTAATGGTGCAAATTACTGAATGACAAAAATATATATGTAAATTAAAAAAATTACAAAATACAAAATACACGAAACATAACACCTCAGCAGCCCGTAATACAAATAAATATGAGCGGAATAGTGAAAAAAGAAAAATATTTCAAACTGGTGCTTGCAAAATATTGCGCATCCGCCGGTATACAACTACTGGAAACTCTCAACATCGTTGGGCTTATGCAATGACATAGCTCGTAGAGATGAAACACCAGTGAGCGGAGCTTATACGCACTCGCTGAGCCAGACAACCGTGTTGCCATGCAGGCGTCATAGGGGATTGTATCGAGAACGTCCTTTCGAACAAAATCATCACATTACGTAAAAGGGTATTATGATGTATTTTTAAAGTTTGTGATGCTGTATTCTAAAGGTAGGCCTGTTTCTTAGTTTGTCATTCCTCATGGGGTTCACCAAACCATAAATGACACACTATTGGGCGGTGGGGTAGCCCAGTGGTTAAACTGTTTGCTCATCACGCTGGAGACCCGGTTCGATTCCCTAACATTAGCGTAAATCTAATCTCACTCACTCACTAATCCATAACTGGAATTCTAAACATCTTTACTCTCAAATCATTCACCATATTCACTTACTTCAGTTAGCCAATGTGCAATACCTATAAGCCCCAACTTACATTGTGCCATCATTTTCAACAGATGCTAGTATTACCATATTCACCTAAGCTGATCTTACAAGGATGAATGATGAATATGATGTTACTAGGATCATTATCTATGTTTGGCTGCCTTGCTAAAAATTACCATATGTGTGACAACAACATTCAACCAGTCTGGAGGTCCAGGGTCTCAATCCACAAAGCACTCATAACGTTATGACCTGTCGTAACTCGCCAGTTTACCTTAAGCTTACGTATGTCATATCGCTACGAACTCTTTGTGGATCGGAACCCAGACCTCCAAATGTTTCAGTGCTTACTTGATTCTTTTTTGCAGAAACAGAATTCTGGTGTTTCCATGGTGATGGGAGGAACTCAGATGATTGGTTAAAGACAGTGGTCCAGTTGTTTAACCTGTTGCTTGATCTGGTTGACGAACGAGCCACTGCAACACATGGAAAGACTTTGGTCGCTGCTTTCTTGAAAGTAAGTAGGTCAGAGTGTTAACTCATGTATATTTGTGAACTATATTAAATAATCTCACTTATAGCTGACCAGGGGCGATGGGGTAGCCTAGTGGTTAAAGTGTTTGTTTGTCACGCTGAAGACCCGGGTTTGATTCCCCACATGGGCACTATGTGTGAAGCCCATTTCTGGTGTCCCCCGCCGTGATATTGCTGGAATATTGCTAAAAGCAGTGTAAAACTCACTCACAGCCTGGTAAAGACATATCAGGGCCACTATAAACCCCTTTATAAGGTGAGAAAACAGTATATAGGACTTTTTTCAAAAATATTGTGTACCATGGAATTTTATGAACGAGAATGAATTATTTTGGTCTTAATCAGATGATTGTAAGGAACAGATGTAGTGTAATATAAGGAATATGAGCCCTGAACATTATTACATTGATGAGGTCGCAGTACCCCATGCGTGCTTTAAGAAACAGACTCAATGCTTTACTCCATTCAAATAGTGGCCATGGGGCGGTGCCAATTTACACTTATTAGGTTGGTACACAAAGTCCGCAATCTACACTACCAGTTGTCCGACTTCCATTTTTGTGGAAGCCGCGGTGGATGAGCGGGTTAGGTGAATGACTTTGTGTGCTGGCGATTAGGTGCCTGACTCTGAGGGTGTGGGTTTAAAGCCTGGATAGAACTCAACCCAACAAAAGTACAAGAATCTGTACTTTACTGAGAAAGTGTAATCCCAAATATAAACATATGTTACATGATGAAAGTAGGATGGATCGAGTGCTTGACCTGGAGGGTTATGCTTGTGGCCTAACAATGTGGATTGTTGCATGATGTTGCACCTGGAGGGTTATGCTTGTGGCCTAACAATGTGGATTGTTGCATGATGTTGCACCTGGAGGGTTATAATTGTGGCCTAACAGTGTGGATTGTTGCATGATGTTGCACCTGGAGGGTTATAATTGTGGCCTTACAGTGTGGATTGTTGCATGATGTTGCACCTGGAGGGTTATGCTTGTGGCCTAACAATGTGGATTGTTGCATGATGTTGCACCTGGAGGGTTATAATTGTGGCCTAACAGTGTGGATTGTTGCATGATGTTGCACCTGGAGGGTTATAATTGTGGCCTTACAGTGTGGATTGTTGCATGATGTTGCACCTGGAGGGTTATAATTGTGGCCTAACAGTGTGGATTGTTGCATGATGTTGCACCTGGAGGGTTATAATTGTGGCCTAACAGTGTGGATTGTTGCATGATGTTGCACCTGGAGGGTTATAATTGTGGCCTAACAGTGTGGATTGTTGTACGATGTTGCACCTGGAGGGTTATAATTCCAGGCTTAAAAGCGTGGATTGTTGCATGATGTTGCGCCTGGAGGGTTATGCTTGTGGCCCAACAGTGTGGATTGCTGCATGATGTTGTTTCCGGAGGGTTATCATGATGTTGCACCTGAAGGTTATAATTGTGGCCTAACAGTGGATTGTTGCATGATGTTGCACCTGGAGGGTTATAATTGTGGCCTAACAGTGTGGATTGTTGCATGATGTTGCACCTGGAGGGTTATAATTGTGGCCTAACAGTGTGGATTGTTGCATGATGTTGCACCTGGAGGGTTATAATTGTGGCCTAACAGTGTGGATTGTTGCATGATGTTGCACCTGGAGGGTTATAATTGTGGCCTAACAGTGTGGATTGTTGCATGATGTTGCACCTGGAGGGTTATAATTGTGGCCTAACAGTGTGGATTGTTGCATGATGTTGCACCTGGAGGGTTATAATTGTGGCCTAACAGTGTGGATTGTTGCATGATGTTGCACCTGGAGGGTTATAATTGTGGCCTAACAGTGTGGATTGTTGCATGATGTTGCACCTGGAGGGTTATAATTGTGGCCTAACAGTGTGGATTGTTGCATGATGTTGCACCTGGAGGGTTATAATTGTGGCCTAACAGTGTGGATTTGTATGATGCATGGAGGGTTATGTTGTGCAACAGTGTGGATTGTTGTATGATGTTGCACCTGGAGGGTTATAATTGTGGCCTAACAGTGTGGATTGTTGCATGATGTTGCACCTGGAGTGGTTATGCTTGTGGCCCAACAGTGAGGATTGTTGCATGATGTTGCACCTGGAGGGTTATAATTGTGGCCTAACAGTGTGGATTGTTGCATGATGTTGCACCTGGAGGGTTATGCTTGTGGCCTAACAGTGTGGATTGTTGCATGATGTTGCACCTGGAGGGTTATAATTGTGGCCTAACAGTGTGGATTGTTGCATGATGTTGCACCTGGAGGGTTATAATTGTGGCCTAACAGTGTGGATTGTTGCATGATGTTGCACCTGGAGGGTTATAATTGTGGCCTAACAGTGTGGATTGTTGCATGATGTTGCACCTGGAGGGTTATAATTGTGGCCTAACAGTGTGGATTGTTGCATGATGTTGCACCTGGAGGGTTATAATTGTGGCCTAACAGTGTGGATTGTTGCATGATGTTGCACCTGGAGGGTTATGCTTGTGGCCTAACAACAGATGTTGGATTGTTGTGGCCTAACAGTGTGGATTGTTGCATGATGTTGCACCTGGAGGGTTATAATTGTGGCCTAACAGTGTGGATTGTTGCATGATGTTGCACCTGGAGGGTTATAATTGTGGCCTAACAGTGTGGATTGTTGCATGATGTTGCACCTGGAGGGTTATAATTGTGGCCTAACAGTGTGGATTGTTGCATGATGTTACCTGGAGGTTATAATTGTGGCCTAACAGTGTGGATTGTTGCATGATGTTGCACCTGGAGGGTTATAATTGTGGCCTAACAGTGTGGATTGTTGCATGATGTTGCACCTGGAGGGTTATAATTGTGGCCTAACAGTGTGGATTGTTGCATGATGTTGCACCTGGAGGGTTATAATTGTGGCCTAACAGTGTGGATTGTTGCATGATGTTGCACCTGGAGGGTTATAATTGTGGCCTAACAGTGTGGATTGTTGCATGATGTTGCACCTGGAGGGTTATAATTGTGGCCTAACAGTGTGGATTGTTGCATGATGTTGCACCTGGAGGGTTATAATTGTGGCCTAACAGTGTGGATTGTTGCATGATGTTGCACCTGGAGGGTTATAATTGTGGCCTAACAGTGTGGATTGTTGCATGATGTTGCACCTGAGGGTTATAATTGTGGCCTAACAGTGTGGATTGTTGTACGATGTTGCACCTGAGGGTTATAATTGTGGCCTAACAGTGTGGATTGTTGCATGATGTTGCACCTGGAGGGTTATAATTGTGGCCCAACAGTGTGGATTGTTGCATGATGTTGCACCTGGAGGGTGGATTGTTGCATGATGTTGCACCTGGAGGGTTATAATTGTGGCCTAACAGTGTGGATTGTTGCATGATGTTGCACCTGGAGGGTTATAATTGTGGCCTAACAGTGTGGATTGTTGCATGATGTTGCACCTGGAGGGTTATAATTGTGGCCTAACAGTGTGGATTGTTGCATGATGTTGCACCTGGAGGGTTATAATTGTGGCCTAACAGTGTGGATTGTTGCATGATGTTGCACCTGGAGGGTTATAATTGTGGCCCTAACAGTGTGGATTGTTGCATGATGTTGCACCTGGAGGTTATAATTGTGGCCTAACAGTGTGGATTGTTGCATGATGTTGCACCTGGAGGGTTATAATTGTAGCCTAACAGTGTGGATTGTTGCCTATGTTGGCCTGGAGGGTTATAATTGTGGCTAACAGTGTGGATTGTTGCATGATGTTGCACCTGCATGATGTTGCACCTGGAGGTTATAATTGTGGCCTAACAGTGTGGATTGTTGCATGATGTTGCACCTGGAGGGTTATAATTGTGGCCTAACAGTGTGGATTGTTGCATGATGTTGCACCTGGAGGGTTATAATTGTGGCTAACAGAGTGGATTGTTGTACATGATGTTGCAATCGGAGATTGTTGCATGATGTTGCACCTGGAGGGTTATAATTGTGGCCTAACAGTGTGGATTGTTGCATGATGTTGCACCTGGAGGGTTATAATTGTGGCCTAACAGTGTGGATTGTTGCATGATGTTGCACCTGGAGGGTTATAATTGTGGCCTAACAGTGTGGATTGTTGCATGATGTTGCACCTGGAGGGTTATAATTGTGGCCTAACAGTGTGGATTGTTGCATGATGTTGCACCTGGAGGGTTATAATTGTGGCCTAACAGTGTGGATTGTTGCATGATGTTGCACCTGTTATAAGGTTATAATTGTGGCCTAACAGTGTGGATTGTTGCATGATGTTGCACCTGGAGGGTTATAATTGTGGCCTAACAGTGTGGATTGTTGCATGATGTTGCACCTGGAGGGTTATAATTGTGGCCTAACAGTGTGGATTGTTGCATGATGTTGCACCTGGAGGGTTATGCTTGTGGCCTAACAATGTGGATTGTTGCATGATGTTGCACCTGGAGGGTTATAATTGTGGCCTAACAGTGTGGATTGTTGCATGATGTTGCACCTGGAGGGTTATAATTGTGGCCTAACAGTGTGGATTGTTGCATGATGTTGCACCTGGAGGGTTATAATTGTGGCCTAACAGTGTGGATTGTTGCTTGTCCTGTACTGCATTGTCTGTGCCACTATTTGAATGGAGTAAAGCACAGTTAAGAAATTGTTTCTATTAAGTCTAGCTTTGCTGTTTTCTGTCCATCCTTTTGAGAAGAAGAGTCAATACTAACCCTCTTCCTCTGCAGACTGTTTTTCCTGACAAGCTGCAGCTGTTGAAGCTGTTCTGTCTGCTGTGGACCCAACATGCCAACCCACACAGCGCTGACCTTGACCTGTCGGAGCCCCTCCAGGCCCGGGCTCTGTGTCTCGGCTTCATGCAGATGCAGGCCCTAGAGGAGAAGACGGCTGTGCACATCCTCAACAGACCAGGCCCAGGTAAGGTGGTTCGACCCTGTGTGGATTCTTGGTTAGAATGGTCCCCAATTGTGCAGATCAATGCTCATACTGTTAATCACTGGATTGTCTGGTCCAGACTTGATTACAGACCGCAACCATATAGCTGGAATATTGCTGAGTGCAATGTAAAACTAAACTCACTGGGTTAGACTCGATCTGAAGCATGCCATGCTTGTTGTAAGAGGCAACTAATGAGATCAGATGGTCACTGACCTGGTTGACACATGTCATCAACAGACCAGGCCCAGGTAAGGTGGTTCGACCCTGTGTGGATTCTTGGTTAGAATGGTCCCCAATTGTGCAGATCGATGCTCATGATGTTGGTCACTGGATTGTCTGCTCCAGACTCGATTATTTACTGATCGGAAATATAGCTGGAAACATACATGACACTTGAGATGAAGACAAATAACTACTATGTTGCCAATTTGAGCTGAAGATATTCTATATGCCTCTCAAAGAAGTTATCTGAAGATAGCAATCAAGAATTATCATCTGTATATCTAAGTATTTACTAATTACTCACCTTTCTGTGTTCCCAGTGCTGTGCAGCCTGCTGGTGGTGTTCTCAAGCCCCCATGATCGTCTGAGGGAGCTGGGTCTACACTGTCTCGGCACACTCTACAAGCAGTGCGGCACAAACACCGCCCTGTACAAGCCGCTGGTGGAGACCATCATACTGAGTCAGGAGGAGCTGTCCAGTGATCCGACCCACATGGCACAGGTCAGTTTCAGTCCTTGTGTAAAACTGTTTTCTCTTACACAAGGAACAGTTTAAAACTCAGAGGTCTGCTGAACATTTCAATACCTTGAAGGAAGTCATTGAGCTGTACCCAAAGACTGGCAGACCTAAAGCCATGTATAATGAAAATATTGTGCTGGAGGAAGTCATTGAGCTGTACCCAAAGACTGGCAGATCTAAAGCCATGTATAATGAAAATATTGTGCTGGAGGAAGTCATTGAGCTGTACCCAAAGACTGGCAGACCTAAAGCCATGTATAATGAAAATATTGTGCTGGAGGAAGTCATTGAGCTGTACCCAAAGACTGGCAGACCTAAAGCCATGTATAATGAAAATATTGTGCTGGAGGAAGTCATTGAGCTGTACCCAAAGACTGGCAGACCTAAAGCCATGTATAATGAAAATATTGTGCTGAAGGAAGTCATTGAGCTGTACCCAAAGACTGGCAGACCTAAAGCCATGTATAATGAAAATATTGTGCTGAAGGAAGTCATTGAGCTGTACCCAAAGACTGGCAGACCTAAAGCCATGTATAATGAAAATATTGTGCTGAAGGAAGTCATTGAGCTGTACCCAAAGACTGGCAGACCTAAAGCCATGTATAGGGGCGGTGGGGTAGCCTAATGGTTAAAGCGTCGGCTCGTCACGCCGAAGACCCGGGTTCGAATCCCCACATGGGCAAAATGTGTGAAGCCCATTTCTGGTGTCCCCAGCCGTGATGTTGCTGGAATATTGCTAAAAGCAGCGTAAAACCAAACTCAGTCAGTCAGTAAAGCCATGTATGATGAAAATATTGTGCTGGAGGAAGTCATTGAGCAATTGGAAGACCTAGAGTAAAAAACTGTCATGATCCAATGTCCTTTCTGCAAAGGACACAAGTGTTATGACTGCTGAGCTGGGGAAGACATGTTAAATGTGGTTCCTGATGATAGGGCAACTGATACATTGCTGAAGGAAAACCAAGTTCTATGGATAGTCAACTTCTTTATTGCATTGAGGGTGACGTTTCGGTGTAGGTAGTAACACCGTTATCAAGCAAGTGATACATTGCTCTTTGATCTTTAGTGGGGTAGCCAAGTGGTTAAAGTGTTCGCTTGTCATGCCAAAGACCCGGGTACAATGTGTGAAGCCCATTTCTGGGGTTCCCCGCCGTGATTTGGCAGGGATATTGCTAAAAGCAGCGTAAAGCCATACTTACTCACTCACTCGTTTATTTATAATGCTGTACATGGAGGGACTTAAGGAGTTTGATATCATGTGTCACCTCAGAGAAAGATTCTCCCAATTGCCTATGAATCTCTACTGCTTGTGTTTAGTTTGAAAACCTAGATAGGAATTGCTTGAACAATGGTGGTAGATCGGTGGATTCCTGCAAAGGCACTAGATTGACTGCCAAAATCTCTTTGGAGATATCATCACTTTGATTCTGTTTCAGGTGTTTGTTAACATGATCGAAAACACAGAGGCACAAGAAAAGAAGTCCTCTCCCAAGCAGAGACGCAGGAGGTCACGCTCTCATTCTTACGTATCAGGGGCTCTTGAAACCCTACTGGAGGTTCTGGTTACCACAACAACGCCCCTTTGGATTGTCAAACCACTTCTTGGAATCTTCCATTCCATCAACAGTGTGGTGAGTGCTTGTGTTTTGTGAGTAAAGAATGTATGCAAGGGTTTTTCGAATTATTAACGCTTCAGAAAGACCTTGACACATACTAGAAGCATCTTCGTGTGGGGATATTTGGGCAAAATAGGTTTCCATGTTGTAAGAGCCAGCTGTAAAAAGGTTGGAGTAGTCTCAGTGTTTAACCTGTTACCAATAAGGCTTTGGATGCTGCTCTCACTGTCAACCACTGGTTTGAAGAACAAATCGTCTAAAAATGTGTCGATACAGCGTCCTATCCTGGTGCAAGGCCCATTAGACTTAGAGGATTGTTCATTTAAAGTCATTTACGTATACTGGCAGTCTGCATTCTAGACATTTTTAAATGTTTGCCCATTACCTACTTAACTAATGTCAACTGAAAAATGTGTTGGGGTGTAGAAAATGTTATCTGCCATAATCAAATGAATATCAAATTGGCTTTCTAGGTAGATTGATGTTATGTCTTATATTGTCTAATATCTATTAACTACAATATACAATTTATATCTACCAGTTTGCCAAAATCACACTGTATGCTATCAAGGCTAATTAGTATTGATATTGTGGGAAATTTGAAATTTGAGAGAGCAAATACTGCACTATTGCCACAAACATTTGTGTTTATGTGGCTGATGAGAAATCCAAGTATAGGTTTTCATGTCAGTTCGTCACTTTGTCGTTCTGTTTCAGGAAAACATGACCCAGTTACTTCCCTTACTTGACCGTCTGCTCCAAGTTCCTGGGGACAAGTTTGGTAGCTTGGAGTTGGATTGTGTTGAGCTACTGCTGGAGAGGTACACCACGGAAACCATTGCCTGTGTCCAGGATGACAGTCTGCCTCTCAACATCCTCATCAAGGCCATAGAGTCCAAACTCTTCCCAGTTCAGTCCCGTCGATCTGTTGCAGAGATTGCCATTGATCAGGTTTGTTATGCCATTTTAATTGGATTGAATACATTTGGCTTGAGTTTTCCTCCACATATGACAGGTTTTGATATATATTATAGTGGTTCTGACATTCTAGTCATTGGTAGCAGGCAAAGTGATATTGGGTTTCAGGAACTAATGATGTTTTGAAAAATGGTTCTTTGCATTGAGCATTGAAGGGATAAAAGAAGGACTTGTTGGTATTGTGTCAGTACATTGTGTCTGAGAGAGGTATTCATGGGCATTTTTTCTGAGTGGGCAGACTTTAAAACAGACAGACAGATGCACACACATCCCTATATAAGTGAAATATTCATGAATGTGTGTTAAACCCCATTTTACACCACTGTATAATCAATGTCTTATTTAGTTGAGAGATGTGAGCTTATGATGTGAATGACAGAGAATATATAATGTAATCCCTCCCTTATCCAGATTAGTCGTGAAGTGTACGATGGCCTGCCCACAAAATCAGTACAACAGGCCATCCTCAGCAGCCTCTTCACCGCCTGGCTCAACACTGCCAACATCAACGTGTCCAACAGCGTGCGCAAGACTGTCAAGAAAACTGTATGTTTAGTCAGATTAAAGATGTGTTTTCTTTCTTACAGTGAGAATATACCTGAAATATTTCATCTTTTTGTCAGTTCTAATAGTTTGGATACAGTTGGCCCAGTCCTCCAAAGCCTTCAGTTCCCTTACAGAGTTATGTCCCTAAGGCAAGGCAGAAACGTGTGATCAAAGGTTTGAATCAACGTTTCATGCTGATTTCTGCTGTTACCCTTGAAGCACTATACATAATTATGCTCCTGGGTTTCAGTAAAGTAATAAGCATTAAAAACCTGCCTTACACAAGTAGTGTTTAAACTATTGTTGAACTAAGGGACTGTTCATAAGTTATGGCTAGGGGGGTGATGATGATTTTTATGGAGAAGCATGTACAGTGTGAATGGAACACCCCCCCCCCCAAATAAAAAAATTATTTATGTACAAAATCAATGACCCCACTCCCCTTCCCATATTTTAAAGTACAATTGCTGACCCCCCTAGCTCCCCAGAACAAAATGGGTGACTCCCCCCCTTAAAATCATCATCATCATCATCATCATCATCATGCTTCCTGCTCATTTAGTGTTGTCAAAGTTGGCTAGATCTTTTCCTGTTCACAGCTGCATCTTCAAGCAGAACACATCATATCTGAACTGAGACCAGTTCTCCAGATTTCAACTGTTCGCAAAGTCCGAGAAGCTAAACGACAGAAAAGGTAATGTCTCATGAACTGTTGTACCCAATGTCTTCAAATTTGATGACAGCCTACCTTAAGGGATTATGCAGACACGAGTAGATTTGGGTGACCTTGACCTTATTTTCAAGGTCACCATGACACTTTGAACACTTTTCAAACTCTGGTTATGCGACATCTCATGGACTGTTGTACCCAATGTCTTGGAATTTGGTGGCAGCCTACTTTGGGGGATAACACAGACACCAGTTTATTTTGGTGACCTTGTCTTCAAGGTCACCATGACACTTTGCACACTTTTAACTCTTGTTAAAGCAATATCTCTTGGACTGTTGTACCCAATGTCTTCCAATTTGGTGACAGTTTACATTGGGGTATTACGCAGACACCAGTTTATTTGGGAGACCTTGACCTTATCTTCACGGTCACCACGACACTTTGAACACTTTTCAAACTCTTCTTCACGTGACATCTCATGGACTGTCGTACCCAATGTCTTGAAATTTGGTGACAGCCTACATCTGGGGATTACGCAGACACCAGTTTATTTTGGTGACCTTGACCTTGACCTTGTCTTCATAGTCACCATGACACTTTGCAAGCTTTTAACTCTTGTTAAGTGCAATATCTCATGGACTGTTGTACCCAATGTCTTCCAATTTGGTGACAGTTTACATTGGGGTATTACGCAGACACCAGTTTATTTGGGTGACCTTGCCCTTATCTTCACGGTCACCACGACACTTTGAACACTTTTCAAACTCTTGTTATGCGACATCTCATGGACTGTTGTACCAAATGTCTTGGAATTTGGTGACAGTTTACATCGGGGTATTACGCAGACACCAGTTTATTTTGATGACCTTGACCTTATCTTCAAGGTCACCACAACACTTTGACTGCTTTTCAAACTTATTTAAACACGATATCTCATAAAACATTGCACCCAATGTTTTCAAGTATGTTGACAGCCTACATTGGGGTGATTATGCAGACACCAGTCATTTCAGGCATCTTGTATGTGACCCAAAATAAAAAGTAGTAAATATAGATATTCCATTCTTTAGCGGCGGGGGACATTGCCATATCAGTGGCAAACACTTGTCTTCCTTCCTTCCTTACTTACTTCCTTCACACATACATCTGTCCTTCCTTTCCCAGTCCCTCCCGGAGATCAGAAGGTTGCAGGTTCGATCCCTGGCTGCATCATACCAAAAGACGTTAAAATATGGTACTTGTTGGTCCCTGCCTGACACTCGGCAATAATGGGTACAACAAGGACTGGTCGGCACGGAGTCAGTATAATGTGTCTGAGTGCTTAACTACGGCATGGTATCTCAGTGAGCTAGCACTATAAAACCAGCTTAAGTCTGGGCTAGTACAAGCAGCCACACATACAAGCACATACACGTCATTATATGACCAAAATATTATTAAGTACGACATTAAACCCCATTTCACCTCACCTCACCCAGTCCCTCCCTGCTCACCCTTCTTTATGCACTCACACTCTCCTTTGAACTCTGACCCACTCATTCGCTCATTTACATGACTGGTGACTTTAGGCTTCCAGAGGAGGAGAGCAGCACGGACGCAGTGTTTGACCGTCCTGAGTGGCAGCGTGTTGTCATCATCCTGGAGGCTGTGCAGGACAAGAAGAAGCTGGACAACAGAGCCCAACTCATCCCCGTCTGCTTCCAAGTCCTGGCCAAGTAAGTAAGGGACCAGTCAGTAATTATAAATGACATGGCAGGATCATGGGGTAGACGCCATAAGTTTCTACTAAAATCTGGGATCTGCATGTATGTCTCCAAATGAGTTTCAGGGGCAGTGAAGTGTCTGGTACCTAGGGCACATTACAGGTATCCTTTACATCAGAATTTCACCCCTGGCTCTTAAGTAGGTCACAAGAGGGCTTCACAAACACCACTGGTTCATAGTCCCTTAAATAGGACAACAAGGGGCGTCCAGAGCAGATCTGGTCCCCGGAACCTTAAATAGGACAACAAGGGAGTGGTATGGGGGATCGGTTATGGTTGGGAACAGAATAATGCCCCAGTACAAATGCTTTACAGTATATGCAGACGTAAATAGCTTCTTCCTTCCTTGCCAGAGCACTTGACCTGGAGGACCACAACAGTGCGGAGTACATCAAGCAGTTACTGCTGACCACCATCTACAACCTCTGTAACAGATTTAACACTGACCAAGATGGAGGTAACCCGAAACACCTGCAGCCTACACTCTCACACACCTGTAGTCTATACTAACACACCTGCAGTCTACACTCTCACACACCTGCAGTCTACACTCTCACACACCTGCTGTCTACACTCTCACACACCTGTAGTCTACACTCTCACACACCTGTAGTCTATACTAACACACCTGCAGTCTACACTCTCACACACCTGCAGTCTATACTCTCAAACACCTGTAGTCTACACTCTCACACACCTGCAGTCTACACTCTCACACACCTGTAGTCTACACTAACACACCTGTAGTCTACACTCTCACACACCTGTAGTCTACACTCTCACACCTGTAGTCTACACTCTCACACACCTGCAGTCTACACTCTCTCACACACCTGTAGTCTACACTCTCACACACCTGCAGTCTACACTCACACACCTGCAGCCTACACTCTCACACACCTGCAGTCTACACTCACACACCTTTCTACACACTCACACACCTGCAGACTACACTCTGACACACCTGCTGTCTACGCTCTCACACACCTGCAGTCTACACACACACACACACTCTCACACACACCTGCAGTCTACACTCACAAACCACACACCTGCTGTCTACACTCACACACACCTACAGTCTACTCTCACACACCTGTAGTCTATACTCTCACACACCTGCAGTCTACACTCGGACACACCTGTCTACACTCTCACACACCTGCAGTCTACACTCTCACACACCTGAAGTCTATACATTCACTCCTGCTTACACATATTACTGTCTATACCCTCACAAACCAACAGTTTATTCTCCCACAAACCTGCAGTCTAAACATTCATATATTAAAGAACCTTATGACTCTTTGAATAACAGCTTCAAAGATTATTGACCATACTCAAATCTATTTTGAAATACTACCGAATTCTTAGTATTTTCAAAATATAAATGTTCATTAGTCATACATCTCACACTGGAAAGATAAATTTGTTTTGCAAGCACAGTTGTATGATCTGTATAAGAGTGGAGAAAGTGCTGTTGATGACGATGCACCTGCTGTATTGACCATTGTTCTGATGCAGGATCCATCCCCGAGGAACACTTCAGTATGGAGCTGATCGTCCAGTGTATCCGGACATCGGACAACCCACAGACTCACCACCAAGCCCTGCTAGTGCTGACTGTGTCGGCCAAGATTTGCCCAGTATGTCGCACACTCTCTACATTAAACCTCTTTAATGTAACACGCTTGTATTATGGTCAGAACAATATCTTTCAAAGGGTGTGGATCAGATTTCTCTCTTGAGTGTTGTAGGTCCAACGACCTGTCGTGTCACCATTTGGTGAACTGAATGTCCAGGTTTTCTTCAGTGAGAAATTACTGTGTACAGTATTAGGGGTACAATTTTAGTGGAGTTCACATTCAGATACTGAACTGATTAGATGGCAGCAATAAGTGAAATGAGAAGTATTTGATTTGTTTATTTGTTACATGATGAGAGGCAGCTGAGGATGTTCTTGCATTTATTTACATGTATTAGATGATAGAAGATGATCATGAAAATCTTGAGATATTCAGTGGCTACAAGTATGTTGTAGAAGCATATAAATGCCATGTTTGTTTGTTGGGGCACCTTTTGCAGTCACACATGTATGATATTTTCCATCTGTCTGTCTGTCTGTCTGTAGGAGCATCTACTGCACAACATCATGACAGTGTTCACCTTCATGGGCGCCAACATCCTGCGCCAAGACGACAGCTACAGCTTCCACGTCATCAGCAAGATCCTGGAGAATGTCATCCCTGCACTTATCAGTGTGAGTCACTGCTTTCATGCTGGTTTTTGATACCTGTCAATATCAATCAGTTGATTGTCTGAACCAGACTCAATTATTTACAATACCCGTGAAGGTCCGGGTTACAATATTGATCTTCAGTAACTCATGCTTGTCGTAAGAGGCGACTAACGATCGGGTGTTCAGGCTCGCTGACTTGGTTGACACATGTCATCGCATCCCAATTGCTCTGATCGATGCTCATGCTGTTGATCACTGGATTGTCTGGTCCAGACTCGATTATTTACAGACCGCCGCCATATAGCTGGAATATTGCTGAGAGCGGCGTAAAACTAAACTCACTCGCTCAATTATTTACAAGCCACATTCCTATAGCATTACAGCTAACTCACGTATTTCTGTTTTGCTATAATCATTCTGCGGAAACGCAGAATGGTTAAAGTGTTTGCTCTTAATGCCAGAGACCTGGGTTTGATTCCCCCCATGGGTACAATGTGTGAAGCCTGTTTCTGTTTAAAGTGGTGTGAAACCATACCCACTCACTAAATCACGCTCTTGCTTTTAAGCTGACTAACGGTAGGTTAAACTATTTTCATACAGACATGTGAAGAGAAATCCTCACCAAAGAAAACTAGTCTGACTAGCAAACCCGAGGAGGTCATCACCATGGTGATGCGAGTCTTCGTCGATGCCTACCCTTACATCCCACAACACAGGAAGTTGATGCTGTACACAAAGCTGGTGAGGATTGTGGGACAGAAGCAGTACCTGTGGCGATGTCTGCTGCTGTTCATTGAGCACGTGGTGACGAGGGAACGTATTGTCAGACCAGACGACTCCCATCTTGTTCTGGAGGAGAAGGTTTGTGTGATGCTTTTGATAACTGCAGTAAGAGAGCTGAGTGTTGAGGCACTATGCCATTATACAGAGAGGGCTTTATCTGGACCTGCTATCAGCTATAATCAGCCATTGGTCCATTAAGATTCCCAAATCATTTGATTTTAATGATTGTAATGAGTTAAATCCTAATTTGCCTGCGACTGCACTTAGTGTTGAATCCTGGGTATCTCTGGAAGTATCCCTAGACTATATCTGAGACCTTTTCTATAAAGGGATCTTAGCGCTAAGGTGATAGTAACTTCTATACATTAACAGAGGCTTACGGCCATCATAGCTGTAAGATCATTTTGTAGAACTGGGTGTACCCTGGGGCGTATCCCAGGGTGTATCCGTGGATGTATCCGTGGATGTATTCTGGGGCATATCCCAGGACATATCCCAGGGCGTATCCAAGGACGTATATCCTGGGGCATATCCCAAACATGCCTGGGGTTTTTAGATGATACATCATCTTATCATATTTCTTGTCTTACCAGATGTCTGGACCCATAGGACCCGCGGAACTGGAATTTATCCAGATTTTGTCGACATCCTTCTCCCCTGCAACCCAGCTCATGGCAGCCCGGGATGCTATTGTGTATATCTCCCAGCTTCCAGATGACAAAGATGGTATGTTACCTGGTTATCTGACAATAATAAAGGAAACATCTTTGTTACTGTTATGGTCTCAAGGTGTCCCAGTTGTCTGAGGAGAGTAACTCGCTAAACAGAGTTACATCCCTTAGGCATGCCAGGAACCAATGATCATGGATTGAAATCCCACAGGTTGTTCTTATAATGTTTCTAGATTTGACAGCAACATAGTTATGATGGTAAATACCTAGGACCTGTAATCTATTCACATCAAACTGACATGGGGTATAATTCAAAGCAGCACTTGCTTCCTCCCTCGTTTCACTCACTCACTCACTCACTCACTCACTCACTCACTCACTCACTCACTCACTCACTCACTCACTCACTCACTCACTCACTCACTCACTCACTCACTCACTCACTCACTCACTCACTCACACCACTCCTCACTCACTCACTCACTCACTCACTCACTCACACTCACTCACTCACTCACTCACTCACTCACTCACTCACTCACTCACTCACTCACTCACTCACTCACTCACTCACTCACTCACTCACTCACTCACTCACTCACTCACTCACTCACTCACTCATGTTTATGTTCAGACACAGTAATCAAAGCCAAGAGTGTCCCTCAGTCTCTGGGGGCCTTGAAGAAGGAGGACAGTGAGATCTTCAGTGTACAGTTCCACACTGCCAAACAGCTGCGGCACTTCAAGTATGCTGGCGTCCATCTGTTTGTCTCCCTTCTCTCTCATCAGCAGTTCGTGTCACAGGTAGGAGGATGCCAGAGGTGTCACTTTGTTAAAGAATAATAGCATGATCCTTTTTGGAAACACAAAGTTATTTGGAATAGCTACATTTGATTTGTCTTTTAAACAAATTATAGTTAACTCTTCTATGAAATAAGGGGCGAGGCAGTAGCCTTGTAGGTGAAGTGTTTGCTTATCAATGGATGATTTGGTTTCTGCCATTGCAAATTTCTATGGCTTCACATTAATCGATAAGTAAGATGTGTATGACATTGGTATTGTTTAGTTGTTGTTAGGGCTGGATATTACCCTGATTCTCATATTGCGATATATTGCAATAATATAAGAGATATTGTAATACATATTGTGATATATTGACTGGAAGGTGTCTGCCCAAGTGCGTGCATCATAAATTCATAATAGCTCTCTGTGTGGGACATCATCTTCTCAGTTGCTGTTACACCATACTTTCAGGCTCCCCGTCCCCATTGTGTATGGCTGGCTGTATGCCAATGGTTTACAGATAAATAAAATGATAAAGAGCCTTAATGTAGTATGTTTACTTGAAGTACTGCAACAAAGTTTTGCGAACATAATGATAAAAGTAATACTATAACATGATTTTCATGGTCACTGTTTGCCTCAACAGAATGCACTTCAATGCAGCATGTGATTATTGTTACTGTATGTCAGTGATTCATTCAGATTCAACTCCAATATAAACATGTGTTAACATGAACTGTTGTAAAATGAAACCAAAACATGATTTAGGTGAACTACTCGAGCTTACAATCTCATGTGACCTCCAATATCTAAGATCCTTGACTAGAATGTCATTATACAGTCCTACAAAATATAAAAGACTTAGACCTTTTTGATAAATTGAAAACATATGTCCCATTATGAAACAAACAACAACAACAAAATATTGTAAATAGTGAAATGTCACTCAAAACCAGAGGCTCTACTAATAAGTCCAAATAATAAATTGGTCCATTAGAGGCCACTTAATTCCTCTAAAATGTCACATATGAAACACAAAACATAAAGCATTTGGTAAAGGGAGCTAAGGACAGACCAATTTTATTTCTTGTTTTACGGATTTTTGTCCTCAGAACATCTAAAGGCAGGAGGGAAAAAAAATAAAAGTAAAATCACTGGTCAAAGTAAAATTCTAAGTACTCAAAGTATGTTACTTTTGGCAATTTATGAAGTGTATATGGGGCAAAACACAATCTAAAAACAAAATTTCTTGTATGTTTACATTTTGGCCAATGAAAACATTAGGATTTTATTTTTTGAGCGAGGAAAATTAATTAATTTTTTTTTCTTATTCTTGCAAAAATACGACAGGCGGATCTGTAAAACAAGAAATATAATTGGTCTGGCCTAACTCTCAATATATTTCAGAATCTCAACCATATCGCTATATACGTATCACAAGATATTGTACTGGTATCTACTGGTTTACCGGTAATATTGCACAGCCCTAGTTGTTGTAGCTGAGTTAGAGGTGTCTTTGTATTTGAAGGTTGCAGCCAAGGAGGGGAAGAAATCCCTGCAGAAGAATTTTGAGTCTCTTCTCGAAACCCTTCTTCAGTACATCAGCCAAATCTCCATTGTTGTGGACAGGCACCAGAACAAACCCACATCTCGTTTCTGGAAGGCCTACTTGCACAAGGCTTATGACATGATCGATAAGGTGAGACTTCCATTGCAACAATGAGATATTGTCACCACGCTGAGAGGCCTTGTGCCTTATACATGTACTTCTCAAGGAGAATTAGGAGAGGATTGTGTTTGATAACATTTGCCCAATTTGTTTCATCCATTTTCATATACAGAAATGTACCCTAGCCAAAATCAGAATACAAAAACATGTCCATTCCACGTTTTACCGTTTTCTTGATCGGAACTGTCAGACTGATGCTGTTTCTTTTTAGATTATTATTGTTATCATTATAGCATATTTATATAGCGCACATATCCATGCAACTAGTACATGCTCAAGGCGCTGGTATTTTTCTCTCGATCGTTGGATATCTGTCTCAACAGCACATTGTATTATCAATCTCTACTCCCTGGGGAGCATACAACTCTGGGGCGCACTAAGTTATTGCGGCTTTCCCATCCTTACGATGTACCCATTCACAGCTGGGTGGACTGGGACACATTTGAGTTATATAAGACCCAAGCATACTCAGTGATGAATATTTTTCAATGCACAGTATCAGTTTCAATCAGGCAAACAGGAACAGTTACATACAGTTTCGACCTGTGAAGGTCCGGGGTTAGAATGAACCTTCAGTAACCCATGCTTGTCGTAAGAGGCAACTAACGGGATCGGCTGGTCAGGCTCGCTGGCTTGGTTGACACATGTCATAGGTTCCCAATTGCCAGATCGATGCTCATGCTCTTGATCACTGGATTGTCTGGCCCAGACTCGATTATTTACAGACTGCCGCCATATAGCTGGAATATTGCTGAGTGCGGCGTAAAACTAAACTCACTCACATACAGTTACGGTTTTAAGCTGAGGAATATGGACTCATCCGCTGTTTAGGGTACTGGCTACACTTCTGTATTTTAAGGGTACATTTTTTGCGTACAGAAACATACCCGGGCTATATATATGTGGTACCAGTGCTGACAATGGCACTGTCAGCGTAATTATGACATCGTGTCTCAGTGAGGAATGTAGCTATTTTTATGATCAGTCATCATCTGTCCATACAAGCTGACTGGCCTGTACGTACATGATGTCAGAATGTGGCTCAGAAAAAATCACCTTCAAACCATGCTTGTTTTAAGAGTTTACTGATGATTGGTCCAAATGTTTAGTTGATTGTGTACAACGGTGGTCTTCCCTTGATTATTGCCACGCCACTAGAATAATGGTGGTCGATTCCTGAGTGTGACACCGAACAAGTTCAGTATTTCCTGACAGTTAACACTATAACCAGGGCCAGAGGTGCTCCGGGGTAGGAAGAGCCATAGGATCAAAGTTTAGAAGCAAATTGCAGTTTGATGTCAGAACATGTAAAGTGGTATCTTATTCTCCAACTTCGTCTCCTCATCACACCTGTATATTTCAAGGACACATTTGTCAAGTTGTTGTGTCTCTAGATCACATGCCTGCTGCCGGACCACATGTTCGTGGAGGTGACATCGGGGCTGCTGAAACACAGCCTGCCCACTGTCCAGCGGAAGGCCATGGAGCTCCTCAACTCCCGTCTCCAGCAGGTCAAGGACGTAGTGGACAAGGAACAGGTGAGTGTACTGTTAGAGTGTGTGTGTGTGTGCTCCTTGATGATGCCGTCTCCAGCAGGTCAAGGACGTAGTAGACAAGGACCAGGTCAGTGTACTGTTAGAGTGTGTGTGTGTGTGCTCCCTGATGATGCCGTCTCCAGCAGGTCAAGGACGTAGTAGACAAGGACCAGGTTAGTGTACTGTTAGAGTGTGTGTGTGTGCTCCCTGATGATGCCGTCTCCAGCAGGTCAAGGACGTAGTAGACAAGGAACAGGTCAGTGTACTGTTAGAGTGTGTGTGTGTGCTCCTGATGATGCCGTCTCCAGCAGGTCAAGGACGTAGTAGACAAGGACCAGGTTAGTGTACTGTTAGAGTGTGTGTGTGTGTGCTCCCTGATGATGCCGTCTCCAGCAGGTCAAGGACGTAGTAGACAAGGAACAGGTCAGTGTACTGTTAGAGTGTGTGTGTGTGCTCCCTGATGATGCCGTCTCCAGCAGGTCAAGGACGTAGTAGACAAGGACCAGGTTAGTGTACTGTTAGAGGACCAGGTGTGTGTGTGTGTGTGCTCCTGATGATGCCGTCTCCAGCAGGTCAAGGGACGTAGTAGACAAGGAACAGGTTAGTGTACTGTTAGAGTGTGTGTGTGTGTGTGCTCCTGATGATGCCGTCTCCAGCAGGTCAAGGACGTAGTAGACAAGGACCAGGTTAGTGTACTGTTAGAGTGTGTGTGTGTGTGTGCTCCCTGATGATGCCGTCTCCAGCAGGTCAAGGACGTAGTGGACAAGGAACAGGTCAGTGTACTGTTAGAGTGTGTGTGTGTGCTCCTGATGATGCCGTCTCCAGCAGGTCAAGGACGTAGTAGACAAGGACCAGGTTAGTGTACTGTTAGAGTGAGTGTGTGTGTGTGCTCCCTGATGATGCCGTCTCCAGTACTTCGTGGTTTCGTATATGCTAAGCTTTACATATCTACAGCTTGTGGACTTGGTAATCTGTTAGTGGTTTACACTGTTAGTGGGGAGCGTTGTAATCTTGATACAGTTAGTTGAGAACCTTAGACTCTGGACATTATTAATGGTGGACATTGTTATAGTGCAATATAGAAAAAACTTTATGGATAACAACTTCTTTTTATTCGTGAGTGCGACGTTTGATACAGATTCTTGTACCAAGCATCTGTATCGAAACGTCGCACTCACGAATAAAAAGAAGTTGTTATCCATAAAGTTTTTTCTACATTGTACTTCCCAACTTCTAAAATGCCACTCAAATAAATTGTTATAGTGGTGAACATTATACTCTGGATGCTGTAATTGGAGAAACATTGAATACTGTCTGCTTTGCCATTCAGGATCACACTCTGGATCACATTCAGTGCAGTATGTTCTTGTGTACAGGGGGCGGTGGGGTAGCCTAGTGGTTAAAGCGTTGGCTCGTCACGCCGAAGACCCGGGTTCGATTCCCCACATGGGCACAATGTGTTAAGCCCATTTCTGGTGTCCCCCGGCGTAAAACTAAACTCAGTCAGTCAGTCAGTCTTGTGTACAGATAAATTGTATGATGAGGATGTTTTCTTCAGGAGAACATTCTGCTGGTGCTGGTGGATGAACTGTCAGCCATAGTGAAACAAACAACTCTCGACTCGGATGACCTTGAGGAGACAGGGGTCAATGGCCAGACAGCTCTCTACAGCCTGAAGGTGTTGTGTCGTCTGCTGGGCCATAAACACCCCGATAGGTTTATCAAGGTAAGTGGTGTTGAAAGTCAAATGACCTGAACATGACAGACAGAGAAGTGTGACCCATCACCTGTATTTAAAGACAGTGCTCATGTTATCAACCACTGGATTTGCTAGCTCTCAATTACAGACTCTCAATCAAAGGCAGCCATGATAAAGGCAGCATAGCAAACAGATTCTAGCATAAAACAACATACAGTTCTTGCTGTATTCAGTGATTCAGCAGAAGTATACTTTTGGTCAGAATTGTGCATTTCTCTGCTACAGAATTCATCAAGATCACCTTTTGAAAATGACTAAACACCACTTTGTAGTTAATATTTTGCATTACGGGCCAAGAGGGGGGTTCAGCAGAGGGTCCCCCCCACCCCCCAACCTTGAAAATTCCTGGATCCGCCTATGCTTGCGGCAGGCTTTTTTTTTCTGCAAACAGGTGCACCTGTTTTTGCTATCAATCGCTGGCAGCCATGATAAAGCATTAAAATACATTCCCTTCTTGCTGTATTCAGTGATTCAGCAGTGAAATATACTTTTGGTCATAATTTGCGTTTTCTCTTCCACAATATTCAGTACACTGATTTGTGGCAGGCATTTTTCTGCAAACAAGTGCAAAATAAAAACACTAACCTTAAAGTTTGCAGATTTTTATGCAGAATAATAAATTGGTTTCAAATGTGCAAAATATTCCACCAGAAGTTAAATGGGGTAGATAGAAGGGCTGCAGAATACACCAGGGGCTGAAAATGTTCTCGCTCCCATGATTGGTTGTTTGGCATCAGACCTACTAAAACATTTGCTGAAATATTCCACAAAGAGGTTAAATTCCACACTCCAGATAGGTGTATGTTGATATGACACATACAGTACTGTGACATGTCCCACATTTCAGGTACTGCAGCTCACCTGCAAGGTACTCACCAAGAGGAAGGACAGCCCTAATGTGTTGGCATGTGCCCTGCTATGTGTTGGGGAGATCTCGGCTGACCTCAAGGTTCATGTCATCCCTCACCTGCCGACTTTCATGCCCAAACTCCTCAAGATCCTGGGCCGCACTGAGGAACTGACTGGGTGAGACAATGTGAAGTCATAGTTTCGTTTTCAGAACACTGTGGAAATTCTGGTTCTGTTTTGCCTCCATTTGTCAAGATTTATGTATTTGTTTTGAAGGATTTACTTGATTTATAATGTCTGTATGGAAACCTGTATTAGTCTCCCAGTGATCCTAGGCATCACAATTTGCATTACAGAGTTGCTTCCCTTGGGTGTGCCAGAAACCTGTGATCATGAATTTGAATCCCAGTTCTCAATGATAATATTACTAGGTGGATCAGCACCATACCTGTGCTCCTGGGTTTACCAAAGAGTTAACACCTGAGGCGTCAATCACTCTCATCTTTCCTTTCATTTAAATCTGACAAGCAGTGACAGAAAAATCTTCAGGAGTCACCAGTTTAAAGCTGATGAGGTTTTTTTCTTAGGTATCTATCAGTCAATGGACGTAGGTGCTGTGATACTGCTTGAATATTGCTGACTCAGAAGTTCCCTCTTGCAGTTTAGCAATAATTACTCACCAGACACATTGACGTAGATGCTGTGATACTGCTTGAATATTGCTGACTCAGAAGTTCCCTCTTGCAGTTTAGCAATAATTACTCACCAGACCCATTGACAGAGTCAACATGAGCGCCACGCATGTTCACAGACCGCCTGTGTTGTAGGAATGAGCTGCTGCTGCAGAGTTGTGTGACGGTCATCAGCAAGGTGGTGGAGAATCTGCCGCACTTCCTCAGCCCCTACATCCTGGACATCACCAAACATGTCAGTATACAGATACTACCTTCCTTGCAACTGTGTGTACTCATAAACGCTGCTTCAAATATTATTTGAAATTGGTAACATTATCGCTCATCCTTTGCAGTGGAAATGAATGAATGAATGATTTAAATTCATGTTTTATTTCTTATTAATGTTTGGAATACATTAATCCTCCTGATGTGTTTGTTTGTGCTTTACTACATCTGGGAGGTAAGTGATGCGTGCAGGACCTTTCCCCATGTCATAATTATTAGAATAAAAGTCTTGGCTACTCATGATCGTTGTTTGTTTTTCCAGTACTGCCTCCTGTCTGGAGGGGAGTCTCCTCAGAAGCCTCAAGTTCAGCAGCGTCTTCTCGCCATTCGGTAAGACTGCCTGGGTCGGCTATGTGTTTCATTCCTCAGATGTTGATTGCTTTTGCGGTGGGGTGGCCTAGTGGTTAAAGCATTCGCTCGTCACGCCTAAGCCCTGGGTTCGATTCCCCACATGGGTAGAATGTGTGAAGCCCATTTCTGATGTCCCCACTGTGATATTGCTAATAGCGACATTAAACCATATATAGCTTTCCATCAGTACATCTTGCTAAAAGGTGCAAATGTTATGAGCAGAAACTTTAGTGTTGTCTTTTTCCGCCAGTCATGTTTGTTGGTTCTCGGATTTTGGTCAGGTTACATTTCTGGGATACCCCATACAACACCAGGTGAATAGACTTACGTACATGCCATTTCCTGGGGATCTAGCACCACTACAGGGGCACTGTTCCAGTGGTACAAGGCAATGCAAATCAATGTGCACGGGTGCTTACTCTTAAATCTACTCCAGCCTTCATACCCGTGCTGTGTGTTGCACTCAAAATGAAGTCACTTTTCTTTTGCAGTCATGCGATGGCCACAGTCCTTCCAACACGTGTCATCCTTCCAACCATCGTGTCATGTTACACGAACCTGGTGGAAGAACACCAAGTATGTATTGCCCCTGTAGACCTTTTCCAGCTGGTATAGGTGGTTTTGTATTCAAAGGATCTGCAACTTATTGTGGAAACTGAGTGGGTCTGCTTTCAGGATAAAATCATCGACTGTTCGCTTTCCATTTCATCAAGGGCTTCAAACAGAATTGACTGTGATGACACACATATCTGGATATACTGATGTTTCACATAGGGAGAGACTATTTGATTGAGTTATTTAAAGTAATTTAACATTCATGTTTAGATTTATGCATGTTGTGCCCCATGTAAAGATCATAACCCAAACGAGGCTCCTGTAAAATGTGTTACAAAACCACACAGATGTGATTCCCTGTTGGATTGATGCTAAAGATTGTGGCAGCCATTTAACCACAGTGTGTCTTGTCAGGAATGTCTGGAGTGTCTCATGTCTCTGCTGGAGGCCCACATCAAGGAGATGAACCGGGAGAACCTCGCCAGCTTCCACAACGACATCCTGGCCTTCTTCTTCACCTGTCTTGACTTCAGGACCAACCATCCCAAGGTGAGTCACCAGGGCAGACTGTTCCAAGGGCAGACTGTTCCAAGGTGAGTCACCAGGGCAGACTGTTCCCAAGGTGAGTCTTCAGGACAGATTATCCCAAGGTGAGTCTTCAGGGCAGACTGTTCCAAGGTGAATCACCAGGGCAGACTGTTCCAAGGTGAGTCACCAGGGCAGACTGTTCTAAGGTGAGTCTTCAGGGCAGACTGTTGCAAGGTGAATCACCAAGGTGAGTCATCAGGGCAGACTTTCACCTTTGCCAAGGTGAGTCTTCAGGCAGACAGACTGAGTCCCAAGGTGAATCACCAGGGCACTGTTCCAAGGTGAGTCACCAGGGCAGTGAGGTCAGACCAAGGTGAGTAACCAGGGCAGACTGTTCCAAGGTGAGTCATCAGGGCAGACTTTCACCTTTGCCAAGGTGAGTCTTCAGGGCAGACTGTTCCAAGGTGAGTCATCAGGGCAGACTGTTCTAAGGTGAGTCATCAGGGAGACTGTTCCAAGGTGAGTCACCAGGGCAGACTGTTGCAAGGTGAGAGTCAAGGTGAGTCAGACTGGCTATCCCAAGGTGAGTCTTCAGGGCAGACTGTTCCAAGGTGAGTCACCAGGGGCAGACTGTGAGTCAAGGTGAGTCACCAGGGCAGACTGTGCCCAAGATGAGTCTTCAGAGCAGACTTCTAAGGTGAGTCATCAGGGCAGACTTTCACCTTTGCCAAGGTGAGTCATCAGGCAGACTGTTCTAAGGTGAGTTCCAAGGTGAGTCTTCAGAGCAGAGTTCCAAGGCAGACTGTTCCAAGGTGAGTAACCAGGGCAGACTGTTCCAAGGTGAGTCTTCAGGGCAGACTGTTCCAAGGTGAGTCACCAGGGCAGACTTTCCCAAGGTGAGTCTTCAGGACAGAATAACCCAAGGTGAGTCACCAGGGCAGACTGTTCCAAGGTGAGTCACCAGGGCAGACTGTTGCAAGGTGAGTCTTCAGGGCAGACTGTTGCAAGGTGAGTCATCAGGGCGGCTATCCCAAGGTGAGTCTTCAGGGCAGACTGTTCCAAGGTGAGTCATCAGGGTGGCTATCCCAAGGTGAGTCTTCAGGGCAGACTGTTCCAAGGTGAGTCATCAGGGTGGCTATCCCAAGGTGAGTCTTCAGAGGCACATGTTTGGAAGCACATTACTTGTAGACTACAACATCACATTTAGCTGTGTCATATGATGAAGCTTCTATTTAGGTGTCTGTTGTCTTTCAACCATGATATGAATAGGCATCTTTTCATTTGGCAAATACTTATGAAATTACAACAGAACACTCACAAACTATGGGTGTATCAAGAATGGTAACCAGCATATGATCTGTATGTCTTCAGGAATCACTGTCCAGGATAAACCAGATTGAAGACTCTGTGATCAGCACGGTAATCTGCATGGTGATGAAGATGTCTGAGGCAACTTTTAGACCCATGCTCTTCAAGGTCAGTTTGGCTCCTCAATTGTGTCCTACTACACAGCCTTACGATAGAAGGGATCTCTAATCACAAAACAAAAGGAGCAGAGGTGCCAACCTATATGATGTACCTAAACATAGAGCACTGTGATACATTCCATCATGGTATGGTGGGGTAGCCTTGTGGTTAAAGCATTGGCTTGTCACCCGAACATGTTGAATCCCCCATGGGTACAATTGTGAAGCCCATTTCTGGTGTCCCCACGTGATGTTGCTTGAATATTGCTAAAAGCGGCGTAAAACCAAACTCAGTCAGTCAGTCAGTCGTGTATGATACAGGCATAATTGTTCCACTAAATGTCAAAGAATAAAGATTGCACTGTTTTTGATGACATTCAGTACTATGGAACCTGGAACATTAGAGCACTGTAATACATTCCATCATGGTATTGCTGGAATAAGTAAATCATGCAAGATCCCCAGTGTGGACATCAAAGATGCAGTGTAAGAGCTGATCAATATTTAAACAAAATATACGTGGTTATAACTAGCTACAACTATTATGAGTTGTCCCATGATTACACGACAAGGTTAAATTCTCCAGTCATTACAACATGTTGCCTATTTTGTTTCAGGTGTTTGACTGGGCAACCCGACAAGACGACATGAAGTCACGGGTCCTGGTGTTCTACAGACTGGCAGATAGGTATGTCAAGCGAAAGTCTACTCAGAATATTTGTTTTCATTGTTTACTTGTTGTTTTCACCCGTGAAAGTCCGGGTTAGACTTGATACATGTCATCGGTTCCCAATTACGTAGATCGATGCTCATGCTCTTGATCACTGGATTGTCTGGTCCAGACTCGATTATTTACAGACCGCCATATAGCTGGAATATTGTTGAGTGCACGTAAAACTAAACTCACTCACACACTTGTTGTTTTAATATGTCTCTCACATATATTTACTGTTAAGGAATAGAAAAAAAGAACATGATTGGTTTTGTTGGAACATGATGACATGCGACAACCAGTCTGACCACCCACTCCTGTAAGCTGCCTCCAACATCCAGCATTGGCTGCTCAGACTTTATGCACCATCTCCTGACCGTAGAGGATAGTGGGAATGGGTAGTCTCTAGAGGTGTGACGATACAGAAATTTCACGATACGATACGTATTGCGATATATTGGAACGATACAGTTCGATTCGATGCATATCACGATATGCTATCTTTAGTTATTTTCTTTCAAAATGTATATTTTGATAGCAAGTAACAGTGTAAATTTTGACATAACAGTCAATTTCTGGGGAAAATTCATAATTTTAAGGTCAACGATATATATCACGATACGAAAAAAAGTATCGATGTATTTATCGTCAGATATAGTATCACGATTATCGATACTACGATATATTGTCAAGGCTCCAGTAGTCTCATGGTTCAAGTGTTTACCCCACTAACAGCCTGGGTTTTAATCCCTGTCTGCGTACAATGTGTGAAACCCATTCTTGGTGTAATTTTGCTGGAATGTATTGAAAAAGCTGTAAAACCATTACCGCTGACTCATGCTGATGCCACTCAGTGGGGTCTCCAGGGCAGAGGTTTTGTCCATCATAAGAAGCAAATTACTTGGTCAAGCGGAGTAATAGGGCTGATATTGGTCTTCAGTAACATATGCTTGTAGTAAGAGGCGACTAACGGGATCAGGTGGTCAGGCTCGCTGACTTGGTTGACACATGTCATCGGTTCCCAATTGCGCAGATCGATGCTCATGATGTTGATCACTGGATTGTCTGGTCCAGTCTCGATTATTTACAGACTGCCACCATATAGCTGGAATATCATCTGTTATGAATATTGTTTTCGTCACAGTTTGTTGATACAAATCCATATCCAAGTGCTATCTTAAGATAATTGGCGAGTAACTGTAAGATGGTGTGCAATGTTTCTCTCCAGACTGGCGGACAAGTTGAAGAGTCTGTTCACACTGTTTGCTGGTTACATTGTGAAGCATGCTGGGGAGGTCTTGGACCAGAACAACACTAGTAAAGGAGGTAAGACAAACTGGGGGAACATCCAGGTCATACTGCCTATGATCCCTTGGCATGGCCAGATGTTATTTGTTAGCCCCAGCCATGAAATGGGGCTCATAAATGGAATGACATCTGCACACTGTTCAGTTTTTGAGAGATCGTTTTTGCCCACTGAGAGAAATGAAATTTGACACTGATATAACTGATCACAAATGAGTTTGAAAGTTTGTGAAAAGTGGATTTATTATATTTTTTTAAGGCATGATGGGGGTGGAAGTTTAATGTAAGCATCAGGGGTTGGTGTTGCAGAGAAATTTCATATCGCGATATATTGCAATGCGGAAGGATATATTGCGATATGTATTGCAATATATTGCAAGAATTTTTATAATACAAAAAACTACTTTAAATTGAGTTAATGCTTGAATTATAAAACAAAAACACAACAAAATTACTATGCTTGATTAAGCTTTAATAAAAACTTTTAATCATGACAAAATAAATAATATTTGGCACAAATGAAACAAGGAAAAGAACATTATAACATCAACACAGTGGTTACTAAGTTTCATATCAGAGATCACTGGTCATTAATGAGTAAATATTTAAAACATTCAGATCCAAACATTGCGAAATATTTGGATAAAAATTAAGAACACAACTTCAAATCAAACTTAACTTGACTTCCTGTGTGAAAAACTTAAATATCCGAAGATTTCTGAGTGTTACGAGGCTTTCTGAATGCCTGTCTAAATACTGGTTTTTAATGAGCGTATCGCAATACGTAACGATTTCATGTCTGAACGGGTAAATACCGGTAAACCGGTTATATTGTGCAGCCCTAGTAAGCATGCAAAGATACTTGTTCTAAAGTTTCCGCGACATAAAATATTGTACTGTGAAGCCCATTTCTGGTGTCCTGTGCTGTGATATTGGTGGAATATTGCCAAAAGCGGCGTAAAATTAAACTCACTCACTCATCCTGATTTGTACATACTTCTGTGTAGTTTGTGTCTATCTCGGTTTCCTATGGAGATTACTTACAAACCATGTTAGTTTCTTTGAATAGAACTGTATGTCGATCCTTATGATTGCATATATGTGGAATATCTGGATTGTCTTCTCTGATCAGGATGTACAAGCTTTACAATGTTCACCCAACTATACCAATAAAGTCTGTTTCTATCAAAGAGCGGAATGTTTTGGGTTCGATTCCCAGCCGCGTCATACCAAAAGACGTTAAAATATGGTACTTGTTGGTCCCTGCCTAGCGCTCGGCAGTAATGGGTAAAACAAGGACTGGTTGGCTCGGAGTCAGTATAATGTGTCTGACTATACCCTGGATGCATCCACGGCTTGGCCCAATAATTATATTACCTCCCTTTGCTGGCTTCGCATTCTCACAGTAGCCAATCAGCCAAGCCGCCGTTACATCCAAGCTTGCCAGTGTCAACAAAGATAGCGGTCGCAGTCGCGAAGGTTTGTTCGCAGTGCCACTCAGATTTTGGGGGAAATAATACAGACAAATTGACAGATCTGAAACTTTAAAGAACTCCTTCTACCTCTTTCAGAGTACCTGTGTATCAATTGTGTTGCCAAGTTTAAACGGTTCGATAATTTAAGAAGCGAAAGTGTGTTGTGATTGGTTCGCTCAACTTCCCAGCGTAGACACCTGATTGGATAAAAAAGCAAGCAAAGGGAGGTAATAAAATAATCTGGCCAAGCCGTGGATGCATCCAGGGTATAGTGGAGGGTGATCGTAACGTATACCCTGGAGATTATCGAGGATGATACACACACATGAACATCGTCATATGAGCGAATATTAGTACGATGTTGAAATCCATTCACCTCACCTGTTTCTATCAGATGGCAGGTACTTCGGTAAGAGCAAGCGGTCCCGGAAGATGTCTACCCAGCTGTTGTCCTGTGTCCTGGATACACTATACAAGTGCTTCCTGTACGACAGTGATGGCTTTGTGTCCGTCGAGAGGTTTGAAACACTCATGCAGCCAATTGTTGACCAGGTAAGTTCAAATTAATTCATAACTGTGAAAATCAGGATTAGAATTGGTCTTCAGCAACCCATGGTTATCGTAAAAGGCCACAAATGGGATTGGGTGGTCTCACTGAATTTGTTGACACATCATATCCCATAAGTGTAGATCAATGGTCATGATGTTGATCACTGGATTGTCTGGTCAGGACTCATTTTTTGATATAGTCGGAATATTGCTCAGTGCAGCATCAAACAACAAAGAAACACAAAACAAAAAACAGTCAATTCATGTTGAATGATGGAACAGAATGTTTTGAGGCCATTCATGTTCTTACATGTTTCCATGACGATGTGGGGCGGTAGGGTAGCCTAGTGGTAAAAGCGATGGCTCGTCATGACAAAGATTCCCGACATGGGTACAATGTGTCCTGGTGTCCTCTGCCGTGATATTGCTGGAAGCAGGGTAAAACTAAACTCACTCACTCACTATGACTTTGTATATCAATGATCTTTTGTCATCTTCAGATTGAGAACACCCAGGGAGATGAGGAGACATACAAGAGTCGAGTTTCTCAGAATCTGGTTCGGTGTATTGGTCAGTTTGCAGTGGCAGCTAGAGATGACTCCCACTGGAACACCATGAACTACCAGATCCTTCTCAAGACAAGGAACCCCTCCCCACAGGTGAGCTTTTCAGCCAGTTTAACCTTTCAGCACTGTTTGTACACTTTAATTAATATACTTGTAAGGTATGCATTCAGTGCCGTTGTGTGTAAAATCTGACAGACAGAGATGCATCACATCAGCCTGACATGCTATGATTTTAACTGCAATATTGGAGGCAGCTTTACATCATTCTTACCCATAACATACTTGCAGTGTGTGTCACCTGTGATCCACCTATTAATTGATCTTCAGCAACCTATGCATGTCATAACAGGAGACTATCAGGATCGGGTGGTCAGGCGCTTTGACTTATTTGACAGATGTCATGGAATCTTAGTTGCACAGATCGATGCCCATGCTTTTGATCAGTAGATTGTCTGGTCTAGACTCAATTATTTACAGCCAACAATCAATCAATTAATGCAAGATGTGTTATGATCATGCAGGTCAAGTTTGCTGCCCTGGATGTGATAGAAGAGTTCCACAAGAAGCTCCTGGATGACTTCTTGCCACTACTGCCGGAGACCATTCCTTTCCTAGCTGAACTCATGGAGGGTGAGCGCTTTGAATCTTTCTTGTAGTGGATCAGCTGACCTCAGCTGTTGCCGGAATGCACGTTGATTACTCAATACTGTCTGTATTGCTCATGCTTTTAGAAATTTTGCCGTTTTGTATTTTCAGATGAAAATGAAGAAGTTGAGAAACGCTGCCAGACTGTCATAGCGGACATGGAGAGGACCCTGGGAGAACCCTTACAGAAATACTTCTAACTGGACTGGAGCATGTCTACTTGTTCAACATCAGCAGCTTTAGGCAATAAACAATGATAAAAACACTTGTGATAATGTTTCTTCTGGTTGTTGGGTTCAGATGTTGGTTCCAAACCACTTATGATTGTTGACGTCTTAGTTGTTGCCTTAGATGATTGCTGATGTTAATCACTTTAATATTTACAGGCTAGCACCACAGTGATCAATGCAGCTTCCAACCAGAAAACCTTGATTTCTGAAATGGCTGCATTAATAACTGAACTCATAGTCATACACCCAAATTGGGGCATTTGCTGGTTAGGGCATCAGTTTTGTTTAATGTGCCAGAAAATTTTCAAAATGGGTCAGTCGGTCGGTGGAGAATTTTTTTTTTTTTAATAAAGACAAAACTATCCGAATAATGTTCTTCATTCTCATTTATTATCCCCTGCCGGGCGTTTTGCGCGAAACCGGGGATATAGTATTAGGCTCCGTCCGTCCATCCGTACGGACGTACGAATTGGAATATCTTAAGAACCGTGCACTAGGTTCTTTTCATATTTGGTCGCGTGTGAAGCCCATTTCTGGTGTCCCCACCTTGATGTTGCTGGAATATTGCTAAAGGCCGCGTAAAGCCAAACTCAGTGGGTCAGTCAGTCATATTGGGTACCTAGGTTAATGGCTGCATTAATAACTGAACTCATAGTCATACACCCAAATTGGGGCGTTTGCTGGTTAGGGCATCAGTTTTGTGTAATGTGCCACATTTTTTTTAACATGGGTCGGTCGGTGGAAAAAAAGTAAAAATTAATAAAGACAAAACTATCCGGATAATGTTCTTCATTCTCATTTATTGTAATTCTTATTACGATTTCTCACGTTCTTTGGTCTTGTGGCAGCGACTGATTAAGACATTTTAGATAGATAAACATTTTATATCACGAGGCGGTACGTTTTAGGTTCGAGTCGGCGGTGTTGGAATGAAAAAAATATAATTTTTTGAGGGGTCAGCAATTAAATTAGAAGGGTCGGTCGGGCGATGAGAAAAACAAAAAATAATAATGCTGCCCTTATAGTGGCGTTTAACAAGGCATACCAGTAGATTAAGCTAGATCATAGCCCATGTCGATTAGGTTTAGATCAAATAACCAATCTCCATATCCTTCGCTGTGGCACGGTGACAGGTGTGTGCTTCAAGGGAGACATTCTGGATGTGTACATGACACTTATTAATGGAATCGGAGCACATTTCATCCTCATGAACAATAATAACTCACGACCTCAACTATGCCAACTTAGAGTTCAGTTGACTGTATGGAGTGGTCAGCCGGGTCTCTTGACCTCAACACTATCGAGCACAGGCCAAACTGCAGATTGCCCTCCTATGACGTTCTATCTCCCGGAATACGGCAATGCTCTTACTGAAGAGTAAATCAAGACACTTGCTGGAAGCACAAGAACAGGGTGTTAATGCGTCACGTGTGTCACATAGGCGCTTCTTAGAGTTGTACTGGTCAGATACTCTCATTGACAGGTACTCTGACCAGTTATTGGTCGGACTTCCTGTTCATGGAACATGCCTTTCATTTCTAAATAGGTGATCATTAACAACTTTGTGGTGTCGATATGAACATTATCGTATTCAAATGTATAATACTCTCTAACTCCTGTAAGTAGAGACAAGTGTTTTTACATACTTTGTAACATACCGCTATTCTTCAGTGAGGTACCACTTTTAATCACCTTTGAATGATGGATAAGAGCCCAGCTGCAAGGTACTTTGATGCACCCAATTAGTCAACTTGTCATTCAGCTGTACGAATCCTCTTCATACCACCTGTGGTAGTCGGATAAAAAGATTGGTGTATCGTCATAGTACTCCTCCATCCCTGCCTGCCTGCCTGCTCTTTCGGAGGGAGGAGTTTCAATGACAGCACTCTTCAGTTAGCTTTAGATTACAGGAAATAGCCTCTTACTCGTCCTCAATATCAGTGTGTATTAGATGATCGTAAGTCATTAAGTGTTATTAATTCAGTATATAATTATTGCTGTGATATCCTTTGATACCAGTAATATCAATAGTAATTATTTTCATGGTGAATGACTTGGCACGTACGACGTATTGACCAGTCATCCAACAAAATCTATGGTCGTCTCACGCACTGCGACCTAGTTACAGTGTTAAACTTTGTCATATTTAAGTTATCTCATTAAAGATTTTTTGTCAATTTTGTATTAATATTCCCTCCTTTTTTATAGTATAACTTAAAATCGATCTGAAATGGCTGTAAAACTATTTTAAAGAGATCAATAATTGTGAGATTAAACTGCCAATAAAGTCTTGATAAATTGGACAAAAATGTTGAAGCAAATATATGGTAATGAAATCAGTCCATTGACAAAAGGGCACCACCAAAGTATGATTTCGGACCTGTGTTATAGGAACTTGACTGAACTGTGACTGTAGGTGTCTGCATGTCACCCCAAGAGAACTCTTCTTCAAACTGCACCCAAACTTCTTCGCCCTTCTTCAAATGACTAACGCACGTAGCGGAAACTACCCTGTCAGAAGGAGACCTTTGTGCGGACCAACCGCCGCCGATGGTCCTTCCCGACTGGACGATCGACATGGATGGACTGTAGTTAAAGAGTTGAATGCCCACCTGTGCCCAGAACATGTAGGTTCCGGACACTGGTGCTGTAAACTTCCCCGTTGTGTGGTCGTAGCCAGGTCCAATGTGGTAGATGATGCTGTCATACACCACGGGGTGTAGTGACGTTACGTTTTGGGGACTTGATGCGTACGTCTGGAAAGCCACGGCTCTGGTTTTTGACACTGCGGTAAAGGAACAGGTGGGTTAATACAAAAATGATGTTTTCTTGTACTGTATATGAAATAATTCTTGCAAGTTTGTTTCTCAAGTATCAAACTCTCCAAAGATTGTTCATTGTGATTAAAATATTGAATCCGGTGCAGACAAACTAGTGGGTTCAAACACAAGCAACACCCAAACATTTGGCAGTGCCAAGTCACCCGAACATTGGTGTGAGACAAGTTCGAATACACCGTCACCATTCCAGCTAGTTTTCAAACATTTTCAGCAGCCAACTATTTTTACTCATGGTAAATTTGTTACGTAAGAGTTTCTGAACTGGTTGTAAGCCTATCTGGGGAGCTATATGGGTCACACAAACTGAACTCATTTTAAAGGTTTTAGTTGTAAAATCCTTTACGAACAGTGGATAGTTTCAGTTTGACAACCATGACAGTTGGTCATTTATCAAAATGCACATCCGACATACCATGCAGTGTTATTGTGGAAGTTTTCCTGACTGAGTGAGTGAGTATGGTTTTACGCCGCTTTTAACAATATTCCAGCAACATCAGGGCGGGGGACACCAGAAATGGGCTTCAAACATTATACCCATGTGGGGAGTCGAAGCCGGGCCTTCAGCGTGGCGAGCGGACCCTTTAACAGCTAGGCTACCCCACCGCCCCTAGTTTTGCTGAGACATTGTTTCATTTGTTGACTTATATTGTTCATGTTCGGGCAATTAATATGTACATTTTCGCCTTAAAAACTAAACATCAAATACATAGATGTTTGGATCTTACCCAGAGTTGTTTTCACCAACTGCGCCAGACCCTTTTGCGTTTCAGCCGACAGTTTCTGGTTCAGAGCATGCACATCGGAGTTCGTCATTGTGATGTCCTCCCGAGTCGTGTTGAGGTCGGACTCGAGGGAGAGGAGGTTCTGTTGGACGTTGTGAATAGAAACGGAAGTAGAAGTCACACCGGCTGCCAGTTGCTTCAGTTGAGCTGCCATACCCACGTTAGTTGAATTTACATTCTTCTCAAACTGATTCAGTTTTGCTGACGTATCTTGTGCTAGAGTCTTCAGTGACTGGGTGTCCATGTTCTCCACTAGCTGCTTCTGAGCAATGAGCTGCACCACAGATGACGTATTTGTTGCTTCAAACCGAACCTCATGGACGGTTATGTTTAAGGAGGACAATATCTTATACATTGCTGTTATGTCTGACTGGAGCGAACTGATTAAATGTGAATTAGATTTCAGCGCCAGACTCTCATCAGTTACATTTCTAAGCGCAGAAGATATATTCCGCTTAAAGCTATTGATGTCGGCCTGGACCTCTGAAAGTGTGTGTGACGTGGTGTGGAGGTCGCTGTGAACTGATTGCACATCCAGAACTATTGCCTTTATAACATCCTGGTTCGCTGTAACGCTCCCATTCAAGGAAACGAGAAGGGAATCGTTCGAGGTTGAATTCAGAGGAAGACGCTCTGGACCGATGTTTTCCACTTTTGATCTCACGATTACGAGTTAGGTTCTCAGTGTGGTCATGTCGTTTTTGAGAGACAAAATCTCAGCAGCTGCAGATTGTTGAAGCCCCTTGTTTGTCAAGAGGTCTGTCTGGGCCGTCTGAAGGTCTTGCTTTGTAATTTGAAGATCGGTCTGTGTATGTTGAAGCTGGTACTTTGTCACCTGCAGATCTGTTCGAGTTACGTGCAGGTCTGTGCGAGACGTCTGTAGTTCCTGTCTTGTAATAATCAGATCTGCCTGTGTGAGCTGGAGTCTTTCGTTCGTTGTCCGCAGATCAATCTGCAACCTCTTTGCGAAGAGTGTCCACATTCTGTTCGAGGCGAGTGATGTGACTCAAGATAGTGGTAAGGTCGGCACTACCGTCGGATTTCGTTAACGGCAGAATCAGTCCGGAGATGTAAGGTAGGAATATACACAAACGGAAAACTGCTTCAAACATCATGGCTTACTTGTATAAGATAAAAATTCAAGCGCAGTGCCAATGGTTTTATACCTTATCTAACTGTCTGACACCACGTGACAGAGATGTCAACGATGTAACCCTGGGAACTCGAAAGGAAAAAAATATCAAAATGAAAATGTATAAGTGTCTCTGTCATTTGAATATATACCCATGGTGTGATTTAGGATTGGCTCTTCACACCTTTGATGTATGCTTACGCCTCTCTTCCATGCGTAATAATGGCACATTTCTGCAGAAGGCTATCTTAAACCATATGTCGGGACAATCCTATAACTTTGACATAGTTGCAGATAAGATTAAGGAACTCTAAAAACACTAATGTGGCGCGCTGGTGCCACTCGTGATAGGTAAGAAAGTACGGTTCTTCGGTAAAGTAATAAAACAATGAAGGGGTGGTGAGTAACGACCATCACTTCACAAGTGATCCAGAAAGTAAGTGTGGTTTCCTTTTCGCATATACTAACACAATTAACGCAAAGACCAGTTTGATTTGCGTGGATCTTTTTGTGTGAGCGAGTGAGTTTGACGCCGCTTTTAGCAACATTCCAACATTTTCACGGCAGGGGTCACAAGAAATAGGATTTACACATGGTAACTATTTCGAGAATCGAGCCCGCGTGTTCGGCGTGACTTAACGCTTCAACCACCTTGGCTACCCAACGGTCTCACCTAACCATACCACGTTGTTGGAACCCTTCAGCAAATACATGGTGCTACCAAACTTATAAACAGTATGACTGTACGATAAGTAACCAACGTTTACAGGTTTCTGTCAAGCCAAAGGGAAGCAACCCTGTACCGCGACGCCCGTGCACACGGTCGTGTACAAAGACGCAAATGTCTGTTTTCCTGTCAAATCTCTCAATATACACGTCATATGTTGAGATACTTGAAGTAAACATATTTGGATTACTTAATAACTGGTTGATGGTTACTTTGTTATTAAGCGACTCTCAATTTTTTTATCATGTGCTGCGAGACTTGTTATACTCACGTTAGGTAAAGACCGCTTGGCTTACTTGTATAGTAACGTATTGATGAACAGAGGGTATTTTCATATTTTCACAATACACACAAGAGTGTTATATGTACGACCACGATCACCTTCGAAATTATTGGCGAAGTACATTGAACGGGTTTTCGGAACACAAATCTTATCCCGTTACCAAATAGCGTTGTACTGACAGCAGCCATTTTAAAAGTCTAGCTATCGAGCTGTTTAGTTTCACGCCGCTTTTAGCAATATTCCAGCAATATCACGGCGGGGGACACCAGAAATGGGCTTCACACATTGTACCCTCGGGGGAATCGAACCAGGGCCTTCGGCGTGACGAGCGAACGCTTTAACCACTAGGCTACCCCATCACCCAAAATCAGTTGATAACTGCTGCCGTTATTGTTCCTATAAATATTGTGCTGGCGCGGATGATGCGTGTTGGTATGGCTTCGATTTCTCGACAAGTGTGCTAAAAATACAGAGGAATGGAATTCATCCCACATATTGGTTCACTTTATAATTACCCTTCAGAAATGTCAGATCGGACGATTGGACGGCCATTGAAGTCTTGATGAATTAGACAAAACTGTTGATGCAGACGTCTGGTAATGAAATAGTCAGTTGTGAAACGGGCACCACCAAAGTAGGATTTCAGATCTCCTACATAGCTGCCTGAAAGAACTGTTAATGGAATACGTGAACGGAACTGTTCAAACTGCACCCACACCTCCTCGTCCTTTTGCAGATGACTGGTTCTCCAGACTGGCGGATAAGTTGAAAAGTCACATGTACAGTAGAGGAGGTAGCAGAAACTGTGGGAACATCCAGGTCATACTGCTTACATTCTCTATTATCTGACCCTCTTGTAAAATACTTTAATTTCGTTGGTCAATGACATTTTAACAAGTTTCCGTATCACCCCTCCCAGGAGGGTGACAACTGGAAAAAGTATTACCCGCTGCCACGGTTACCGCCAAACTCTCCGCCGAGAAGCTGTATCGCTGACAATCATACGACGTCATAATATGATGCATGCAGTGCAAGGAGTACGAAAACGGGTCGATTAGCTGTTTTTGAATTCACTACGTACACATTAATTTTACCGACTTTCACTGCTTTTGAATCGTTTGCACTATGGCATGGTCAGCTCTTAGTTGTTATTATCAGCCATGAAATGGGCCTCATAAATGGAACGGAATCTGTACACTTTTCATTTTTTGAGAGATCATTTTTGCCCACAAAGAGAAATGAAATTATCCACAATCTTACTATCACTGATGCGTGAAATGGTTCCCAGGTTTTACATAAGCATGCACAGATACTTGTCTAGACAGTTAGAAAAATTGATGCTGTAATTGGTTGTCTTTTTACCATTGCCTTTCTAAATGCCTTGGTGGAGGCACGGTAGGGCACAGTGCATGGTTGTCCCATGAACATGCCAGAAACCAATGATCGTGGATTCTAGTTGTTTCTAGATTTATCAGCCCTATACCCGTGCACATGTGTATAACCAGCGTCCCAAACGCCTAAGACCTGCATCACTTCGGGTTTTCCTCCTGTGAGTGAGTGAGTATGGTTTTACGCCGCTTTTAGCAATATTCCAGCAAACATCAGGGCGGGGGACACCAGAAATGGGCTTCACACAGTGTACCCATGTGGGGATTCGAACCCGTGTCTTCGGCGTGACGAGCCAACGCTTTAACCAATAGGCTACCCCACCGCCCCTGCCACAAGAGAAAATATTGTACAATTGGTATCAGTTTTCTGAAGGACAGACCAACTTTTGTGCTAGTTTGTATTTATCATTGGTTTTCCTATGGAGATTCGTTGCTAAGTAGGTTACAGCTTCTTTGAATCGTGCTGTATGTAGATCCTTAAGACTGCATATGTGTGGACTTTTGGGATTGCCTCTTGTGATCAGGATATGTACAAGGTTTGTAATGTTCACCCAAGTATACCAATAAAGTCAGTTTCTACCAGATGGCAGGTACTTCGGTAAGAGCAAGCGGTCCCGGAAGATGTCTACCCAG